TGGCGTACGAAACTGAGGAAGCATTGATTACATGGTTTTTGACGAGAGCATTTTCGACTCTTGCCTCATCATTCACGACTGCATTTCAAAGATGTGAGAAAGGGATAGTGATGATCGAGCATAGAAGGCCATGCTTTCATCTCATCGTACAATTTATAATTTACCAACAAAGATCCATAAGACGCCTAATTCGTTCCACCTCATTCCACAAACCACACCATCCTCCCACTACCCCAAACTCCCCAGATTCTTAATCAAAAACGCCGGAGGTGGCGGTCTAGCCGCATGCTTAAACACCGCATCCCACAACTCGTCCAATCTACCCTTGCTCTCCAAATATACCTCCTGTCTAAACCAAAGTCTATAATCAATCGCAGCAAGAAACTCCCTCTCCGCAATAATCAGTTTCGCTGCATCAGTCTCCAGCGGCCTGGACCATTGCCGCAAGTCCACACAAAGATGGTCAGCGGTAAGGTACTGGTACGCAACGTACACACACATGGTGATGAGCGCGACATCACTCAACGCACCAGGGACAGGAGCAGACACAGCGGTAAAGACTGTAGGGGGAACATCACCTACACACGACGATGAACTCTGGGCTTCCCTTTCTGGAGCCTCGACAACGTCATCACAGTCATCAGACGGAACAGAAGCAAGAGCCACACGATAACGCACTAGGAGACACAGGGCCAGCGGAATCGTATCGGGGCTAGGATGATGGTCACAAGAGAAGTTGCGCAATATCTCCTTGGGGATACGGATTAGGCACTGACACAGCATATTCACAGATGCATCGGGTCGGAGGGCATCACTGTTTGGGTCGAGCGTCTTGCACAGGGAGGTCAAGCTGGCGTCACGGGCAGAATCATCACCGGGACTGAGTGTTTCCTTCACGATGAGGATGGGGGCGCGTAGGATGAAGGTGCTGAGGCGGGCGAGGAAGGGGGCGGTGTAAGGCTGGAGGGGCGGGACGGTGGTAGCTGGGGCGGGTGCTGGTCGTGTCATGTTAGCCAGGGCGCTGTTGAGGGGAGGGTCGTTAGTGGGTACAAGTGGGCAGGAAGAAAATGGGTATATGTTTTGAGGTATGAGGACAAACGTGGTGGTCTGTGAAACTACAACGCTCATTGTGAAAGACACACGCGATATTGTACGCGCTGTGTGAAGTCTCGACAACACATGCATTGTGTGAGTCAAACTCTTTCAAAAGCGTATGACAGTAACAAATTTGAATTACGGTCTTGGAAGACATTCTCAGCATCGCGACTACCACTGCAAAAAAAAAAAAAAAAAAAAAGCTATATACAAAAATCCTATGTGACCACACATACAATGACTTCCTCAAAACCCCCGTGTGAGATAATCTCAGGATGACCTAGACATATACGTCGCACGACTACTACTACTGAGTCGATTTCCAGCCCGAACTGATCTCAAAGCGAGCATGCAGGCTATCCCTTTTCCCCTAAGGGGAATATACGTCGCACAAACCAGCGTATCCATTCGGCTGCACATTTCCCATATTGCGGCAAAGAGCATAAGTATCCGTCTCCTTGTAGTAAATAGCAGCAACAGAAGCGCCGAATCCAGGACCTTTGGGGTACCCTTCAGACCACTGAGGAACATCAATCTGAAAAACGCAAGTTAGCAAGCAGCTGCAGAATGCACAACTTCAAGAAGCATACCCATTTGAAGTTGTTCTCCGAGTTTGGAGGGCACTTCTTCCTCTGATCGGGCGTGTTGAAATAGACAGAGGCACCGGTTTCGGTGACACGGGCTGTTGCGTAGCCGTTTTGGACGACTTTTTGGAGTTCTTCCTTGGTTACCTTGACGTAGGTTTCGTTCCAGGCTTTGCAGGAGATGTCTTGGAAGTTTTTGAATGTTGTTGCTGAGGTGGTGGATGCGAGGAGGACTGCGGCGGGGAGGAGGTTGGTGAGCTGCATGTTGGAGTTTTGGAAGAGAGATTATTTGTTGTTGGGTTGGATATATGAGAGGGTGAGAGGTGATGTTGTGAGTACTTTGGAAAGGTTCGGACATGGTCTATTTATCATCTTCTATGTATATACTGTTGAGTGCCTAGAGGTACAACCAGCGCACAGGTGCGCAAGGCAGAAGGCGGAAAGCAAGAATCATCAGGGGTAACCATGTACTCGTGTATGACAAGACCAAATATAGAGGCTCAAATCTCCATGCAGAGCCAGTCCTGCAGAAAGCACGTAGAGATGCGTGGCTTAGACCAGTGTAAGTAACCTCGTTTGGACAAGGCGAAATGAAAGGTGAAGATTTGGGTGGCTTGGGCCGGCGCTCAGAGGTCCTACTGAGCTGCTAAGTGGCGCGGTGACTTTTGCATAGATTGAACGGGCATTATTGCAGTACCCTATGCCTTGTATATTTGGCCGACACCAGTACTTAGCGGTATCAACTGGGCTGCTTCGGGCTAGATCCCCCGCGTTCTCCGCAACTTCCCGAGGTCGGGCATTCCCCGCGGTCCGGCACCTCCCCGTCGTCAACGACGATTCACCAAATGGCCGTTCCGCTGCCACCAGCTTCCAACCTTCACGCCATTCTTCTCGTAACCAAGTCGCGCTCGCTCGGACCGCGTCTTGTCTTTCACTATCCTCCGTTATCGCCGTCGGCTGCCGCCCTTGCCGCTGCCAAAGACCCAGCTTGGTTCCGGCACGACACCTCCACGGCCAGCGTCGATTCGCGCAGCTCAGATAGCGACTGGGACAGCAGCGGCGACTCTGATGATGACAACGATATCGAGATTGGTAGTCGCACAAGTGGTGGGCGTGGTTCGGGGAGGACGGCGACGGGCCGAGTGAGCGACAAGTCAAAGCTTGGTGCCGGTGTATGGGGCAAGCAGGAGACAATTGATGAGGAGGACGCCGAGGACAATGACGACCAAGAGAGCAGCGCGAGGCGGAATGGCGGCGACCACGATTGGGAGACGGTATTGGGCTTCAAGACGGATGCGCTCGAGAAGATGCTGAGCCCGAGCAAGGACTATAACAAGAGGCGCTTCGAGTTGGGCGTTGAGAGCATCGTCTTTGTCGGCGCGCCCATGTTTGTCAGAGAAGACGGGTTGTGGAAGAAGCTGAAGCGGAAAAAAAAGAAGCTGTCAGACAAGCAGAAGCTCGAGGACGGCGACCTGGTCAAGAATCTCGCAACACCCGACGGGGAAGACACCAAGACGGCTGAAGAGCCCACAAAGCCCGTCCCCGAGCCCTTTGTGTATCCCCCTGGATTTGAGCCGGGCTACGGTCATGATTCTGCTTCCAGCGCAGGCTCGGGTGCACCATCGGATGCAGGGTCAGATGCACGCAGCAACTCGACATCGCAAGACAACGCCCCAGACATGACCATGTTCAATGTCGTCTTCGTGCTGAACCCGCCAGCGCTAGAATACCAGCAACGCGTAAAGGAGATGTACGAGAATGTGACGCGCAAGTATGCCAAAGCACTCAAGTACGAAGAGGCGCGCTTCCAATATGTCTGGAAAGAGTCGAAGCGTATCATCGACATCAAGCAGCGTGCCAAGGAAACAAATGAATCCATGACGGCAACATGGCGCAAGATAGTCAGCACTTCACCTCTTGCAAAGTCTATTGCCATCATGTTCGACGCCATATCGCACGACAAGATAGCACACATACATTTTGATGCCACTTTCAACACCTCGTTCCAAATCCCCCAAGCTGACTCGACGCCGTACCTGCCCAATGCGCTCGAGCCCCAGATGCCAGGCCTGTGGCTCACTACGTCCAACGTCGTTTTGGAGGATGACGAGGCACCAATGACACAGCACGCCGCCCTGTTGCTTCTTGAAGATGCCGAGGTGTTGATCAAGGACCTCGGGGGTGATGCATCTGGTAATGGGGCTGCCATCGCTTTTTACATTCGCAACATCATACCCACCAAGTCGCTCCTGAAGATATCCAAGAAACACAACATCTCCGCGCACGACATGGAGTACATAGCCAGTCACCTGGTATATTGGCGACGCGCCCGCCTTATTGCTCCCTTGTCTCCCCGAGATACTTATATCGTGAGCCCGAACGCTGACATGACGGTTCTTCCCGCTGCCATCGCTGTATACGCACAGCGCTTCCCTACCCTGCCCACGCTACCCAAAGTGCTAAGCATGCTATCAGGCACACCCCGGCCGTACAGGAACTTCATCCCGACGGCCGAGCACCGCGAGGCATACATGGAAATTCTGGCATGGCTAATGCGCGGAGGCTGGGTGACACAATTGCGCACATTCGCCTGGGGTGCGCGTAAACACCAGAAATCAAAGCGCAAGTCGCCGCGGAACCTAGAACGCGAGGAGCGCATCAAGGAAAGCCGAAAGAGGCGCGCAGGGGACTTTACTTGAGCGAGATCGATTCCCATCCCAGAAGGTTTACTTATCTGAAAAAAGGGAATAGCCTGGTCTCTTTTACATCAGCAAGGGACGTCGTCCCCCCCTTGCGACGAACGGGGAGGAAAGCGGAAGGAAGAATGGAAAACAGCACTATCCTCAGCCCGCGCCTCTCCGCTACAGCAATGACCCGCAGCGCTTCTGCTCGAACAGGTTCAGACGCGGGCAGCACAAGCAGTCAACGCACAACCATCGCTTTGAGCTCACTTCAACAACAACAACAACAACAACGCGCAGAGTCTCCCTCGCACATTGGTCTTCGTGACGTGAAACCACACCGTCCCTCCCCCCTACACTTAAAACCCACTTCGCCCTCTCCCTCCCGCAACAATTCCCTCATATCCCCCACATCGCCCCTGACCAACCCCACGCCGTCAGACCCCTCGTCCTTCACGCACACCACTATCCTCTCGCCGCAGAAAGCGTCGTCCCTGGAAGCACGCTGGCTAGACAAGATTGCCCAGACGTTCGAGGAGTCGTCGTCGTCGGCTGCTGCTGCTGCTGTCATGTCTACTACTGCTAATCCCAGTCCTCCCAAACACGCGGAGGGTGCTGCGTTTGGCGGCATCACGGGCAAGGAATTGAGGGAGAGCTGGCCGATGCTGTTGAGGCATTTGGATGGGAAACATGCGATTGAGGATGTTTCGGCTAGAGAGGGGATTAAGCGGAAGAGGGTTGCGGTGCTTTTCAATGCTGTAAAAGAGAGGGGGTGGCTGGTTGTTGCGAGGCATTGGTGATTTTTGTTGGTGGGGGTAATGGGCATGTATACCCGTGCGTGGTGTGTGTTGGTAGCTGGCTTTGGGGTTGTTGGGAATCATGTTTTAGAGGGGAGGGCTGTCTGGTTGTAATGGCTTTGTTTACGATAGGTATGGGAGTTTAGATATATGCCCTTTTCTGGGGCTTGCATGGCGGAAGCTGTGTTGTTTCGACGGGTACAGTTGATGCTTGCCCTATTGACCCTTATGCAACAATTCTTGTCGCACGCACTTTTTCCGCAAGTACAACCTTTTAGGTGCCGTGCCAGGGCCACTAACTGTCCTCTTTCATCTACTATTTCAATTGGCCGACATTCAAAAACTATTTATCAGGTAAAATGTTTGCAATACTGCTACTCTCGATTTCATACATATCCTCTCTATTTGTCAAGCTTATCTATGACATTTTGCACCACAAACACCCAACTATCATTGACGTATGACAGGGGCCTCTATTCATGAACTCACTTGCTAGAGATGAGACTTGCATACTACTAGATAAGATCGTCCATTGCTACATTAGAAGCCATGAAGGCCATCCTTCGTCTCCGCCCTGAATCACAATTCTGAGAATCACGCTATTGGTATCACTCCTTCTCCTTCTCAGCCCTAGCAGCCTTTGCGTTTGCAGCCTACGCGTTCGCAGCCTTCGCATTGGCCTTCTGCTTGTGGCGATTTCGCTTGTGCGGCTTCTTCTTGTTGCCACTTTCCTTGCCATCGTCCTTGCCATCGTTTTCCTTATCAGCTCCGTCCTTTTGGGTGGTATGCTGCTGATTATTCTAAAATCGGCCCAACACACCCCTTACACTACCCTCGAGAACCACATTGCCCTTGACGCTCAACTCACCGATACCAGACTGGTCTCCGGATCCTTCACTGAGCCAGCGCTGGAGCAACGCGTTACTCTCCATGGGTTTGATGTTGGGTGCAGCAGTGCCGACGGTGACGTGTGCGACATCATTGACCGTCGCAAAGGAAACCTGCTCGGTAGTCGTGCCTGCTTCGCTCTCGATTTGGAAGGTGCTGGCTCCGTTCAGACGCACGACGAAACACATGATACGGCCGTCCCAGACCAATCGCTCGAGTTGTACCTCGCACTTTGCAAGCTCGGGCTCCCAGGCTCCGTCGGAGGCCGACTTCTGCACTGTATCATAGAGCTTGTGGAGCTTGTCCCAATACTCTGCTTTCCTCGATGATGCGGTTCGATGTATCAGGGTAACATGAAATTCATTTTGGACCCGGCGGCTCTGCTTTAGCTGGTTGTACATGTTCGCAGTGTTATCATCCTGTTCATTGAACAGCGAGTCGAGGATTGAATTGATCTTGTTGGTATCGAGACGAACAGAGAAGTACTCCATTTTGGGCATCTTCTTAGTCTTTGCGGGTGGCCCTTGGTTCCGCGAGGTTTGACCCCCGGCTACTTGCTGATTGTTCTGGTTATCCCGCTTAGACCTGTTTTGCGAGAGATCCATTTTGAAGTCTGGCGTGTAGTCTTTCAAAGCCCACTCAATAGCAGCATCCATTTCACTGTCAGTGGGCATGCCCTTGCCTTCAAATAGAGCCGGATATGTGTCGGCCATCGTCCGAATAATAGTTTCGAGATTCTCGCGCGAGCTGACAGTCGGATCGAGGTTGATAACTAGATCGAAGAGTTCGTCAGGGCTACCTGAAGGGTCGACTGGCTGGAAACGTTGCAGAAAACCTTCCATGATTTGTTTAATCTCGCCCGAACCTTTGGAGCCTGCTTGGATAGTCTGATGGTTGTCGCCACGGTCAAGTACGCGCTTCTGTGTCGCTTGTCGAATGCGGTCATAGTTGTATCGATCATGCACATAGTGTAGAGCGACGAAACGAGCGTCCTTGACATCCTTGGAGATGTCGGTGATGAGCTGGTCTCGCTCGCGCTTCTGATGGTTGTTGCGATCCGCGATGACAGCGGGATTGGTGACTAGCAACGAAGACACAGTACTAGCAAAGAATTGGGCGCGATTCTTCTTTGTGTTGACATTGTCGTTCTGGAAGTGGCCCCATCCGAACAGCTTCACCAGAGCGAGGGCCAAAGTCGTCTTTCCACATCCGATTGTTGCGACAGGAACCAGTACAATATTCCTACTGGCCTTCTTGCTCTCAACGGGTCCGTTTTGCAACTCTTGTCGAATGATCTCGGCGCCTGTTGTTCCGCGGAAAGCTAGAAAGTCGTCGCGCATCTTGATGATACCATGATTTTCATTGTAAGCCTTGGTAAGGCTCGGATTTTTCGCAAATTGCGCGCGGGCAAAATCCAGGTACTCTTTGGTAATGGCCTCATGCTTCTTGTAGCGCGGTGCCTTGCCCGCAATCAAGGCTCTGGTGCACTCACGCCACTGTCGGTACATGAGATATGGCTCTTCAAACTTGTACTTGAAGAACCAATCCACGTAGGGCCCACCCTCGGTCTCGCGTGCTTGACACCGGATGACGAAACCTTCAGTGTCGCGGCCTTCGTAGTTACCCGTCTCGGCGACCTTGTCTAGAAATCTCTTGACCTCTTTTATGTCGTCCATCATAACATAGGTAACCTTCTTCATGCCCCACTCCTCGGCGAACTTGTCGACTAGATGACCCGGGTAGGTAGCGAACTGAGGCAGGTTGAGGTTGATACCATGTACATACAAGCCAGCCTGCTCGGGGGTGTATGCGAGGACGTGCTCCTCAAATTCGTCGTCGCATAGTTCGGCTACAAGTGTTGCGTTCATGGACCGCAGTGTCCGCGCGAGGTCCTGCTTTGTCTTGCCAACGGCCGCAACATGTCGTTCAACCCACTGTTCGCCTACGGTGGCATGACTGACCTGACCATCTCGCCCACCAGTCGAGTGCTTGCTGCATACCAGTAGTGTGTCATCATCTAGACCCGAGATGAAGATGATGCAGCCGTTTTCCTTTACACTCAACTCGTACGGCCCTCGCGTGTCACACTCGACATTCTTCCACTCCGTCTTCCTAACTTCTCCGTGGTTGAAGAACTTATCATAACCTCTGACGGCAATCTCATGGTTGCCTTGCAGATTCTTGTATGTGAACAGTCCGCGTGCGTATGTAGGGAGATTTGCCTTTTTGTAGTCCCAGTCGCTCATTTTCCAAGAATCGACAGTTCGACCATTGGGGAGCGGGAATGTGTGTTTCTTGACCGAGAAGTTTCCTTTGACTTTCTTGCCCTTGTGCTCTTCGAGAGCGCGCACCAGCGCAGAGATCTCGTTGGGATCCTGGGGCGTATACGGCGCCGTGTCACGGTACGCCATGATTGCGGTCGATCGGAATGAGCGTATGAAGGTGTATGGGGTTCGGCGTACGTTTCGAAGTGAACGGGGTATCTGGATCAGAGGTGAGGGAAAGCAACAAGCGTGTGATAAAGAGCAAATGTATAAACGTGGGGGGCGTAATTTTAGACGAGCGGACATTTAGGCAGCACAAGGCAAAGCAAACAAGTGCGCAAGAACGAGGGATCAATCAAGCAAGGGTGTCTCGTACCAATGGATGCCTGCAGGAGTAAACATGGAAAAGGGCGCTGCAGTCGCGTTGAGGTCACTTGGGAGTCATGGACCCAATGTTTTGTGCATTTCGCGATGAGATCACTGCACAGCCGCTGTGGCTGATGTCCGCGGCGCGGGGTACGCTAGCCTTTTTGGGAACCATACAGCTACAACTATTTCCTTTCAAACGAATACAAGCTTTAGAACTTTGGAAGGCATGTTACAGTCCCATTACTACATTGGCAAGTATATCCTCCCAAATACTCCTTCACCATGAAACCGTACAAGAAAAACTCAAAAGACATGAACACAACTACAGCTTCTTCACGCCCTCTGCCAAAATCCTCTCAACTTCTTCCTTGTGCGTCGAAAAGTTGTCAACCAGATTGTCCCTGCAAGTGTATTAGCCAAGTATTTTAGTGAGAAACAACGAACCCCCTACTTACCACATCTTTGGATCATGCTCATGCTTCTTGTTGCTGTTCCACGCCCAATCGGTGATGGTGAACATCCTCGAACTCTCCATCATAAACGCAATAGCACCCTTTGAGATTTGCATTTCAGGCGGCGGCTGTGCGCTTGCTGCTTTGAACTATCAAATTGTGAGCAAAAACGTCGTGCAATTGTTTCGTCATCAGTCAAACACACCTCTTCGTAGGCAACACCGTGAGGCACGAAACCGCACTCGAAGCTAATACCTCCGGGCTGGAATTCATCGGAGCGACCTGCGTACTCGCCGTAGATCAGACCCATGAGCTCTGAAGCTCCGTTACGGTGGTAGTATGGCGGACGGTAGGCTGGACATTAGTTAGCCTTCGGTTCCATCTCGCTATTTATCAATAAACGTACTGTGAGATGCTACATCCCATCGTGGGCTGAAGATGAGGAAATCTGCAAGTGGCGCAGCCGGGTCGCGAGAAGGGGCTGTGATGACGCAGAAGATGGAAGGGTCAATGTGGTCGACTGAGATCGAGCCAACGTTGACAAACTTGGTCAGGTCGTACTTGTACGGAACGTAGTTGCCATGCCATGCGACAACATCGAATGGCGAATGCTCCTGCTTGCTGACGAAGAACTTTCCAGCTAGTTTGTAGACGATTTCCCACGGTGCTTGCTCAATCTCGTATTTAGCGGTCGGGTGCAAAAAGTCTCGGGCGTTGGCAAGTCCGTTGGCTCCCAATGGACCCAGCTCAGGAAGCTGGAATTGTGAGCCCCAGATTTCTGCATAGCATTAGTACTTCTGAGGCTACTTCGAATCGTGCTATCTTTCTCACCCAAAATGTATCCCCGGGTCGGACCATCCACCTTGACTCTGAATCGCTGCCCCCTCTGGATGACGCAAATCTCCCCTGGCTGCACATACATTGGCCCAAACTCGGTCAGGATATCCAAGGCCCCCAGTTGAGGCACAATCAAGAAGTCGCCATCGGAGTTAACAGCCGCCCTCCTGTTCATGCTCGCATTGCATAGGTATGTGTGTACCGCCAGACCCTCTCGGAGTGTCGGATCGCCAGAGCCAGCGATGCTCTTCAGACCGGAAATAAAATCAACATCGCCATCGGTAGGGGTATCGAATGGGAGCCAGGCTAGCTGTGTGGGAGAGACGTGAACTCGCTTGTTCACGGGGAGGAAGTTTGATTCGGTGTCTTGGTTGTCTGGAAGATCGGTCTGTCATGTATGTCAGAAAGTGGCTGCGGCCCAAATTAAACGCACCATGCGCCCGGCCACGGGGCATTTCCATCGCCCATGTTGATTGCCACTCGGAGAAGCGCGCAAGATGACGTGAGGAATGTTCCGTAGGGTTATAATGTATGCTGGTTAAGATGGGGTTTCTTACAAATCCTTGATGTGCGACGGCAGGCCGCGCTCTGTATAGATAGGCCTGAGTGAGACATTAGCATCCAGTCTGGGAGTAAAGGTGGGTCACCGACCTTCTTGTTCAGGTGTCTTGGAGCAACGAATGCAGAACCAGTCATCTGCTCCGCATACAGACCAAATCTGACACTTCTCGGATTGTTCTGGCCCTTTGGGATAGTGCCTGCAGAAGACCGATTAGCATCTTGCGAGAAGACTCGGAAATGAGCACCTTCTCACCTGGTACGGCCTCTGATTCAAAGCTGTTCCCAAACCCGGATTGATACTGCGAACGGCCATACGTCAGCAAGGTGTTTGAGGCATGTGGTGAGCTCTGTAAGCCAACTCACCTCATATGGATCATTCTTCCTATTACCAAACGATGGGATAGAACCATCTTTCTGGGTCTCGGCCCAATGGAAGATGTTCTGGTATTCTTTCGGGTCTTTGAGCGGCTCAGGCATGGTGACGAGGACGATCTGCTTTTCACCGGAACTTCACTAGGATCTGCGCAATACCAAGAAACGGCTTCAAAGACGGACTCTAGTGATGTTCTCTGCGATAGTTTGTTTTGAATTGGGGAAACAAGACCGGAATTTCTGCTGTCAAAAGAAATGCATCTCTCTAAGACCCCACACTCGCCGACCCCACAGCTGTGCAGCAAGATCGATCGTAATGCATTCCTTCCGGTCAATCAGTCCTCTGCAATTATCCTCATTCTGCGTGATATCCAATCACGCATAACTCCGATCTCAACCTTCGGCGTCATCTTCAGCAGTCCCCAACAAGCAATAATTCGGTTTTGGGTGAGATACCCAACTGCCGATGAGGGTCAAAGAGGGGTAGCTCCACGCAGCACTTGTGAAGCTCGGAAAGAACGGACTTGACGCGACGCCGATTCGCTGCTGACGCGACATGTAGTAATATGTAGCGGAGCAGTTGGAGAAGACTTTGTAAGAGCCTAGTCAGCGACTCGAGTCGGACATTCGCCACTTTTCATCTCCAGTATTATGACGACACACCCGACTTGCTACGATACAAAGGATTGTGGATGATTGACTATAACTTTTGACAATATTGCACGCCTGTACTCCCAAACAGCTGACTGCGTTCAGCCCAACATCTTGCCACCCCCATTACAAACATTCTAACCGTCTTGATCATTTCAAGGCATCCAACATGTCCCGAACTGATCACACCAACATGTCCCCAACGCCACATCAATCCTTCAAACCTTCTATTCTTCCATGCTTCCACTTCCAGCTTCCAGCTTCCATACCTGCCTCAGCCCTACGTATGCCTGTGCCACATGTCCGCGCCTCTCGGATCTCGCCTAAATACGATAGACCAAGACCAGGCATCACCACTGTACGTAGACATCTACGTAACACACATCTCATCTCATCTCGTCTCGCCTAAATGCCTACAGCCAATTCACATATTGCGTTTATGCGTTGCAGAAGGCGGGCAAAACGTAGGCGAGATCGCGTAACACCAAAACAACCACAGCTCGCACTCGCAAACTCGCTCATGCATCAATCTCTCGGAGCTGATAGATGGCCTGATACGGATATCTCCATATCGTATCCGGAAGAGCTGACTGAACAAGCTCGTTCGCGATTACTCTAAGTAGACGATGTGATTTATTGATTTTACCGGGTTGATCCAGCTAGTCGACTCAAGGCGAAAGCAAGCCTCTCTGGCCTGATTTGTACGGGACCAATTTCCCTCTCTCCATATCCCTTCAGCTCGTGCACGACATGGCGCAATCGCGATCCAAACTGCAAACTATATGCAAACCGTGACTACGTGACCAACCTAGAAAGCCTTGCCCTTGGTCTAGACTACCCTCCATGACTGGGCAGCCATCACCACGCCTCTGCTAGTACGCGCCGCCGTAGAGCAAAGAAGCAAAAAATCATGTTTCTAACGCCCGCACTTCGGGCATGCACACCGCAACGTTTGTATTGCATATCGTCTTAGTCTCCCTTGGCCCTGACCTAGGTGAAATGCGCCCCCGACGACGACCTCCGTCCGGCTTGCTAGGGCTAGTTGCTGCCCGAAACGCAACACGCCGGTTGGCCCCAAGAACCAGGCCTTTGCGGCGAAGAGGGCAGATGAAAAGGGCCGACTGCAGCGTGCATTCGGACCAGATGGCCGCACTGCACTATACCGCTACTCTGATATCAGAGTTGTTCTGAGGAAGGAAGATGCAGGCGCACACGATAGACGGGCAGCAGCAGCAGCACACCTCTCTCGGCATCAAACACCGCGTCTTGCATACACACATACCGCCACCACCCTCACAAAATCCGTTATCAAGATATCAAGATATTTAGAGTAACAAACCCCATAATGTCGTCATCTCCGCATCCAACACACGCCCATCTACTAATCGTACCCGCCACAACCTTCCCTCTCTCTCTCTCTCATCCCAAATCAACAAGAATACCCGCCACAGTCAGTCACCCAAGAAAAACCCCCCACCAACGTCTTCTTTCGCGCGTTTCGCGCCGCAACCCAAGCCAGCCCCTCCAAACCAAACCACCCCTCCATCCATCGCCCGCTCGCACTAAAACCAAACACAAACACCCACCCGTGATTTTTTTCCCTTGACCGCCTCCTCCTCCTCCTCGGTCCTCCGAGGTGCAGTTTAGGAACCATCCATGCAGCTTAGCGCTTTTTGATCGATCTGCTTTTTTGCCTTGCTTTGACATTGGCATTGACAAAAAGTGATGCCCACTCCCATGAATCCCGACATGGCCAAACTACACGACACGACACGCACATCACATCTGCATCCCATCACAAGACTAACCATGCTATTCACAACCATGCCCCCATTCATTCCCCTTGACTCAGTCTTAGTAACCATCCATCGCATACATGCAAGCGCCAAACACACATTTGCCTAGCCTAGTACCTTCCCTTCCTATCCCTCATTGCAACATACATACATAAATACATACAGTAAAACCTCGCGTTTCGTTTTCCCATCCGCACACCAGCGCAAAAGTGGTATACCGCCCGTGTACTATCTTAATCATCCATCTATCCTACCCTACAGTAAGCGCCGACTATCCCGTGCCCCATGCGCAATCGTGCGGGGAAAGCATTTCATGTGGTACTTACGCCACGCCACCCCTGTCCGTCCACGACACCACTACACAAACACGCACACACACACACACGCACACGCACACACACGCACACACACACACACACACACACACACGACGCACACACCTTCTTTTCTCACGATAGCCAGAACGCGAGTCGTGGAGTCGTGAGGCGGGTGTTCGGGTGTTTTAGGACGGAAAGTGAACAAGGGGGAGGTCACGAGGGGACGACGGATAGATGGTTGGTTGGTTAGTTGGTTGCAGGTTGGATGGTGCTTGTTCTCTGTCGCAACACGCCGCTACGCCGCGGTCGGAGGTTTCTAGGCTTGATTGGGGAAAAGGCGCGAGGGCGAGACTTTTGGTATAGTTGACGTGTTTTAGGGTTTGGCATTTCTACCTACTTGGAGTTTATTTGCAACTTTGGAGTTTGGACTTGTGACGGGTAACTAGAGAGGTGGTCGAGGTATGGTGGGAAGGAGAGGCCATGCGTTTGCTGATCACTGATCTGCCTTGTCTACCATCTACAAAACAACGGCGTGTGTACATAGTTGCCATCCGGTGTCCGCGATTCGTCAGACAGAGAATCCAGGTTCCCTCTTCCCTGGATCTACTGTATGTACCATGACTCTCTCTCTCTCTATCCTCCCTCGCGTTCGCATACGCAAGCGCCGCGGCTCTCTGCATGCAAACCAAACCAAACCACCACCCCCGCCATTACCCAATCTCACCGTTTCAACACACTTGGAGACAACGAATACAACCATCCATCGGCCAAGTGGCCACGCAGCGCCCGCGATTAGCGCGTCGTTCGCAGCGTTTTGCGTTTTGTTTCGTTCGCTACAAGTTTTTCTGGGGAAGGGGCGGCAAAAAAACCAAGAAAAAAACGGTGCTGCTGCTGCTGCGGACTGCGGACTGCGGAGAAGCCCGGGACCCTGCCTCGAGAGATCGGCAATCACCCTGCCTTAGAGTCTGGTATTCTGACCCTGCGCTGATCGGTCGCTGGGAGCGAGGCGCTTGCAGCCGTCAACGAGCACGACGACGACGACGACGGCATTTTTCCTTGCAACACATTGATCAGGTCAGCATTCGCTACAACTACATGGATTTTGGCTTGGTAAGGCTGGTGAGCAGCCACGAGGCGCAGATGTCGTCGTCGTGATCAATTGCAGAGGCTGAATTACTACGACATGGTAGGCTGCGCAAGTGAGATACAAGCAGCCAGCATGCTTCGGAAAACCTGTATCATTCACAGGATTGCGCAAGTCAAGAGTGAGGTCGGCGACGGGGGGGGAGGGGGAGGGAAAGGATAACGGGACATGGGGTTTGGGGAAGTGGCGATAGGACCGGTAGGCAGGATGCTCCGAAACGTTTCAAACCGACGAGCCATGGCGATGCAAGCAAGATACGGTGCGCGCGCTACATGCCCCTTTTGCACCAAAACGCTTCATACGGCCGGATCTAAACGTCGGGACTTGCGTGGTGTGGCACATCCTTTTACTGCCGGCGGATCAATCACAGCGCGAGAGCTTGCAGCGTGGAGCAAAAAGTACGCGTGCGTGACTGCGCAACGTGATGGGCTAGGAAGAAGCCTGTAGGAAGCATCCTAGCAAGTGAGTATATTCGCGCGGAAAGGGCAAGATGCTGCATGGAAGATGCTGCCGTGGCAAATATACCATATATTTTGTCCGACGCGCGTTGCGCAGACATGATGCGTATGTACCAAGTACCATAGCCACATGGCATTCGTAATGTAGCTTGGAACAAGCTCAATCGTTCATCCATGCCGCCACACGGTTTCCACCAAAGCGGGCTGCAAAGCGCAGGCCGGACGAGCCCATGGGAAAGTACGACACAATGTACCAGAGCAGGCAGACTAGCTGGACGATAGCTGCAATGAAGGTGAGGATGGTGCTGTGCAGCTAATCACGCGGACGCTTGTCAGTAAAATGAACTAGTAGACGACAATCGATAAGGACCTTGCGTGGGGGACACGAGGACAAGGATTGCGGGCAGAGGGTGCAAGGGTTGACATGTAGCAAGGTTGCGTCTTGCTAGGGTCGGAACTTGACTTACACCTAGTGAAAAGAATAGAGTGAGCGCAATACTTCCAAAATAAGCCGCCGTAAACGGAAGCCTCGGACCAGAAATGAGATGCTGAACTTTAAGTATCGTCAGCATGCCATCAAGTAGAGGTGTGGTGGCGAATGCGAGGCTTGCTTACAGTATTGGACTGGGCCCATCAAGACACCCCATGCTCCCAGAAACAGAACACTTCCCATGGACCATCTGCAAGCAGGGCATACTGTTAGCGCTAACGTCCTTCAGGTGACGTGCATGATACTTGGCGAAGGAGTCTCGACAAGGTAGAGGCTGCCTGCCCCCCTGCAGCGCGCCGAACCTCGACCCGCATGATGGCTAGAGAGGGTCCAGTGTCGATCTTGCAGTGGCTAGAGAAGTCAAGTGCCACGCCGACTCGATTCGCCAGGCTAGCGTTCACAGTCGGTGAGCGGAGACATGCCACCCTGGGGGCGTTGCATGAGTTCGCATAGCCGTAGCAAAGGACGAATGCGGTATGTGGCACTGCCTATCTGCCTGATATGACTTCACCACTTGCGAGAAGGCTGGCTGAGGGCGTCGTTTGACTGGATGCAAAGGACTGGGAGAAACAAGGGACTTACAGGATGGCAAACTTGCGCGGTTTAACGATAAAGAGAGGCGTGAACATGAGGCCAATACAGACAGCAAACATGGCCAATGCAGCAAGAAGCAGACCGCCAAATACGAGCAATCGGTCCCACCGACTCACTGTGGATATTGGTCAGCACACTGTCAACGTACCATGGCAATTGAAAAGAAGAAAAAACTAGCGTCCTGCATGAGAGGTGGTAACGCAGGAACTCCCATCTGTCACAATGATCATGCTTGCGCCGTCTGGTTCTGCAGAGGGCCAGATGACATGTTTAGGATGGAAAAAACGAAATTTTCCAAGGCCGAAGCTATGCTCATTTGAAGAATGCCATGTGCTGAAACAAGGACGGACGACGAGACAAAGAACCATGGCTGTGCAGTGAAACTAGCCGCAGTGCTGCATCGTCTGATGACATGACGAGTGGCAGCAGACGTTCGTAACGACGAGTATAAACATCAAGGGTTCTCAGAGTTGCAGCAAAGTGGGGAATGTGAAGCGAGTAGAGACGCGTAAGGAAGGTCGTGGTGGGTGCTTTGCCACGGAAAGAAATACGTAGACTTACGCGCAAACCACCCCTCTTCCTCTTCTCTCCGAGTGGGCGCGGGGAGAGGGGCGCCCGGGTTCGTCTCTGTGATGGGCAATCGTACATAGCCACCCTCGCCAAAGGGGTTGAGGCTCTGTATGCGGCCCAGCAGCGAGGGCGGCGCCGTGTTGACGGGCAAGTCTGGCTCCCTCCTGCTCCACCCCAGCGAATTCATCGAGTCTCGGAAGGAAGCGGAGGCCATGTTTGGATTGGGTGCCGACGCAATTAAAAATCAGAGCTACAAGGCTGGAATGCAATTGAAGGCGGATAGGCAAAAAGAGCACGAGATGCTAGCGCGTCTTTGGCCGCTGTGGAGGGGGTCCGTCGGTTAGCGGACACGTGCCTGGGCAGCAAAGAAGCTTTGAGGGAAGCCGCAGCAGGCGACACTACCGATACACGGCGATGTGGTTTGGAGAGGGGGCGCTGCCGTGTGGCTCGGGCGCGTCGTGGGCAGGCACTGGGGTTCTGGGAAGCACGGCGAAGAAAGTGCGTCCACAGCAGCGGTTTGTTCGATTCGGTGCAACTGCGACTACTGCGAGCACGGAACGGAGGATTTCGTGCAGATGATCTGCCTGGCGTGTGTGAGGGCGCGATCCAATGGCAGATGTCAGACAGCCGTCTCAGATACAGCGACGGGTGCGCGAGGCTTGTGACGAGGCGTGAAGATGGAAAGGGTGCCGGCCTGCTTGGAGTGGAAACGGAAGGGGCGTTGATTGGGCCGAGTTTGGATGGAGAAGGCGCGCAGCGCGGACAGGAAGGGGCTATTGCTCTCTGGCACTTGGGCGCTGATGGAGGGTGAAGGTGTGGGTTAGCAGGAATTACGAGTTAGTAGCAGGCGGTAGTGGTAGCGCGATATGCACACTTGGATAGCGCGGGATCGCCTTGTTCCCGCCGCGACGTCAGCCTTAGCGAGAACAAGAGGACTGATATGGCTCGCAGCTGGATGCTGAGGTCGGCCAAGGGTGCCTTGTCCGCCGCCGATTCCATGACGCCAGAGCCAGAATCTCTGCTGGCTGGGCCCGATGGTGGGTTGCTAGTGAGTCACATCGCGCGCCCTCTACCAGCGCTGCCAAACCGGGTAGCTGAGACACTGTCGCTTCCCAAGTGACCAGATGAGGCCTCACCCTGGGCGGATGGTGGCCGCAGGACCGGGGTTGGTGGACCAGGGCCGACGCCTGTCGACGGTGGTGTAGTAATCCACATCCACCATGCCCCGATCTGCGAGCAGCACCAGCAGAGCCACGGCGAGCATAAGGCGGGTGTGAGAGGGCCCCCAAAGAGCCGCGCTGCGCAGTTGAGGGTATATTATGCTGCCGTGCCGCGCCCTGGTAGTCCAATAATTCTCCCGTCTTGCTGCAACTTGTCTTTGTCAGACGTATATCAGTCTACCCTACAGTAACCTACTACTACCTACATGAGCCCCACGACTGAACATCTGCCCCGGCCCGAGCTTCCTCAACCTCTGTACACCGGCCTACGTCACTGCATCTGCCCTCGTCGCCGACACAGCAGCCGTCGCCAGCTGCACGGCATTGCCTAGTTGGTTTTGCTTCTCCCGTTTGGACGCCGCCCCCGCCTCCGGTCTGCGATTCGCGATTCGCGTCAAACACGCCCATCCGCCAAAGTCGATAGCCGCTTGGCACTCAGGCTAGGAACACCTCTCTGACCGCCTTCCGGCTTTGGGCCCTCTCACACACCCTCGCCCTCGCTTCAGCTGCCTCAAAGCTGCCACTGTGAGGAGTGCTGCAGCCAGGTAGTCAAAAGACATCCTAAGCCGCACACCAGCGCGCTTTGTCCAAAGCACCACAGAGCGCCTAGCACCGACCAGACGACGACGGTGCCGGGAACATCCCACCAAGCTTCCTCCCCGCCATATACCCCGACCTCTGCTCCATATCCCGCCCACGCCTGCTATTTTACCCACCCAGAGATCGCGTCGCACCGACCAGACGTCCACCACCTGCTCTCTCACCTAAAGGCCACGACAAAGAGGCAAACCTGTCCCACCCAACGCCCTTGCAACATCTCCGCCATCATCACCATCACCATCACCACCATCACCACCACCGCAGTCCTCGACAACCAAAGTTTGCTGCCCACCCAACTGCAGCAGGTTACCGAACAGAGCCGACGACGACGACAACCTCACTCGAGGCTTACAAGACGGTCAAGACCCGACTTCTGATTCCTGCAGGTGCAATCAGCATTGCACCTTCTCCTGCATCGACAGGTGAGTCAACCCCCGGGCTGCGCTTTCCTTCTTTCCTCCCCCCTCCTGCTTTCCCACTTCCACCACACCACACCACACCTCGCGTGAGCCGGGGCCGTGAGCCATAGCCCCAACGGCACTGCGGGACCGTGTGACGGTTTCGCTGCTTTGGTCCTCTGTACCACAGACCCCACAGCGCCGGCGTGCAGCACGGCTGTCGTCCACCGTCGCTCGCCTCGCGGGTTACCCACCTCCTGCCTGTGCGCCACACTCATGCAACCAGCCCTTCACCCGCTCAACACTTCAGTCTGGTGGACGGTGCGCTGACAAGACTCCCTCAGTACGTGCCGGCACCATCGCCGCAAACGCCCGCTGCATCCCACCTCCGAAGATAGGCCGCATCACCCTCCTCCCACTTTGGTCAAAATCCACCCCAAGGGATACTGTCTCGTACCCAGAGGTGAGCCCCCCATCTGCCACATCAAGCCCTCTCACATGCAAAGCACAGCACTGACGTTACCCTCCCAGACAAACACTAGCCTCCTCTCCGCACCAGTAGAGGCTTGCTAGCCACTATCAGGCTCACTATAGTCGCCTTTAGCTTGCTCGCACTGTCCTTGTGCTCACCAGATAGCAAGCGTCTATCAGGACCCTTATAGGGACACAGACCGTCTCGTGCTGCAATCATCCTGCAAGCCTACGAGTGCATTCCTTAGTCACTTGCTTGGGCCGACGACAGATCGTTTCAGATCCAACTGTTCGGCACCAGCATCGGCTTCCTAGCCTCACGCATCCACATTCCTGGGATACTGCAACCTACAGTAATGCCAAAGCCTAGTAAGTACGCCTCTTGTAACCTCCCCCCCCCCCCCCCCCCACTCTGGACCGGCATGAAAAAACCCCTTCAGCACACCAGTCTCTATATCAAAATCCGCATCCCTCTTTCCTTTTTTTCCCCCCTCCTCTTTCCCCGTCATTTTAAAAGTCATTTTATCATGTTCTATGAAAACATACTGACTGGCCCCCAAGCGGACGCTCCCTTCACTCCTCCCTCTTCCTATTCTCCTCAAAAGCCGATTGCAAGGCTGGACCTTGGCTTCGACTCTCCCTCTGACGACGTGCTAGACGCTGATATTTTCAACATGACTGGCACAGGATCACCACAACCATACATCAAAGAGGAGGTCGACGAAATGTCCTTCAACACCCGCTTCATGGCCCACAACAGCCTAGACATGGGCCATCAGTACACCAACGCCCAGTTCTCGGGCAATGAGAACGCAGGCAACATCAACCCCTCCGATCTCAACATGAGCGGGAGTATGATGGGTAACCACTTCGGCACCAACAGCTACATGCAGGGTGGAGCTGGTATTGCCGACGACGAGCTTGCTGAGTCACTGGGCCCCTTTGAGCAGCAGCCGAGCTTCGGTGGCTTCTCTCAGGAGCAGTCTGGCCAGCAAGACTACTACCACAGCCACACCAACAATGCTAGCATCGGTCAGGTCTACTCCAACACCCCAGACGACCTGCCCATTCACAGTCCATTTGTCCACCCCGGAAACTTTGACTTTAACCAGTACCAGTCAGGACCACAAAGAATGAGCTTCGCTGGTAGCATGCCGAGCGGCTCCATGCGCCAGCGTATCACCATGAGCAGGACTGCGTCGGACAACCGCGCTCCCATGTCGCCCAAAACACCTGCCATGGCAGGACTCCATCTTGGCACTCCAGACTCGGGTAACTTTACGACCCAGCCTATCATGACCAACGTGCACAGACACCAAAAGAGCATGTCTGGTCAGTGGGAAGGCACTCCGGGGAGTGCTCACTCGTGGATTGACTCACCAACTGCATCCCCTCACACCGGCGGACTGCACCACCAACAAATCACCGACGTCCTGCACTCGGGCAAGCACAACTCGCTACCCGCAAAGGTCGACATCGGACAGAATGCCGATGCGAAGAAACGCAGACGTCGTGAGTCTCACAACTTGGTGGAGCGTCGCCGAAGGGATAATATCAACGAGCGCATCCATGACTTGTCTCGTCTCGTACCTCAGCACCGGCTCGAGGATGAGAAGATCCGCAAGCACATCAACAACAATGGTCCACTGTCACCAACCATGACTGCTGGTGGCATGTCACCGCCACAAGCAACATCACTCCTGGCTGGTGGCAATGGAAGACGGGCCGCTGGCAACATCACACAAGGACTGCCAATTGAAGAGAAGGACAAGGGGCCGAACAAAGGAGACATTCTCAACGGTGCCGTCAGCTGGACCCGTGATCTCATGTGGATGCTCGCCAAGAAGATTGAGGAATGCGACCAACTTGCTGAACGACTGCGAGAGGCGACCGGCCAAGAGTGGGCTTCTGAGCAGACTGAAGAGGAGAAGCGCATGAAGACCGAGATCCTCGATGCTCTCGACAAGAACGGACAAAGCTCTTTCCGCTACTCGCGCGGCCCAGGCTCAGGACTACGGGTGCCCAAGCATACCAATCTAGCCGGAGAACCACTCAATGGCGCCTCTCCCCAAAGCCTCAGTCCAGGCATGCAAAGCACTGGCAGCGGCTCTGGGTCAAACCAGCAACAATACTGGACCAGCCTGAAGGAGGAAGATGAGTACGGTATGGAGATGGGCTGATGCTCTCCAAATCGTCTCTTCTACTATTCTTTTCTGTCCATCGATTCCTTCTCTATGATACCCCGCGATACCCCGCACCCGTTCCTGCATCCTGCTCATGCATACGCTAGGACCTGACACAAAGAGGCTCAAAGGAGCTCGTCAGTCCGCCTCCAATCAAAGGTCGATTTCACATCGTCGCCTTTGTGCCCGCTCTACGCGTACCGTCTCTGCTGGACAAGGACGGAGAAGCTTTCTGCTTGCATCACAGCACTTCCCATCTCGTTGCATAATATGTCTCTACCCACCGTGGCACATCATCACCCCGGCTTCTAGCCTTATCTACCCCTACACGGCGGTCTCGCGCATCTGCCTTGGCACATGCGTGACTCTATCCAGTCTTGTCATTTCTTTCCTTCATCTCATTCTTACCACAAGTGGCATGTATGGCTTGTTTATGTACACAGTTTTGCACATCACCACTCTGGGTTTCCTAATATATGGTTTTTATGGAGGGTACACCGTTAGCATGGGTCGGCGCGTTCAGGTTTGGCGTTAAGACACTCGACGCTTGTGTCACTGGGGAGGATGAGCAGCGGTGTTCGGAGGACACCGCTATGGATACTACGGTCATTGGGCGATTTTGCTTTTTTCGCTATCTGCTTTTATCATGGGTGGGTTAACTCGGAATGTTTAGTTTTGGGCCTAGTTTTTCAATATCATTTATACACTATGAAGCATGTTCTTTGGTTGTGCCGTGGGTTGTACGTTTTGAGCCGCGCCTGCGCCCCTTGGCAACGCCGCAACGCTGTAGGCTGCCGTGGCCCTCATCAAGGCGGCCGCGTCAGCCGGGTTGAAGGACCATCTGTGCCGCCGCCTGCGCCCAGTGTGGAGATTGTTGCCTTGAATCCGTAATCGCTTTCATATGCCTGTTGTGTTCATACACACACTCTAGATTATTTCCCCCGGCTATCGCGCGTCACTATGTCTCAAAGCCTTGTCGTAAATACACAATGCCAACCATAGTTCACATGTAGGCGTTCGGGGAAAAAAGGAAACAAAGCAAAGTAAAGCAAAGCCACCTCGATAGCCTGGCAGGAGGAGGAGGAGGAGGCGTTCCTTCTTTCTTTCTTTCTTTCTTTTCTTCTTAGCTCACAGGGAAAGCGATCAAAGCCAGATTCAGGCGGGCGGGCGGGCGGGCGCTACACATTTTATTCGCATGTCGGATCGGATCGGGTTCCTTGATTGATTAGCGAATAATGTGGATGTGGATGGAGAGATCTGTGTGTAACGTTTTGCTGTGATCGGTGGTGGGGTTTGCTTGCTTGTTTACGGGAAATTTGAATGGCGGAGTTGTGGAGGGGAGGGGGAAGAAAAAAGGAAGGAAGGAGGACGGGAGGTTTGTGGGAGGCTTGTGAGTAGGTGCGTGGGTGCATGGGTGCATGGGAAGATGTGGAGATGTGGAGGGATGATACGGAAAAAGGAAGGGAAGGAGGGGATGAGGCGTCGTGTGTGGATTCTTTTTCTTTTTCTTTTGTGCGGAGAGTTGATGAGGAGGGGAGGGGAGTTGAATGTGGAGATTGGTTCGGTTTATTTTGTGTAGTGTCTTGTGGTTGTTTTGTTACTGGAGTCTGGATAGTTGACTTGATTAATTGTGATGGTACCCAGGCAATGAAAGACAAGACCATAGAGTCACAGGCTTAAACGTCTATCAAAGAGAACACTATATCAAGTACGGTAAGTCTACTTCAACCAAACCAATCTTCATGCCCGTGTCGACATGAATATTCCCCAGAATCATAAACTACTTCAACTCCTTCCTCTACATCCCCACCCTACTAAGTAAAGTAATCCTCTCCCCAAACCCCCCGTCTAAACAATCCCAAGCCCAAACTCCGGTCCACGGAATGCGCGCGTGCCTGCAACATCTGCATCCGCATCCGCATCCGCATCTGCATCTTACTGTACACATCCGCCAGCGATCTACCGTCTTTGCATCAAACCAGACCGATCTGCGTCCGCACAGCACACGCATACACGCCTGCTACAACATGCCGCACGCACACAGAAAGAAAAGCAGCAGCACGTCACCATGTCATGCACATGTCGTGACTATGCCCTCTCTAAGTAAGCCCACGACATCCATCTCGCCTACCCCTACCCCTACACACGCAACGCACGCAACATACTGCGGTGGAAAGTCGCGCAACAGATATCGTATATCTTAAGCCCTTGTGATGGGATCCACGACAGCAAGGATGATTGGGCAGGAGGATCGGGGGAGAAAATGGATATAGGCTGGAAAGGGGTTAGTTGACGTATGTTGTGGAAGGCTGGGTGGCTGGTGATTGGATTGGTGTGCGCTGGTGTTGTACGGGAGTGGATTGGATGGGGAGGGTTGATTGATGGATGGGGGAGGGAAGGGGGAAAAGAGGGTTATATGAGAGTTTGGTAAGATGATGGTGGTGGATGTAATGGTGTATTCAAGTCAGGAGACGGAAGAAGGTTTGAGGGTAGGATGAGGGATAGTATGAGATGAGATGAGATGAGAAGAAGCATACCATAAACATAGACATAGAGTAATACATTTTTCTTCAAACAAACAATACAAACCCATCACAGCCCATCTCTAAATTCTCCTCGAGCTCCGCCACATCCGCCTTCCATCACCAGCATCCATACTGTCTCAACGCCCACCATCCACCCGCCCTGCCGTGCTCACACCTCCCATCTCGCATAGAGGCGAAGAAACACACACACGCCAAGCAGAAGGGACCTAGCATCTAACAGCCCCCAATATCAACGTTTAGTTAAAACTAGCCGGCACACTGTCCAACTACAGCTACGAGCAGAGCGGCTGTACGACTGTTACACGCACCGATCTGCACGGCAGGTTGCTAGATGGCAGTGTGCGGTGCGTGCGCTTGTGTGTAATGTGTATGTGGGTGTGAGCTTTCTTTGGGTTACGTCCGGAAGGGGAGGAGCATGACTTGCGTGTCTGGTGTGTGACGGAACGTAGTTGGCAACACGGCACACAAAGGGAAACGAAACGAGCGGCCTTGAGGCAACGCGACACAAAGACCAAAACTAGCAGTAGTGTAGAGGCGATGTGGGGGGATCGAACTTGTACGAGCTTACTGTTGAGGAAGTGGCTGTGCGTATATCAAAAGTATCTTATTGAGACTTTTTTTTTGGTCTCCATGTCCCGTGTCTTTTGTACAGGCGACAGTATCAAGGTCCTACAGAGGGACCTAAAACTACTTGTGGCTCGGATGTGTGTGATTCTGCAGTGTCACGTACAACTGGCCTCGGCAATGAAAGCTGCTGTGGCGTGTTCGCCTTGTGTAACGGTTCTGCCCCAGTTGTCTACAGCATCTGTCAAGCTGTCTGTCATCTGTAGTGTCTTTCCCTGTTCAAGCTCGACGTCCAACCCTCCCTTTCGATCAAGATATCAGCCTCATCTGTTCCATCGCTTTGCCCTTGCCCCAGCCCCCCATGTCTCGTATCATACGTCATCTGGCAGACATACAAGGCGTCATGCCGCCAATGTAACCTGTCACTTGGACAGTCGGTCAGTATTCCTGCAAGGCGCATATTGTGGGCTTGGGGCGATTGACCGATTACGACTGCGGCGCGCAGACATGGCATTTGTCAATGTCGGTGTGGGTCGCTAATTCGGATGCTGCCGAACCGCTAACCAGGAAACGTAGGCGCATGCATTCCAGTCGTATCAGGAACGACCATCTAAGCTCCGTCGGGCTTATCGTGACCCTGTCGTGGCTGCGATGGCTGCGATGAGGTTGCAATGGCAGGACCGCGGCCGTCGGCGTCCTCTCCAAAGCCTAGATTCTTGAAAGAATCAGGCGCCATGAGATTCCTGTTGGCACAAAAAAGCGGTCAGTGAGACTTCTTGCCTGATGGCTATTTCGGGCGGCAAAACGCAGATATGCCGTGCTGAACCCTACTCGGCTCAAGCCTGGGTACACAAAGGAGGCTGGAAAGATAGCGATTCGACAGCTCCAATGGTTTCAGATCTGTCAAGATCTGAGGAATGAGACGTGCGGCATCTTCCCCTCCCTTTCCCCCTTGCTGTCAAGAATAATTCCAAATACCCGGTTCAAACTTTGACAGGTTGGTATCACAAGACGCTTTCTTCTCCCTTGGTTGCGCTATGAAGTGACCCGTAAAAAGAAGCATTGCGGTATGCATGGTAGGGCAAGTGTGCCGCTTTGGGACAAGGCAAGGGCGCTTCAAACGTACCGATCCATACGGCAGGCCAAGTACGACTTGGAGAGGTCGCGGCATTCGGGGTCGTTGCTACCACGGTGGGATTTTATGCATCGCAGATAGTTCAGCATGATGCTCTTGCATTCGCCTGGAATGCAATGTCAGTCCATGAGGGTGGGGGGGGAAGTGGTGACGGATGTGGAAGTCGGTAGTCGAATGCGATTGGCGGTGTGAAGGAGGGTGGGATTGACCATACCGTCATGATCGAGAGGAAAGGAACCGCGCTCGGGACTGCAATCTGATTAGTGAACGTGTGGTAGAGGCGAGCGCAAGAGAGCAGATGTCTTGATTAAGCCACCCTACTCCGAATGTCTTGTGATGCGCCCGGCGCATTGGGGCGTCTTACGGATTTGGCTTATAGACTTTTTGCCCAAGCCCAGCACCTCCGAAATTACTCATGATAGGTACGGTGTTTGTATGACGATAGGTTCGCGATGTGTTGCGAGTCGGCGGATTAATTGGAGCGAATCTTTTGGTGGAGTGAGCTGGGGAAACTTGGCGAGCGCGCTAACTGACGTAGTTATCGTCTGTGCTGTGCGGCTCTACTGACTTAGCGTTCATCCCTGCATCATCGGCATGACGTGCATTGTGCAGTAAAGATGTGGACTCGAACACCGACCCAGAAAACAAAAGGATAAGTGAACAAGTACATGGCAGATAGATTGGAGATGGGCATTGATGAATCGATTACTTCTGCGGGACATAGCCTCTCAAATATAGATTCTTCGTAATCCGCGACTGATCCCTCCATACCGTTCCAAAACTTCATGTTGCGTAGCATCTCGAATACATGTGGCGATAGAGTCAGCACCCGGTATACAAAAGCTACGGTAGACATCAGATACGCCTGTTAGGGATAGAATAGCGGGGGCTGCTTACGATGTCGCTAATGAGTATTTCATGTTACATAAATGCAACTAAAACCTATGGATGAACGGACAGGTGTTTAACAGAACCGAAGAGACGAAAGGCAGCGAAAAAGCTCCAAGTTCGACATAATCAGATACAGCGAGGAGGCATCACAAGACCTTCAATATCAAAACCTGCAGCACACTCCCTCCCCCATCACCATCCATCCAACCACTCACCCACTAATACGTCCCCGGAAACACCCCCACCCTCCCCCCATCACTCAACTGCACCGCCCCATTAACATACGCGCCTCCTTTCCCCACCAAAAACAGCACCATCCCGCCTACATCATTGAACCCGCCCATCCTCCCCTGCGGCAACTGACCCGTCCCAAACACCGCATTATTCCCAACCGTCATCTCACTCGGATAAGGACCCGGACAAACGATATTACTCCTAACACCCCATTCAGCCAGAAACGTGCTCATCATCTTGCCCAGGTGCATGGCGGCGCATTTGGTCGCGCTGTACGCCAGACCAGCGGAGATCCAGCGGTTGAACGATGCGACGGACGCGATGGTAATGATGTGAGCCATGCGGTCATCGTCGGGAGTGATGTCGTGGGCTGAAAGCTGTGAAGTGTCGCGTGCGCGGGGAGTGCCTGTGGTAGCGGGGACTTTGCCGGGAGCCCAGCCGCGACGGGTATTTGCTGCTTCGAGTAAAGGGAGAAAAGTGGCGGAGACGCCGATGACGGATTGTGTGTTTATTGCTAGTGCTGCGGACCAGGTGTCCCAGCCGAGTAGCATGGAGGCCGAGAGCTCGTGGATGTTTGTTGCGGCGTAGATTTCTTTGCTGTTCTTGGGGCCGAGCACGCCGGCGTTGTTGATGAGGACATCGATGTAGCCTGTTTCTTTTTCTATGAATGAGGCGGCGGCTTGGATCGAGGAGAGCGAGGTTACGTCGCAGACTATTTCTTTGACGGACGTTGGGTTTTGAGCGTCCGAGGGGACCGAGGATTGGAGTTTCTCGACGGCATTGAGGAGGACGTCGTGGCGGCGGCCGAGGATGTATATCTTTGCCGCGCCATTTTGGTAGAAGGTAGAGGCAATGGCGAGACCCAGACCTGTTGGTGGTGGTGAGCTTTTTGTTTACATACAAACATTCAAGCTCACGCCCCAGCCGCGGGGCATGGAGGGGTAGTTAGTAGCTCCAAGCTTGATCGTCGAACGTACCACTGCCTCCGCCAGTTATTACTACAACCAGGCCTTTTGCCGAGAAGAGATCGTTTGGTCTGATCGGCGCTGTAACATCCATGATGATAGATTCGGTGCAAGTATGGTGGTAGAATTCCAACTCTTTGGACGACAACAGCTTGGACGGAAAAACGTACACCTCGGTGTTCTGCTACGCCGAATTCGAGCGATATGACTGCGTCACGGACGGGACGGGGACCGCGGTAAATGGACGAGGAAGTGTGGAATTGGTAAACAACGGGTATCATATATGCAGGGGTCCCAACGACGAGCGACTTCTTCTTCCACAGATCATCCTCCACCAACGGCTCCTATGATTTTCAGTCCCTGGTTGTCCGCCGAGTAGGCCAGTGTATATCGGCACGGGTGCCATGCGACATGCGCCGCTGGTGTTGCAACATCGAAACTGCACACAATCTCACCAGTCTCCACGTGCGCAATGCGAATCTTCTTTTCTTCCTTGTCGTCAGAGCCGGCCGTGATGTAGCTTCCGTCAAAGGAGAAGTCGACGGTCTTAACGAGACCTCCAGTCAACTCCAGCGTCCGCACGCATATCCACTCCTGTGTGTCCCAAATCGAAACGAGCGCGTCGCCTCCTCCAGCTGCCAGGTATTCGCCGCTCGGTGACATGGATACAGCGTAACATGCCGACGTGTGGGCATTTAGTGTAAGCGCATTCTCAAGCGAGGGATATTGGAGCACTCTGACGCTCCCGTCGCCGGCCGTCGAGTAGAGATGGCTACCTGACCAGTCAAACACGCACTGGTTCGTCTGTAGTGGTTGGCGCTGTGCAGAGACGACGCTGAGCGATGCTCGGTCTATTCTGGCTAGGATGTTATCCTGAAAAGTCAATATCTCTCTCTTAGAACTTTATGGGTGTGGTCGACTCACCTTTCTTCCCGCAACAATCTCGCTGCCATCTGGTGTCCAAGCCAGTGTAAACGGCACCTCGCCCACCTCGACGCCGCCCACACTAGCCTTTGTCCGTATATCCCAGAATCTCACCATGCCGTCGGTGCCGCAGCTGGCCAGTTCATTCTCATTAATCGGGTGGAATGCGACGCGCTCGAGACTGCTCCCAGCGCTTGCGCCAGGCGTACGCAGCTCAGTCGAGTTCTTTACATTGGTCTTCTCGGGGTTCCAAATCCGCAGCGTCTTATCTGCCGCGCCCGTTGCGATGAATGTGCCCGACGCGTTCCACGATATGGAGCGGATGTAGTGTGACGATGAGACCGAGGCCGGGCGCAAGCTGTCCTGGTATACCGACGTTTTAAAGTCCAGGAACCTCTTTGCGAAGCTTTCCTTTTTGATAGAACCGACGCGGACAGGAGGCGCCATGGCGATCGAGTAGTGATTTATTCGGATAGCAGATGTATAGTGGAGGTAGCAAGACGAAGGTGAATGTAATGCGATACTTTGTTCTGAGCTCAAGAGCTTAGGTATGATGGCACGGGCCGTGCTCACCCGGCCCGAAACCTGCACCTTCACCATTCAACCCTGCGCGTACCTGCATCAAATAATTAGGCTTGACATGGGTGACATCTTGTCTTTATTTGTAATTACTCTTTGTATCATGGTGGAAAGCACAACTTCTCAATATAACACCAACCGTCATATGCGCTTACTGCTTCTTGCTCTCCGCTCCCTCCTTCTGCATGCCCTCACATCCTACCAAGTTGCCCGCCTTCTCTTCGATACCACCCATGCCCTGCTGGCTAGGGTCACGGTTTGCCGATGCCGCCTTCATCGCATCCACAGCTTGCTCCTTGTCTTGTACGCCTGATGACTTCCACGGCTCGCTGCCAGTTACATTGCCAATCGTCTCCTACAAGAACATTAGTATCCATCTTCCAGTGCAGCAAGCACATTCTAGTAACGTTATAGCACGTCTTGTACTTACCTCAGCAGCGCCCTTGACGTACTGGGCGTGACTGGCGACGAGGCCGGGCTGGTTTGGTGCTCCGGACATGATGTGAAGTGTTTAGATATTTCGTAGAAAGGTTGTTTATGCAAAGGATTGAATGAGGCTTGCAAGATTGTAAGGTAGATGAAAGCTGAGTTTTGCTACTCGAGCGTTTGGCTACTTTATGGTACGGCGACATCTAATGACGTCACAAACACCACATGACATCGAGACGCGCCCACGCGTAGGTAAGCGTTAGACCCTTTCGATGACATACCTAGTTTCAGTGAGACATCCAAGCTTTTCTCCTACATTATCGTCGTATTGAAGAGTATGGACACACTACCTCGCCTTCACCATCGTCCAGTGTGAACAGCAATCCAGACTTGACACAGCTGAATGCTAGTAACTGGCTTAGAGATAGATAGGCAGTTATGTTCAGTACCATAGGCCACAAAGATCACCATACCTCTATACCACTAAAAGACAGCGACACTTGCTCATTCAGGCAAGTGGTAATGATATGCTGAGCCTCGGCAAATTACCACCACTAATCCACAATCATATCCCTAACTTACAAATCAACAGAAAAAAACTCCATGACTAATTAATCTAGCAGTATTGCGTGCTCAAGGTCTCCTTTTCTTCTATTATAAAAAAGCCAAATCCGCCCCAATCTCCTCCATATACAACCCCTCAAAACACCATCCAAAATGCCATCCCCAGCCTACAACCACGGCGTCCCACACCTCCCCTACTACACCCCTAAACACCTCACCAGCCCCGGCACCCCCACCCCCAACACGCCCCAAAATGCAATCCCCACGCTCTTCACCCCCCTAACCATCCGCGGCACCACCCTCCGCAACCGCATCATCGTAGCCCCCATGTGCCAATACAGCACCGCCTCCTCTGGCCCCACAACCGGCGCTTTAACAGACTACCACATCGCCACGCTCGGCCACTACGCACTCAAAGGCGCCGCCCTCATCTTCATCGAAGCAACCGGCGTCCAAGCAAACGGGCGTATCTCGCCGAATTGCCCAGGGCTCTGGACAGATGCCCAGATCCCCGCGTTGGCGCGCATCGCAGACTTTGTCAAGAGCCAGGGCGCGCTATGTGGAATTCAACTTGCACATGCGGGACGCAAGGCGAGTACGTGTGCGCCGTGGGTAGCAGGGGCGACGAAGACGCAGGGCGGGAAGAGGAAGGTTAGCATGAAAGCTGATGAGAGGGCGGACGGGTGGCCGTCCGACGTTGTAGGGCCGATGGGAGGGCAAGAGTGGGCGTGGGATGGACGGGCGGCCGAGGACGAAGAAAGCGGGTATTGGGCACCTCGAGCGCTGACTCTAGGAGAGATTGAAGAGTTGGTGAGGGATTGGGCGGCTGCTGCACAGAGGGCTGTGAGGGCTGGTGTTGATGTTATTGAGATTCATGCTGCGCATGGGTATTTGTTACATCAGTTTCTCAGCCCTGTGTCGAATCAGCGGACGGATCGGTATGGCGGGTCATTTGAGAATAGAGTCAGGCTTCTCGTGGAGATTATCACGGCGATACGTGGGGTTATTCCAGAGGGTATGCCGTTGTATTTGCGGATTAGCTCCACGGATTGGATGGAGGAGACGGATCAGGGGAAGAAGTTTGGCTCGTGGGATGTAGAGAGTTCGATTCGTTTGGCCAAGATGCTGCCGGGTTTGGGTGTGGATTTGCTGGATGTGAGCAGTGGTGGTAATCATCCTGACCAGCGGATCAACATGTTTGATTCAAAGGACTACCAGATCAAGATTGCGGCACAGATTCGTAATGCTATCAAGCAGGACAATCAGAGCTTGTTCATTGGGGCCGTGGGTCTCATTACGGAGGCTGAGCAGGCGCGGAATATCGTTCAAGAGGATGGTGCGCCGGCCCCTAAGACTGGCAATACGGAGCTCGCAAAGGAAGCTGAGGCTGCGGTCAAGGTTACAGAGGGCAAGGAACCGATGGCTGACGTGGTTTTGGTTGCAAGGCAGTTTATGAGGGAGCCTGAGTGGGTGCTCAAGGTGGCATGGCAGCTAGGTCTTGATGTTGCGTGGCCAAATCAGTTTTTGAGAGTCAGGTTTCCGAAGTTGTAGATGGCTTCTCTGAGGAACAGGCTACATTAGTAGAAGTGCAGAGAAATGGTCATCACTATAACCAGTCTGCTTTCTAAGAATACTTCTACACTATATGATTAGCGTACATCATCTCACATCATACATTAGTAATCAAGATTAAGCTGCAGCAAGTCGAACACGAACGACCTTCTCCCTCATCATTGCGTGACTAGAAGACCTTAGGATATGCTGTAGTACTACGTCAGGGAAGAAGTTTTCTTTGAAAACACCCGGGTATTATAAAATACTTGATATACAGTGTATAGAGGCTATTGTGGTTACTAAACATGCCTATTAGGTGATAATACGCGTGTTTGGCGACTATGTGGCCTTTGTATACTAGTATGTTGAGTACTTTATGTGAAGGAGAGAAGGCAGCCGGTTTCAAGCAGGCCTCGACTCCTCAACGGAAAAAACCACAGCAGTAAGCGTATACTTTTTCTCTTGGCGTACTCCTGCAGAGGCTGGCTTGCTACGAAAAGATAGTGATGTCTCTAGGCTATTCAAGCCACAAATCAAACCCACACCGGATCCTCCACCCTACGAAAACACGCCACAAACTTCAACCCCTTATTCCTCTCCACCTTCTTCCCCTCCTCCGTCTCCACCCTCATCGCCCTAACACACTCATCCATCCCCTCTCCCCCTTCCCCCTCCCCCTCCTCAAACCGCCTCTCCACCCGTTCAAAACTCGGATGCCTTTCAAAATGCTCCTTCATCCACTCATGCAAATCCTGCACATCAGTAATCGTATATACTACCCCGCCCGGTCTCAGCACATACGCATACTCCGAGTTGAGCGTGTACGACACGATGCGGGCTTTATGCTTGCGCTGTTTGAAGTGCGGGTCTGGGAAGCAGAGAAAGATTTTGCTAAGTTGGTTTTTTTGGAAGAAGTTGGGTAGGAATTTCATCGTGTTGGCGCGGATGCAGGAGGCGTTTTGGAAGGCATGCGTTGTGGCGGCGTTTTGCACGCGGAGGGCGCGGATTTTGTCTTGCACGTACTCTGTTACTGAGGTGCGGATTTCCATGCCTGGGGGATGGAGTTAGTTGATGGGGGATTGGGGATTGGGTGGATGTCGTGCAGGGACGCACCGAGGATTAATGTATCTGGGAACTTGGGGGCCAGTGCGAAGAGTAGCCCACCGAATCCACATCCTATATCTGCAATCTCGACATTCTTTGAGATGGCTTTCATGTCCCGTTGCTCTTCCTCATTCACGTCATGTGACTCATTCTGTGCATCGCCAGACTCTTGCTTCGGATGCTTGGCGTACATTGGGTATAGACTGGCCCAGTCCATGTCGGCGGGACTCCTTGGGCTGCTTCATTTTCAGTAACGCCCTATGATATAAAGTGACAGCACCCTACTATGTGAGAGAGTGATCCGAAAAGGGATTAGCATGGGCGCGCTGTCTGTAGAATTTCTTCTTTGGTAGTGCCGCATTTTGGTCATCCGTTTGTAACGACTTCTTGTACTCTTCGCGCCTTGTGCGCTTTGCGGGTTCGCCGGGCATGGTGACTTTAATACGTTTATACGTGTGCAACAAGGTTGAGAAGCAAAATTCAGAGTCAAGGGTCCGGGAGATGCAGGCGCTGAGGTAATAGTAGTTTGGGTATCACGAAGCGAGGCTGATGTGGATCAAGCTTTTTCGCTAGCTCCAGGGTCGCGGTCCACGAGATGTGGAGGAGCACAGCCAGCCGTCGCGCAACGATGCACACATGCAAAATACGAGTCACGAAATGACGTAATAACCTAATCTCTCTGGAGCCTTACTCCAGCTATTCCTACAGCCTTGCCGCACGCTGTATTTGGAAGAATATATGATACGAATATGTCGATCCCTAGTTGCGCCCAAATGCTAAGTCCATATAGTATGCCAAATCGTGCAATCATCAATATTATCGAAACTCCATGGCGCCCTGGCACCCAAAGTCCTGGACGTGTTCTAGCTCGAGCTTCTGGAATCTGAACCCACGTTAGCATAATATGTCATCCATGGCAGAGGCTGAACTTACTTCTCGCTCTTAGCATGAAAGTAGATGCCTTCAATCCCACCAGAGACCTGGTTGAAACAGATGTAGTAAAAGCCCTCAAAGCTTGCACCGCTGATTGTGCGAACTCGATGGTCTGGCACTAGAAAATATTCTTTCCAACGCATGAAGAGATGTTCCTTCTGCATCCAGTCCTTGGTCACCAACTCTGGACGTGACGAGTATTTCGACAGAGGCTTGTAAGCAGGGAATCTGGCCCAATGTTGCCGGTCGACCTTTTCATTGGAGCCCCATTCCGGATGTTGTGTAATGAAGGTGTATTTGCTTCCGATAATTTCGCCCTCAAAATATGTCGTCAGGCTTGGGTGGTCTTCAGTCAATCCTGTTACGTTGTTAGTCTACCGCTCAACGAGTCTATCGCGAACAAGCGTACGCACCCTTAATTCGCAGAAATCCACACATGAAGGATTCGCGCATGTCTACATTCTTTATCTCCACCTCTACTTCGTACTTTTGGCGGTCCGAGGTTTGCGTACCCACAAAGCGACTTCCGGGTCGAAGGAGGGACGAAGATGAATTTGGCAAGAACTAGATTACTGTCAACAAAACAACGTGGCGCGAGTCTATAACATAAGCGTCGCAATAACGTACCCTATGCGCTGGGAAGGGTGACGATAGATGATGGGCAAGGAGCGAAACTGGAGCGGTCGCGGTGAGCGGCGAGGCCTGGGATGTGCGCTGCTCGTCGGTACCATCATCTGTCGCAGTCATAGGCGTAGGAATATCTCTGTTTGGCGTTTCTATATCGGCACCCGAGGGTTTGATGTGGCTATCGGCGGGCATCTGCGTGTGTTCCGGGCAGTCTTGGGGCGGTGGAGTTGGCAGCTGCGTAGGGACATCGGGCACATGAGTGGCATTGCTGTCGTGACTGGAATGCCGCAGCTCATTCAATGCGCGTCCATCACCGGTGCGCGACTCATCTGGAGGGCAAGTTGTACGGCCATTCATGTCCTCGTGCTCCACAGGCGAGACCATCGCATCATCGGGCGTCGGCATTGTCGGTGGGTCGGTGTGGGGAAATCACCAGGAAGGTGCGGGTTGATTACACATGGGACGAAACAAAAGACAAAAGGGACAGTTACAATCAGAGTCAAGGGTTCAAAAGTCGTGGCGATAAGAGGCATGCATGTTGGAAGGATGGTTTGGACTCGGCGGCGGTGTCGAGGCCTTGAGTGGGTCGCTGAGGGCTGCACTTACGCGGGGAAAGGCGCTAGCCTCACGTGGTATGACACGGGGGGACTGACAGATGAGAGGCTTATGGCCAACATGCTTTCACTGGCTGCTTGACCCGAACTGGTATGGGCACATTAATAGATTACGGGACATGTCCTATCTTCCATGGTGTATCCTCGATTGGTTGAGAGGTCAAACCCTTGTTGCTGGCTTCTTTTGATTAAAACGCTCTGATGCCCGCTTATGCATTTAGCACATGGACGTTCAGACGCCACCGGCGCTTTGATAAATGGAGTGGCATTTGCCGTAGGAAGAAACCCGTTGCTCTAGTTAGACTCCGGACGCCGTGCTTTCTACTGCGGAGGTACCATGGTACTGTAACTGACGCTCTTTGGTCAAAGTAGTTTTCCCGTATGGCGCCACTTTCGGTCATGGTTGATTTAGATTGGCTTGATCTGGACTATAATAAGTATGATGAACATGGCATTTTTGAAACGTGCACTTGCCTTGAAGTGAAGTGAGATTAGGGAAAAGACCAAAGCCTTCAGGTCCTGGACGAGATAGTAGAAAACTCGAAGGCCTTCTGGGTCCGCTGAGTCGGATACGTCTTGTAGAGAGCCGATCTTAGCAGTCTGGTTCTGTTAGTACGCGTCAGGTTACGACGTGACGAAAAGTCTACCTCAAAGGAGATGTGCTCGCTGCCCAACCGGATCTCAAGCTCCTGACGACCGTCCTTGTTCTTCTGTGGCCATTTGGTGTCGTCTTCCCTAGAACGGGTTAGCAGATAGCTGCAGACATTCGTAGTTGGAGACATACTTGAGAATCTCGCTCTCCTTGACAATGCGCTTGATCTCAGCTACCAAAACGTCGCTGACACACACTGAATCAGTCAGTAGGGCGCAACGGCACGGGAAGAAACTTCCTACTCTCTTTTCGGATGAGGGAGTCGTTGCGGTAGTTGGAGTTGTTTGCATAACGAGCAGACGCGCTGCGGCCATCTCCCAAAACACGAAAGTCGAACTCTACTCTAGAGTCAGATACACTAGCTATAATCACAATTTCAATGTGACTGACCCAAGAACTCGTGTCCGAAGCGCCCTTGGTGGCCGGAGCTGCCTTCTGGTCAGTAACGAGCACGTGCTGGAGGCAAGTATGTCTTCATACTAGTATCGCAGATAAAATGGTTCGTTGGTATTCATGGCGAAGAATGTGTGTCGGCTATCTTCGCGACGTAATGTCGTAGTAGAGCGATGTTTGAGCAGGCGTGGATAGTGTCGATGTTCAGGCGGCCGTGAGTTCACGATCTTCGGCGGTAGACCCCTGCAGGCTTAGCGAGAGCTGGTCCTGGGCAGGGCCATTTCTCGAGCAGACACCTGGACGTAAACACGGTCAAGTCAGCGCTCCACCACTAAAGCAAAGAAGCCACCTCTCCGCCTAGGGCTCCCGTGTCCCATTTCTCCAATTTCCGCCGGGCTGCCACTGTACCCAAGCGCAAAACCCTTGCAACCGCCCATCTCGGTCACTACACGTAGCATCCCACTTATTCTGGACACGACGGGCATTGAGGGCTCCCGGCCGTCGCGCGACCCACGCCATTGCCGCTGGATATAAAATAGTCCGAGGAAGTTGTACACAAGACCTAGACGGCCAACATGGCGACTTTCCTTGAGAACTCGTACAGTCTGGTACGAACACCTGGCAGTGTTGAGAGCTGTAGGAAGCTGACGGGGAGCAACAGGTGCACCAGGACAATGCGGCCGATGTACCAGCACAGAATGACTTGAAGAATGCTCTGGAGAAGGGTAGCGATGAGCAAAAGATTGAGACCATGGTGCGCTCCAGCAATTGCAACTGCCCCGCCTTGATGCCAGTGGACATCTGACAGCTTTACAGAAGAAGATTCTCTCCATTATGCTCAATGGCGACCCTCAGACTGGCCTGCTCATGCATATTATCCGATTTGTCATGCCCAGCAAGTCCAAGCCGTTGAAGAAGCTCATGTACTTCTTCTTCGAGGTATGCCCCAAGCACGACTCCCAGGGCAAGCTGCGCCAGGAGTGGATATTGGTCTGGTAGGTACAGACATGCTAGGAATGAGCATGTACACTAACATTACTAGTAATGCGATTCGTTTCGACTTACAAGCGCCCAATGAATACGTTCGAGGAAATACACTGCGCTTCGTGTATGTCATCCAGAACCACCATCTAGGCATCACTGACAATCGAACAGCACCAAACTTCGAGATGCAGAGCTTGTAGAACCATTACTACGTATGTTTCTCTAATCACACTTCCAAGACCATCCTGACACTCGCAGAACCGGTGCGCCAGTGCCTCACACACCGACACGCATACGTCCGAAAGAACGCAACCTTTGCTATCGCATCCATCTTCACACATCTCCCCGAGCTTATGCCAGATGCGCCCGATCTTTTGGTGTCATTCCTGGACGACGAAAACGATCCAACATGCAAGCGCAACGCATTCGCCGCCCTCGTCTCCGTGAGCCACGAAAAGGCCCTCGAATACCTGAGCACCGTTTTCGATGCTATACCCAACCACGAAGAGCTTTTGCTCCTCGCCGAACTGGAGTTCATCCGCAAGGACGCTATCGTGAATCCCTCAAACAAAGCACGATACCTCCGCCTCATCTTCGACCTCCTCGAATCGCAAGTGTCCACCGTCATCTATGAAGCCGCTCATGCCCTCACTACCCTCACAAGTAACCCAGTCGCAGTCAAGGCCGCTGCAGGAAAGTTTGTGGAATTGGCCATCAAGGAGCCGGATAACAATGTCAAGCTGATAGTTCTGGAGCGGGTTGACCAACTACGGCATAAGAATGAGGGCGTCTTGGACGATTTGACAATGGAGATTCTTCGTGTTCTGTCGAGTACCGACTTGGATGTACGCAAGAAGTCGCTCGGCATTGCAATGGAAATGATCTCCAGCAGGAATGTTGAAGAAGTTGTTCTGCTCCTCAAGAAGGAGCTGATGAAGACGGTAGACGAACAGTACGAGAAGAACCCCGAATACAGGTCGCTGCTCATCTCGTCGATACACTCTGCCGCCATCAAGTTCCCTGAAGTCGCCGCGAGTGTTGTTGGGTCGCTCATGGACTTCATCTCTGATGTCAGCAGTAACGCATCTGCAGTCGACGTCATTTCCTTCGTCAAGGAGGTAGTAGAGCGCTTCCCCGATCTCCGAGCCTCCATTATTGAGCGACTGGTTTCGACTCTCGGTGAGGTGCGCGCTGGAAAGGTTTACCGTGGAGTACTCTGGATCATCGGAGAGTTTTCGCTAGAGGCCAAGGACATTCGGGACGCATGGAAGGGCATCCGATCATCACTAGGCGAGATCCCGATACTCGCCTCTGAGCAAAGGTTGCTTGACGAAGCTTCGGAAGGCAAGGACCCGGCTGAGCAAGTGAACGGACACGCAAAGGCAGCAGCTCCCACTGGATCGCGTAAAGTTCTCGCCGACGGTACCTATGCAACCGAAAGCGCCCTCACATCGTCTGCTGCCGCCAAAGCGAAACTGGAAGCAGTCAAGAACTCGCAGAAGCCCCCACTACGACAACTTCTTCTCGATGGCGACTACTACCTTGCGACAGTCCTATCCAGCACCCTGACAAAGCTCGTTATGCGACACGGAGAGATCTCACAGGATGCTGCGCGTACGAATGCTCTTCGTGCCGAGGCAATGCTTATCATGATTTCCATCATCCGTGTTGGCCAGTCGCAGTTCGTCAAGACATTTATTGATGAAGACTCTGTTGACCGTATCATGTCTTGTGTCCGATCGCTGTCCGAGTTTTCGCAGAGAAAGGAGCTCGAGACTGTCTTCCTGGAGGACACGCGAAAGTCTTTCCGGACCATGGTTCAGACGGAAGAGAAGAAGCGGGCGGCCAAGGAAGCATCCGAGAGGGCGAAGTCAGCTGTCAATGTTGATGACTCGTTCAACATCCGCCAATTGAAGAAGAAGGATTCAGACGGCAGTGACGAGATTGAGCAAGATCTGGAACGAGCTACTGGAGGCGACACGGCAACTGAAGATCTCACATCCAAGCTGAGCCGCGTGGTACAGCTGACGGGATTCTCGGATTCAGTATACGCCGAAGCTTACGTCAAAGTATGTTGTTCTCTCTTCCGTCCCGTGCGTGACTAACTTGCTAGGTCCACCAATTCGACATTGTACTTGACGTGCTTCTCGTGAACCAGACAACAGAGACATTACAAAATCTCACGATTGAGTTTGCTACTCTTGGTGATCTCAAGGTAGTAGAGCGCCCTTCGACACAAAACGTTGGCCCCCATGATTTCATCAACATTCAAGCCACGATCAAGGGTAGGTATCTTTTGTAATCACATGTCAGCTCAGTAAGCTAACTTTTGCAGTCTCATCAACCGACACTGGTGTCATTTTTGGTAACATCATTTACGAAGGGTAAGCATCTCGTATCAAGAGTCTGAACTTGACTAACAAAAAGTAGTGAAAAGGGTGTTGACTCGAATGTTGTCATCCTCAACGACGTCCATGTTGACATCATGGACTACATCAAGCCGGCACAGTGCACAGAGACGCAGTTCCGAACAATGTGGACCGAGTTTGAATGGGAGAACAAGGTCAACATCAACTCAAAGGCCAAGACGCTGCGCGAGTTCTTGAAGCAGCTCATGGCATGTACAAACATGAGCTGCTTGACTCCAGAAGCGTCGATGAAGGGCGACTGCCAGTTCTTGTCGGCGAACTTGTATGCTAGAAGTGTTTTCGGTAAGCGCCACATGTCTCCATGAGTTTGCACCACTAACAAGGACTAGGTGAGGATGCCCTTGCCAATTTGAGCATAGAAAAGGAAGGAGACAACGGGCCAATCACAGGTTTCGTGCGTATACGAAGTCGCTCGCAAGGCCTAGCACTTAGTTTGGGGTCATTGAAGGGCCTGAACAAGGTCGGAGTAGCATGATTTTGTGGTTGATGGCACGATATAGACGGGGAAGCAGTGGACAGGTATCCACGGGTGGGTGGGAAAAGGAAGGTTGGCTGCTTAATTGTTGGCCCAGGGATGTGTGCATGGTCGGGGGAAAACTGGATGCATGGGACGAATGATAATGTAGCAGGCAAATACTGAATACAGGGATCAACCATTTCAAGTAAAAGCCAATACAGTCATGGGATTGCCAAGCGTCAAGTGACAGTCCGACAGATATCCATGTTGCTCCTCCCGCCTTGCGGTCGGGAAAGCAGCCTCGGCTCGGACTCCTTGTCCACAGGGTCCGAGCTGTTCCTGTTTGTTTATACAGACCAACTCCGTCATAGCCACACCCAGGTACGCTTTGTGCCTGCCTGCAGTCACTTTCCATCCCTTTCGTCGCATCTAGTCGCCGGTCCGTCAATCGCGGCATGCCGTGGTAACATTATAGCTTTTTAGAATAATATGGCTTCAGCCACAGGCCCAGACAACCCGTTTCGAGACGTTAGCGACTCTCTAGTCGCCCCTGTTGCGCCTTCACAGTCTCCGCCGCCCTCGCATTCGTCCGAACCTGCTTGGGAGACGACAAGTGTGGCTGACACTCTCAATGTGGGCTCAACCGCGTCGCTGACGCTCGGAACCGACTCGCTGGTCGTCCTGGGTATGCAATCTACAAACGCGACGCCAATTGGCCAAGGCTCACCCGTGGTACAGACGAAACCCGCGTAGACAACAAGAGCACCTGTTGCAGCCTGTCTCTTGCTGGCAGTAAGCATAAAAAAGACATGTAGGCGCGCCGCCTGCTGACGCGACACAGAGAACAAGTCCACTCGTTCCATCCCGTTTTATAATATTCTTTGGGCAGAACATGCCGAAGACGGCCATATTGTTATCGAGTATGCGCAGACCATATCCAAGACGAGCGTGCGGCCTGCTGTTATCAGCTATCCCTTGGACAAGCCGGGTAGTGCGGTGGCGGCAGCTTGGATAGAGAAGCTACTGGACCGCGCATATGGCGCCTCGCAACGCAACAAGCGCATCAAGGTGCTCATCAACCCATTTGGAGGCCCAGGCGGCGCGGAGAAGACATACTACAAGCAGATTGCGCCCATCTTTACGTCGGCAAGGTGTGAGCTGAGCGTGGAAAAGACACAGTACAACGGACATGCTGTGGAGATTGGGCAGAACCTGGATATCGACACGTACGACGTCGTGGCCTGCTGTTCAGGAGACGGGGTACCCCACGAAGTCTGGAATGGACTGGGCAAGCGACAAGACGCGGCGCTCGCTCTCTACAAGACAGCCGTCGTACAACTCCCCTGTGGATCTGGCAACGCTCTGAGTTGGAACTTCAACGGCACAAACGACGCCAGCGCCGCAGCGCTCGCAGTCGTAAAGGGCCTACGCACACCACTGGATCTAGCCTCGATAACTCAAGGCAACCAACGCATCCTATCCTTCCTCTCCCAAACCCTCGGCACCATCGCCGAAGCCGACCTCTCCACCGAACACCTCCGCTGGATGGGCAGCCACCGCTTCACCTGGGGCATCCTAACCCGCCTCCTGACCAAGAAAACCTACCCCGCCGACATCGCCATCAAAGTCGAACACGCAACCAAACCCTCCATCCGCGCCTTCTATCGCGCAGAGGCCGCCAAAGCATCCCCCACCACAGACGCCCGCCCCTTACCCCCGCCAACCCAAGGCCTGCCCCCCCTAAAATACGGCACCACCAACGACCCCTTGCCCTCCTCGTGGTCCCTCCTAACCCCCCACCCCTCGCTCGGCAACTTCTACGCCGGAAACATAGCCTACATGTCTGCAAACGCAAACTTTTTTCCCGCCTCTCTCCCCGCAGACGGCTGTCTCGATCTCGTTCGCATCCGTGGCGATATCCCGCGGCTCCGCGCGCTCAAGGCTTTTCAGGCCGTCGAAGACGGCACTATTTTTGACATGGACGACGTGGACTATCAGAAGATTAGCGCGTATCGCATTTTGCCTAAACAGCAGCATGGCGGTGATATTAGTGTAGATGGGGAGAGGGTCCCGTTTGAGGGCTTTCAGGTCGAGGTCCATCGGGGGTTGGGGACGACGTTGAGTAAGAGTGGGCATTTGTGTGAGGCGAGGGGGGTGTAGATGTGTGTGGATTGGGTTCTTTTGAGGTGGATTTTGGATTAGGGGTTGCATGGTTAATTGGTGGGAGAGTGGGAGGGTTTATTGTGTTAGACTCTCATTATGGCAGGAAGCTGGAAGACGCGACCGTTTTTTTCCCTTCTATTCTCTATTCTTTTTTTTATCGGTTCAATATACCATACTGTTCCTATCATCAACGTGTATCCATTCAATCATCTATTCAGGAACAAATAGACTTTTGCATTATTGATTTTTGGTATAACTTGTCCTGTCTACCTACCTATGAACCTATGAACCTACTCTACCTCGACCTCGACCTCTCTAACCAACCTACCTTCCCTTGTTCACAAAAAAACACTAAGCCTACTCACTCACTCTGCCCTATCCTCACAAACATTCCCCCCAAGCGCAAAAGAAGCGATGTCGTCAAAAACGCAAAACAGCAAAAAAGAAGTCATTCAAAGCTAGCTGCTCTCGGTTTCGATCCGAGGTCCTCCGGGTTATGAGCCCGGCGCGCTTCCGCTGCGCCAAGCAGCTTGTTTGTTTGAATGATTTGTTTGATGGAATAATGCTCAATTAACGCAAATATATACAGCAGTTGGCAAGAGAGAGTGAAGACGGAAAATTGTGGAGGGGTAATGTGGGGTGGGAGTTTAGCGAGGAGATATTTTGTGTGTTATGTGCGTGGTACGGATGCGCATCGGATGTTATGGTGCTTACGTTACAGTCTAGGGCTCTTAGAACACAATAGATTTGATAAATTTCAGCCCTACTACTAGAAAACATCACAACGCTACTATAAGAGAAGAAAGAATTGTCTTGCTAAAGTCGCTAAACATGATCGCTCTTCATAATCGCAAACATACAACATAGCTAATATGAGAAAGAAAAAATCTAAATAAGCCACCACACAACAACATTCCCACTCCAACTCCATCTCCATTCCCCGCCTCCCCCCAAAAAACAAGCCCCGTTGTTCTCACCATTACCCTACGACGCAGTAACAAGCACATAACTCGTAATCGCATCCATCCTCTCCTTTGTCAACTTGAGCCCCACCTTGAGCATCTCAGTCGCCACCTCCTTCTCCTTGCGCTCGAGCTCATTATACCGCTCGCGTGTGAGCAGCCAAGCGACCGAGTCATTCTCCGCCGCTACGGTACCCGTACGATCAGTTTCGGAGAAAAAGGGTAACTCACCACAGGTAGTTCCCGGAAGAATGACTTCAAAAAAGTTTCCTTGGTCGAGTTCGTATTCGGTGCGTAGACGACCCTTTTCGAGAATGTAGAAGCCGTCGGGGTCGTCGCCGCGCGAATACAGCACGGTGCCGGCGGGGTATTCTTTGCGTTCAAAGTATGGGGCCACGGCTTGCCAGAAGTCTTCGTTTTTGGTGGATACGTCTTCGAATGTTTGGAGGATGATTTTGAGGGGTTGGGCGAAGTTGCGCCAGCGCGAGGGGGGTTGGTTAGTGCTGTGGGATGCCGTGTCGGGGATCGAGAGGGAGTCGTCGCCGTTTTCACGCATGGTGGAGCGCGCGGCGATGAGTCGAGCACCGCGCCGTGGGGAGGAGAAGACGGGGTTGAGAGAGCTGGCGCCGAAGGATGTGGGTGAGCCGCCTGTAGCAATGGGTTCGTTGGAAGAAATGTTCTTGGCCCCTGAGATACTCATGGGCGGAGTTGTCTGTTGCTTGGACGAATGTCTGTTGCAGTGTCGGTGGAATATCTCTAGCAGCTCATTCTCACACGATTCGAGTGCCGTGTTGAGGTCTTCGAAGATCTGGGGCGGTGGGCATTCGCCGTCGCTGTCGTCATCTAGCAGTCCTACGTTCTGGAGAGCACGACCGACTGGATCGGCGAACGAGATGCCGGAAATGATCATCTTGACGTTCTTTGTGTTCAGGATACGGTTGATACGCTGGAAGCCTTCCGAGCTGGAAAAGTCGACATCTGTAACGTGTGTAAAGTCAACGATGATGAAACTGATTGGATTTCTTTCGAAGTTGTCGTCATCAATCAAGGAGCGCATATACTCCTCAACCGACACAATTGTTCCAAAGAACAAGAATCCACCAAGTTTGATGGCACGGATCTGTCCGCGGACCTTGTTGAGATAGCGAGAGTCTGCTCGCGGGCGGCGAACCGTGGACTCGGCGATGATGCCGCTGTAGGTGGCGCGAATGGCAGAATGACGGGAGCTCTGCACTACGTAACTAACGCATGCAAGAATGATACCCACAAAAATTCCGACCACAAAGTCGTGCACTCCCATGATAAGAACAATGACAAGAATAGTCAGGTACTCTAGTTTGTGACACTTGCCAAAGGTATCCCAGAGAGCTTCCTTCATAAGATCGATGCCCAGTAGAAAGATGAGTGCGCCTACCAGGCAGATGGGAATGTAGCCGACCATGGCTGGGCCTGCTACCCATACTGCGGCAGTGGCAAATGCAAGCAGGATACCCGCTGCACGGCTGTTACCACCGTTCTCGACGAACATGACGCTGTTTGCGTAGACAAGGTAGTTCTGGATACTACCAAGAAATCCAGACAATGTATTCGAGATACCGTGGGCGATCAATTCGCGGTTGACGTCGAGATTGTCTTCCCTTACAGCGGCGCCTAGCGCAGGGACATTGATGGGCACGTGGATGATACCAAAGAATGATAGAGCAAACATGGTTGGGATGGTACTAGCCAGTGCTGCCCCGTCTATGCTGCCAAACTCTGGACGTTGTGAGTATACGTTCAACTCGTAAATAGTGGGTACTTACTGAAGTATGTATAGAATCTGTAAAACTTGACACCAGCCTCGGGAGTCTCAAAGATCCATCCAGCCTGACGAACAGGCTCCAGATCCTTGTGTAAGATTCCCTTGACGATGAGGTAAAAGGTTGCGAAAACAGTAATGAAGAACACGGGCAAAACGAATGGGCTCTTGGACAACCGTCGGAGTACCATGATGGAGATAGCAAGCGCAAGCGGAAGTGTCCACAGATACCACGTATCCGCCGAGAAGAGCTTTTGCAGGGTTGCAAGGTCGTAGTTGAGGTTTCCTTCAATGCGAGCGGAGACTTCGATGCCAGTGACAACAAGAAAGAAGCCCACACCTCCAATGCAGCCGATTAGAATGTGTCGCGGAAAGAAGCTGACCAGGTTGCCAAGCTTAAAGGCGCCCAGAGCGAGGAAGATGAGACCGGTCAGAATGGAGCTTAGACAGTAGGAGACAATGGTAGTGGCTATGATTGCTTCCGGGGGCTTGCCTTCCATTTGGTTCATGATGGAGTATGCCATCTTGTGGAAAAAAGGCACAACCTCAATCATCTCGGATCCGACGCCGCCTTTGAATACGGAAAGACCGAGCGAATAGCATAGTTGTGAGACAATGCAGCTCACGAAGAAGATGGATATGCCGTCCGGGCCAGTGTTGCTAAATATGGGAGCGCCGAGTGGAAAGAGAATGTAGCCATAGGACAGTGCATCGAGGAGGTTCAGAAGCAAACCGAGAAAGACGGCCGATGTCATTTGCACACTACTGAGAGCACCGGAGAGAAGAGCATCCTTTGTGTAGTTCTTGGGGTTCGATAGAGATCGGCCCACGTCAAGGACATGTTCCCGGCCAGCGGTAAGGGTATTCTTCAAGCGGCGTGGAAGGTTCGCTGTGGGTCGTTGCTTCCACGAACTCGTCTTGCCTAACTTTTGCTTTTGCTGCATATCTGGGCGCGACAGTCTGGTCTGGGGAAGTAGAGGAGTCCGCTCGGTATCCTCAAGCACCAAGTGGGGGATTTGTTTGCTTGACAACGACGTCCTCGTATCCCGTGCGCTATTCTCATGCGCCTTTGGACCGAAGAAGCTCGTATCTGCGTGTTGTGGGCCGATGACTGTGTCAGGAGTCTCAGCTTCGCTGTCCTCGTCGATTGTGTCAGTCCAGCGGGCAGAGTCCTGCGACATGCGCCCATCCTCGTTATCTGACTGCGTGTCGCCATGGTTCGGTCGGTCCTGGTAGTCTTCGGCTTCTAGGGCATACGAGGCCAATTGAGAGCTCCTCTCGCGCACGCCCTGGGACGAGTAATGTGGTGTATCTAGGGGGGACTTAGTCGCTGTAGAGGTGTGGGGATGAGGGTGAGACTGGGTATACGCACCAGCAAAACTGTGAGACGTCTGGTGTGCAAACGACCGGATCGGATTGCGCGTGTAGGACCCTGATAGCGCGTTGGGTGTTATGCGCCGTGGCTGCGAGTGCCCGCCATTCTCGGCCTGGGCGGCGTCGTTTGCAAAGTCGGCTTCGTTGACATTGTCGCCGGTGAAGGGAAGTGGCTGCTGTTCCGTGGCACCCGAGTCCCGGGAGAACAGACGTGAAGGCATGGCGCCCAATTAGAAATATTAAACTATCAATCTCAACTCTGTTCAGCCGAGCATCTCCAGCCAAGCAATGTGGTAGTGACGAAAGCGACAGGGCAGAAGGTATCGCGGTCCAGGTGGGTAACGTGTGACTGCTGCCAGGAGCTAGGGCAGGGGAAACAAAAGGGCCTCAGGCTGCGGCGACGCGCGACATGTATAGCAGCGGATCGCGGTAACACTCGAGGGTAGGCATGGCGTGTAGGTAGTGAAAGACCCAGACGCTGGCAGGGGTCTCCAAGCTAAAACGCGCATGGGTGTGGAATTGGGAAAAATTCGCAGAGTATCGTGAATCGAGACCGTTTAACGGCGCTCGGTACGTCATCGGCCGCTAGCCATGCCAGCAATAGATACCTACCATCCCTCATTTCCTTCACCTGTCCATCAACTCGCCTTTTCCCCGCTTACAACCAACTTTGCCCGACCAAACACCAAACACTACCGTGTCTCACGACTTGCACCAACTTGCTCATTCATCCACGCGGGCTCGCCATATCACGTCACTTAGCTCTAACATGTGAACATCATGGTCAAAAGCCGCACGCGCTTATGCACCTCAGCAAATGCAGTATAATTCCCACGCGTTCATGCATTGCGGAGTCTACCGCCGCGGATAACTGCCGACGGTTCCGCTTTCTTGTCCAATTCTTCATCAACACATCCCTCCACACGGGTCAGAGTGGAATCCGGTCGAAATTTCTTCATTGTCATTTCTTCATGGCGAAGAAGTCGAGTGGGGAAGAAAGGGAATTGGCCACTTATATGCTATCCACTTGTGCGCCACCGCCTTGTTTAAGCCCCAACTGCATACCTCAATGCCGTTTTAGATTCTTCGGAAAGAGGGACAACTCCACAGCTGCCGGACCACGTCAAAGACCCTTTCTCATTTTACCCGTAACCATGGTGGAGAAGAGGGGGGCCCGCTGAGTCGTGATGGAGACAATTCCGCTGGTGGCGTTTGGTGCGTGGCCTGTCGCACTCGAGTAAGTCAGCTTTGGTGCGCAGACACGGCGGATGCGGACGAGTGTATCCGTGGTTTGCGTACTGAGCGGGGTAACTTGGTGGAGCTTTGACATACTTGAGTCGCTGCTTGTTTTCTGTGTTCAACAGTCGTCGGGCGGGAAGATGACAGCTACTAACAAGGTGAGTTCTGGGAACTTACGTATGACGACACTAAAAGAAGGCCTTCCAGAGCTTGCTAAGCTTTTATAATCACCCTGTGCGAGTACAGTGGATGACAATGCCTACACTTCTATTATTAATCCTGCTGCCATACTTGGGATTGTATAGTTTAGAGGTGTATAGGAAGCCTCACCGCTGATACTGGCGTACCACCAATGATTGACGTCAACGTCGCGAATATGGTGTTACTCTTGCATGAGCACTAGTATCACGGGACCATCCCGCTTTTCTTTCGGCTTTGATATCCGAGGAGACGTGGAGGCTTAAACCAAGGGCATCCCCGGTTGGACCAGGCTGTCGGTACAGACTACCCTGGAGAAGGGATAACATCGCACCACAACACAACGAAATCCATATGAGGACTTGATATGGTCATATCTACTGTGTATCGCCATTGATAATTCTCTCACCAATGACTGATGTCAATATCACGGCCGTGTCTTTAGTTCTGGTTTATTGGTGGGTCAGTATAGTGACTAGTGTTACTAAAACGAGGATTGATTCGCGGAGGCACAGATATGTATATAGTCTGTATATGTGTGTGCGGAAAGATATTGGACATAGGAGAGGGTGGGTTACCTAGTTAGAGGTCAGTTAATTATCACTGGAGATTCGTAGAATAGGGGTATACACAACATTATTGGACTGAATTTTGTCAATACTAAACGTGATACCACGCTTATACCCTACGTCCTCAGCCGCACATCTACCATCCACCCACTCCACCTCACAAATAAGAATCATCTATCTTCATCTACACTCCACTGGGTAGGTCTCAATACCACAATTATATACACCCGCAGAACACCTATACCGTATATCAGATACTAATCTCCACAAAATTACCCAAAATTAGCGCATTTATAGTCCACATCGTTCCAAGGGAACACTACAACATACTCACCAGTTGACCTAACTCTACACATACCAAGGAAAAAACTGACCTTACCCAGGACAATAGCAGTGTTTAATCAGAAATTCATCTAACACGCTGACCTGCGCCCCAAACACCCAGGATAGCATTACATCAACCTTAGCGTATGTCTTTCTTTACTACGCCCGTGCTATGCCATACAAGTGCTGTATAATAGATCTCGCGTATAATATGCGAATCATATCTAGTGGCTTATCAAGTGGAGTAGTAGCGACGGGACGTTTGATATCCCGTATACTACGATGTTTGATCAGATAGTCTGTATGAGTATACTGACGACCCTAATGTCCCGCTTACTTTTTCCGACAGTTCACAATGAGTAGCAGATAACTAAAAGCGAACAGACTCTCTCATCTACTTACGATAACATCCAATTAATCTCATACCACCCCACGCACTCGTAGTAGTACTCTGGCAAACCTCCACAGTCCGCAACAATCAATTAAGTGGGTCCTAGAAGGTTCAGATTGGATTGATTGATTACCGCTTTAAGCCTAGTAGTTACCTATAGGAGTTTAAGCCCTACCTAGATAGGTAAGTGGGTCTAGGAGAGTGACCGGATTGAATTGATTGTTGCGGAGTCTACAAACCTCAAAGACACCACATCTCCCTGCCTATCAAAGCGCGAGGACGTGTCAGCCATAACGCCCTAAAAAAGGGGAAAAATCAGACAGCGGGGCCACCTTTACCCTGGCCAGACTCCCCGTCGACACAGTCAGGTCTTCAAGATCAAACTACATCCCCCTATATAACGAACCTGGCTCCACATACTCAATGTACGGACCATGCATCAACGAGCTTGCGGGTGACCAAGAGGATAGGATTAAGATGAAAACAGGCGAAAAGGAAAAGCGGGAATTGCACTGGTCGCTGGATTCAAATACCCCGCCTGCTTGCCTGTACTAACAAAGCCTTGGGTGTTGGTGTAACCAAGATGATGGTTAGTGTCATACTGTAACATGGCCTGATAGTACCATATTTCCACTCTCTCCATGCTCCTATAATAATCTCAGTCTCCCAAGTAAAAACGCAAAATAAGCAATCATCATTCACGCCAAAAGAACTCCTGTTACGAGGACTTAATTATCGTTCTTCGCTTTAAATCCCCCCAAAAAGTCAATTGCTTTCTCAGCATCTATCCGTTTAATATCAAAGTAGATCATCTCGCTTCTTTATCTCCCAAAAACCAAATATGCTAAGCCCACCTGCTGAGGGTATAATGTTATACTCGTGTTACGCCGTTTTACAAAAGAAGAAAAGAAAAAGAAGAAAAAAAAGGATTTCGTCATGACACTAATGAGAAACCCTCGTGTATATGGCAACACCTCAAACACCTCTAGGACATGAGATTAGAACTGGTTGAACTTCTTGGCGGAATGCTATTGCGCCAGGATCTTGTCAACGGCAGCACCAGCCAGGTCCTGGACGTCTTGTATGCTGCCCTTGACTTCGATGATTTCCACATCCTTGAGCTGCTTGCATTCCGTCTCGTCAGGCTCCTCAAGCGCAGCGAACTGGCTCTCCACCATGGCGTCCTTCATGTAATGTCCTTTCCTGGCGCGCACGCGGGCGAGGAGGGTTTCCTTGTCGGAGCGGAGGTACACAAAGTGGACATTGGCATTTGGGTCTTCATCGTAGAGTCGGGCGGTTCGGATGACGTCGCGGTACTTCTTCTTGAGTGCACTGCAAGTGACAACGACACCCTTGGACCCATGCTTCAACTTGGTGAGCGCTTGGTCTCGTAGAAGGATAAGCCAGTCCCATCGGTCCTCGTCATTTAGCGGAATTCCAGCAGCCATCTTGTCAATGTTCGCTTGTGGGTGGAACTGGAATGCGTTAGTTCATCCATCATGATGATGTGTAATGGTCACTGACCTCATCGCCTTCGATGTAGTCGAAGCCATATCGATCCGACAAATGTTGCGCGATAGTACTCTTGCCGCAGCCAGCTGGGCCCGTAACAATAAGAATGTGGTGGTGGTGAGCAATAGCCATCTCGGTCGGTGATGATTCGCTAAGAACAACTGCGGATTTTGATGATGGTGAGCCCGTGTTGGAGGCTGGGGGAGTGGGCGGCGAAACATATTGTATGGGCTTTGGCGGTGATTGCTCCATCGTTTGCATCATGGTGGTACGTGAAGGGATACCAACGAAAGATGGACAAAAGTTCGTAGTACGGATCCTTTTGTATTACGCCGTCTGTAGAGTTGGGCGGCAAACAAAGACAGAGAGACGTGACGGGTGTGGGCTATCGGGTTGGATTAATATGCGAGATTGAGGCGGAGGACTATATATGCGAGCACCCGACGGGTTCTGGGGGCATGGTGCATTTTAAGTCGTGGAGGCGTTTGGAAATTTGTCCCGCAGGGAATGACGGCAAGGGTGGGATGCGATGGCAGTTCTCGTTATTTCTGGTAGCCAAGGCACGATGGTACGGAGAAGAGAGGCAAGCAACGAATCGCATGCCGAGCCGGGGGGCCAGGCTTAGCAACAAGGGCTGACGGGTGCAACAGCCGGGAAGCCGGACCTGGAGAGTTCAACTTCGGCGTTTGAAAGTGGACCTGTCGCGTGTGGGATGACGAGTAGCGGATCAGTCTCCCCGCATGCTGCACCCCAACCGTCAGGTACTGACGCATGCTGCATGCTTTCTCAGCCATCAGCCACGACGTGCCAGCGCAGGTTTCAGTAGCCTACGGCAAAGCGACACAGCGTCTACTTCGTCTCATCAGGGACCGACAAACTGCCTTCTTTTTTGTTTTCCATGATGCAAGAAAGTTAGGACTTCACCGCTTTGACTCGCGGCACACGAAGCTGTTTGATAATGGCGCGTGGGGGTTAGGCGGAGTTCCTGTGGAAGGCTGCGGGCCGGCCAGAGTCGAGGCTGACAAAATCTCTTTGCGCCGCATTCCACGGCAGATGCAGGCATAATTTGGACAGATGAAGCCACGGCTGGAAGCTGGATGAGGACCCGAAGGTGCACCTGCTCGCGTGCATCTTCACCGCTCCGGCACCTGCACGTTTGGACTTGGTGTGCCAGTGGCCATCTCTGTGCGCGCGGGAGTAGGGATGTGGGGGGCCATATGACCCGAGTGAGGACGCAGTGAGACGTGACGTGGATCCATTGAAACAAAAACAAGCATAGGGTGGGGTTTGAAGGGCCAGACGCAGACGTCGGGCTGCGACGTTGCGTGTTGGTCAAGGGAGGGGGAGGACGAGGGTGGAGCGGGGCAAGTTGGACGCATCATCACGTGACCCACCCAACGCGGACAAGCGCGTCATCGGTACCTGCCACATCTGGGGCGCAGCTATACACCACGGGTTAACCTCAGTCGAACTCCGCCGCGGCCGACGCGACCATTGACAGCTCAACCATCCGACGACGTGGGTTCATCGGGAAGCCCCAACGTAGCCGGCCATGTCCTACTTCTTCTCCACCCCGGTCGATATCGACATTGTGCTCGAGGACCTAGACGACCGCTCTGCTGTTGATGTCAAGCTGGACAAGAACCGCAAGGAAAAGGTGCCGCTATATCTCGATGGCGAGTCGGTCAAGGGCCAGGTGACGGTCCGTCCTAAAGATGGAAAGCGCCTGGAGCATACCGGAATCAAAGTGCAATTCATCGGCACTATTGGTAGGTTGCGCCGCATCGTCCAGCAACAGCTGCAGACATCATAGTGCTAGTCGCGCATGTGCTGATACAAGGCATAGAAATGTTCTTCGATCGCGGCAACCACTACGAGTTTCTCTCCCTTGGCCAAGAGTTAGCGGCCCCCGGCGAGCTCCAACACCCGCAGACGTTCGACTTCAACTTTAAAAATGTCGAAAAGCAATACGAGTCGTACAATGGCATCAACGTGAAGCTGCGCTACTTTGTGCGCGTCACCGTGTCGCGGAGGATGGCAGATGTCGTCAGAGAGAAGGACCTGTGGGTGTACTCGTACCGGATACCACCCGAGACGAATAGCTCCATCAAGATGGACGTCGGTATTGAGGACTGTCTGCACATTGAGTTTGAATACTCAAAGTCGAAATACCATCTCAAGGACGTTATTGTTGGCAGAATATACTTCCTTCTCGTACGATTAAAGATCAAGCACATGGAACTGTCCATCATACGGAGAGAAACAACAGGAGCGGCGCCCAACCAATATAATGAGAGCGAGACATTGGTGCGGTTCGAGATCATGGACGGCTCTCCGTCGCGAGGTACGCATTACCTCCATTACTGGTCTTGAGCGTCTGGACTAATCAACTTGCAGGCGAGACAATCCCCATCAGGTTGTTCTTGGGCGGCTTCGACCTGACTCCCACATTCCGTGAAGTCAACAAGAAGTATTCGACCCGATACTATCTCAGCCTAGTACTCATCGACGAAGGTTTGCTACGCCATCACCATTCTACATCCACGACTAACAACTGCCAGACGCTCGAAGATATTTCAAGCAGTCCGAGATTGTACTATTCCGGCAGGCTCCAGAAGGCTTGACCTTGGCACAGGAGCAGAACAAGTTAATGGCCGTTTCATGAGAAGGCGACAGACAGATGTTGTAGACAGGATAATTTGATACCACAGCGCCAGCAATAATATCACGAGCGCCGCATGTCCAGTGCAGATCGTTGCATGTATAGATAAAAGTGTAGCAATGCCATGGGTACTCTTCCCGGAAATCTCGGGCAAACAAAGCAATTTCGACCGAGTCTCCACACTAGGAAACATGTGAACGCGGGATCTGCATCGTTGTCACCTCACCAGTTGCGGCATCTTCATCGGCTTTCGGCTTCGCCTACAAGATCTCTAGTGGCAAGCTGTGGCTTGCGTCCTTGGCGACCGTTGCGCGAAGGTTGCAACCTTTACTTTACTGGCACTAGAGAGAGACCGTCGGAGTCCGCGTGGCGATTCCCGTCTCGCAAAAGACACCTGCTCGGTTTTCGGGTCATCTGCGCCCAAACATTCTTCTTGCTCACACGTCTCTCCCTAGAACATTCGACGTGTCCAAGTTTCATTTCTTGCCGTCAAGCTGGTATTACGCGTACAACATGCTGATCCCGACTCATCACCCTTTTGTTAGGAATAGCATGCGCTGCAAGCCGCGGAGCTCTCTCGGGCTCCACATTAAATATGCCGATGTTCAACACATTTTGCGATCCGCACGACGCCACACCTAGCCACCAGCCTCAGGATCGAGATGAAAACTCCCTTATCAGTGCATACCCACCAAAAAATTGAGGCTCTGCAACGGCCCTTCTCCACTCTACACGAAAATCAGTGAGACGATTGGTACACATGGCTTGGTGAAGCGAGCGTCTTTCCGAAGTACTGGAGCATGGGCGAACTAGGCAAAAGCTTCCTTGCAAGTGATGTCACACATGGAAATCTCAACTTTCCCATAGTCAGCTCACTCAAGTGCTTTTCACCATCTTATTACCCTGTTGACACCCTGAACGCCCCTGTTTGACCCTTAAATTACATACAATTGAATGTCACTTCGTCCAAGAATCAGCCACGCCTTGTAACGCAGTAGCAAGACAATCAACATGTCACAAGATCAGCCAAACAAGGCACAAAACAGTAAGTAATACCCCCCCCCTTTCTGATCGTTATGTTCTCCGGGGGATTCAATGCTGACGTTCTATAGCGGAACAACCACAAGAGTCAGCACCACAGAGACCAGGGAATCTCACAACGGAGCGGAGACAGCAGACAAACGCATCTGCGAGACCCCCAAATCTGCAACAAAACCGCTCTCATGCACCAAGTATAGCGAGGTTTGATACTGCCCGTTTGCAGTCAAGGCCTCACAATGAACGCTCTAGCACAGCCGGGACTGGCATGAGCCGGTTGGGGACTGTTCGAAACACTCCCTCAAGAGCAACTCGCGAGAATATTAGGCAAGAGCCTCCTCGACGGCCCGAGAAGAAACAGCAGCAGACTGTAGATGTTGAGAATGACTATTTTACATTGAACCCCTGGTATAACGAGCAGAAAGCAAAGCCCGTCTTTGGCTTAGGTGCGCCTCTACCACGCACGGTACGCCGTGGTATGTGGTGGGGACGAGGCGACCTGCGCAAGTCATTGTACAAAGTCGAAGATGAGGATGAGGACGGTGTTGCCCGTCAAGATGGATTGAATTTTGATGACAACAAAGGTAAGTTATTACGTACCCATTTATAGACCGATATTAAGTTTTCATTCTAACCAGCACTCAAGCAGTTTCGGAGGAAGATTCGGAAGATTCGGAAACTACCCTAGGTGGTGGACGTCAGCAGAATAGATATAATGACCCGGAACGATTCCAGACAACAATCGACGGCCGAAACGTCAGCGTCAGGCGTGTTCCGACTAGTGAAGCAAACGAGCTTCTTCATAGTCGGGACCCGCAAACCCACAGCCACGAAAACCATGAGGCCCAGGAACACCACGAAGGCCAGGAGCGTGCACCTGTCGATGAGCACGGCCTAGACTATTCTGACGCACGTGGACAACAGCAGCACTTTGGTTTGCAGGACGGACTTCCGCCACTGAAGGAGCTCGACACTCATGGGACTTCCGAAACCAAGCAAGAGCAAAGGGAGGAGCAGCGGAAAGCCGAGGAGGCGGAACGAGAGTTCTACAACCAGTACCGGAATCCCATTGCTAGGCTTCGGGCAAAGTATCCACAAGCACCTGCGGAGTTTCTGGCAGTAAGTATAATGCTGTGGCTTAGCAGAGACTCGCTAACATCTGCCAGACCTTCATTTATCTACTTATCGGACTATGCGTTAATCTTTCTGTTGCTACTTCCAAGAATGGAACTGGCAACTTTGAGACCCAAGCGTGGGGATGGGGCTTCGCCGTCATGATTGGCATCTACCTCGGTGGCGGTGTCAGCGGTTCGCACCTCAGTCCTACGATATCCATATCGCTTTCAGTCTATCGTGGTTTTCCCTGGAGGATGGCACTCGTCTACATTGCTATGCAACTGCTTGCCGGTCTCTGCGCCGGGGCTGTAGCTTATGCGTAAGTTCTTCCTCAATACCTCCTGGATCATATCAAATACTAACATTTCAACAGTCTCTACTCTGATGCTATCCATACAGTGGACCCCGGTCTTACCCTCGATTTGACAGGAAAGGCGCTCTTCCCCCAGGGACCCATCTACTCAACTGCCACTGGTTTCTTCAACGACTTCGTCTACATGGCCATCTTTGTATGCGTCATCTTCGCACTAGGAGACGACCAGAACTCTCCACCGGGCCAAGGAATGACGGCCTTTATCGTCGGTCTTACCGGCATGGTCACCATGATTGGCTTGGGCTACAACACTGGACTGGGTATCTCACCAGCGCGTGATCTCGGTCCCAGACTTATCGCGTTATGGGTTGGCTACGAGGACGCATTTTCCAACGGATACTGGGCATATGGGTCTTGGGGCGCGTCTATTAGCGGCGCGTTGTGTGGTGGACTGTTGTACGACTTGTGCATTTTCGTGGGAGGTGAGTCGCCTATAAATTATAGGTGGCCGCAGCCAGGAGACATCAAGTGGAAGGCTATAGATAAGAAGAACCGGACGAAGGAGCGAGCAAAGGACAAGATTCACGAGGTAGCGTAATAGATGTTGCTGCTGGAGGAATACAACCAGTTTTTTTTTCTGAACATCTATCATTCATGCCATTGCTCCTGACGGTGACGTGATTTGGACTGGCTTGTTGTATGCACGGTAGGCACGGGCGGCTCCGGATATAAAGCCGCGGGAACAACGCAGACTAGTTAACTACCTGGTTCGTCATCTGACCTTCTACCCTCAACTCAATCAGCAACCAGTCCGTGCAAAAGCTACCAAAACAAAGCGTAAACGTTAAACCCTAGGACCAAGCAGCGCAGTCTAAGATAAGGAAATCATCGCAATACCACAGCGTGTGTCGACCATCTCCTCGGCCGATCAATGACCGCATCGCCAATGGTTTCTCCGCTACATCAATAATCCACTCACCATGTTGTAGCACCAGAATCACCGAGACATTTAAAGAAAAAAAATCAACAAATCGTGACACCATACCATGCGCCACCAACTACACCGAACCATACCCCAAAACAGACATGCAGCTCCAACCCCCAGACCAAGAAGCTCAAGACCAAAACCCCCGTAAACTCAGCTTTCGGCAACGAATTAAACACTTCACATTCGCATGGTACCTCTCAACAATGAGCACAGGCGGTCTCGCCATAGCCCTGGGAGAAACACCACACCAATTCCACGGTAAAAGAACCCCCACGTTCATCCATCCATCCGTGCCTTTCCCAAAACTAATAGCAACCCCAGGCCTCTACCACATCGGTCTAACACTCTACATCATAAACGTCGTCCTCTTCCTCCTTATCACCCTACTAACCCTCCTGCGCCTAACCCTCCACCCCAACCATGTCCTAGCATCCCTAACCCACCCCTCAGAATCCCTTTTCATATCCGCACTCCCCCTCTCCCTCAGCGTACTCCTCGCCGGTCTGCAGATATACACCGTCACACGTAATCCCAGCCCGGCGTCCCCTTGGCTCTTAAATCTAATCTACACCCTTTACATCATATACACTGTCCTCTCACTCATAACTTCTACAACACACACATACTTTCTCATCGCCCACAGCCCCGTTCGCCCTATCCCGCACACCCCCGCCCTCTTCCTCCCAGGCTACTCCGCAATGCTAACCGGCACCGTCGCCAGCGTCATGGCGCCGTCGCAGCCGCCCCAGCGCGCGGCCCTCGTCGTGCTGACCGGCGTCGCGTGGCAGGGCTTCGGATGGTGTGTATCGTTCCTCGCCGTGGGCATGTATCTAAAATCGCTCTTGGATACGGGACTGCCAGGGAAGAAGATGCGGCCTGGGATGTTTATCCCCGTGGGCGCGGCGGCGTATAGTATCGTTGCGCTTGTGGGGTTGGCGGCGGGCGGTGTTCCTGCTGCCGACGCTGGTGCAGGGGGGTTCTTCGACAAGTATCCCCTAGCGAGGGATGCGTTGGTTCCAGTGGCTGTTTTTGTGGGCTTGTTCTTGTATGTTTTTGCGTTTTGGCTGTTTGCGTTGGCTGTTGTGGCGAATTTGCAGGCGGTACTGTGGGAGGGGGGGATGGAGTTTGGGTTGGGGTGGTGGGCGTTTGTTTTTCCGAATGTGAGTGTGATGGTGATGATGTTGGTTTGAGGTGGAGTGTGGATATTTAGGTTGCTAATGTTGCGTAGGTTGGGTTTACGCTGAGTACGAGTGTGCTGGGAAGGGAGTTGGAGAGTGAGGCTATTCTTTGGGTGGCCAGTGGCATGACTGGTTTGTTGGTTGTTATTTGGATGGTCTCGGCTGTGGCGTGTGTGAGGGCGGTTTGGAATGGGAGTATTGTTTGGCCTGGGAGAGATGAGGATAAGGATCGGTGAGTTAGTGAGTGGGTGTCGTTTGGAAGTGTTGATTCTTGAGAAGTAACTGCAGAGGTAATCTCTAGCATCCAAGGGAAATGGTAAGACTGCAATGCGCATTTAATGTCCATTTTTTACAAGCTCTTAGCACAGTTGAAAACCACCAAGGCTATCTAGATTGATTGATCAGGTATGGGCAACCTTCCAACCACCAGGCATCAGATCGGTGTAAACCCTAAAAGGATCGTACTTGCTTCGAATGGCTTTCAGCTTCCTCAGATTAGTAGCTGGATAACTCTGAAAGACTGGCTGACCTTTCCCTGCGTCGTTCATATAGAGATACTGAGCATTGTACAACTTGGCCTCGAGCAAGCCGTTTATACTCGCTGTAATCTCATCAGCAGCAGCGCGTACCTTGGTATCATCGCTCGCCGAGGTCCAAGTAAAGTTCTCGACCATCCAGAAAAATGGCGCTTTGGAAACATCGATGCCTTGTGGGTTGCCTCCCGTCTTAGCGCTGTGTGAAACGAAGTCTTTGCTGACAGGTTGAAATGTTACCGAAGCCTGGAGATTTGTCATATTCGACAGCTTATTGTTCACGCCTGCGATGAACGCATCGTGAATAAGCTGAACCGCATCTCGATCAACCACAGAAGACATGGTCCGGAACTCTTGGCGTAGTCCTAGAGGCTGCAACGCATCTGTAGCTGCGATGTAATCCGATAAAGGCTGCAGTGTGTAAGAATCGGCGACTGGGATAAGTTTTGGTGCAGTGAAGTTCTCGAACACTTCCGGGTCGTTGATAACGGAGTTGTAGAATTTTGCAGCCGCGTAAACGGTCAGGTTTGCGGCGGGAAAGGTTAGGATAGTCGGTATGATGGCAGCCTTGGGGTCTGCAAAACCACCGTATTTTCCAAAGTCGTGCACGCCGTCCAGATAGCCCTGTACCTGGGACTGATTGAATTGTGCAATACCGATGTGTACTGTGCTGCCCTCGACCGATCGGAGATCAAATCGGGTGACGATACAGAATGAATTGCCGCCTCCCCTCAAGGCCCAGAAGAGGTCAGAGTATGCATTTGTCGCTGTCGCTTCCACGATTAGACCGCTTGACAAGACACACTGTTCTCATCAGCAAAAAGACGATATTTCGTCAAATGATCAACTAACCTGATATTTAGCGACATTGTCCGAGGCAAAGCCAAATTGCGAAGAGTAGAATGAGATGCCTCCTCCAAGCAACAAGCCCGGGACACCCACATGACCCACACGGCCACCAACTGCTGCAAGTCCAAATGGCTTCAGGTAGGCGTAGACATCTCTCCATCGGTTACCAGGTTCGACAGAAACGATAGACTTGTTTGCTGAAAGAGAAAGCGTAGTGAGGTTAGAGGAAGACAGCAATACGCCAGAGCTATCGATACCATTGTATCCTGGAATTGGCATGTGCCCGCCGCCACGCATAGCAAATTTGGATTTTGTGAGTGTGAATGTAGTAACTGCAAAAGAAACCTGTTGAGCGTTTTGTGGCACAAAAACGCATGAGGGTGTGCTGTACACCGTTGCCGACCAATAAGCTTCAGATTATTAGCACTTGTCCATTATTTGGCCTTGATAGCTTACGATCTTGAGTTTCATATGCGTAGCCTGAAGTCCCAGGCAAGAACGTATTATCGGGGTACCGAGTCTTCAACTTGGAGCAAGCGACCTTTTCACCACTGGAGCGACGTGACCCAGCAGTGATTGTGGCGACCGATGGCACAGAAAAGAGTATAGCAACTATAATTCCTGCAAAAATCCCCATCTTGAAGGTTGGAAAGAATTTTCGAGGTATTGCACGTGGGCGTACGTAGGCGAAAGGAGGTGTTTATAAAGATTTCGAGCGAACACAGGCAATCGTCTCCGCGGCATATCTTCATAGGCCCTGGCCCATCACGCCCAGACCCGACATACTGTAGACAGACCGGGGATGTTACTGTTTCGGGAAATTGAACGGACTTCCCGCATGCTGGTATTGTGTGACGTGCTCTAGCGAATGCAGGCAAACTGGGTTGTGACATCCTTACAAGAAGTTTGGAGTGCGTATGACGAAACGACGAAACGACGAAAATCGAAAAAATGCGCGATTTACCAAGTGACATTAGGAAGAGGTAACTTGATCTCCCCGGCATAGTTTGATACATGTACAAAAGATGGCGAAGACGAAAAACACGTTACGGTAGTATGTACGGATGCGGCGCGTACTGGGCTAGGCTCTAACTAGCGCAGATCCCTCCCGAGATCATCTATAAGCGGGCAGGTACAGCCTGAGTAAGTCGTACATAGTCTACAGAATTGTTTGTGAGGATGCTTAATGTCACTGCATACTAAACCCATGTAGAACATTGACTCCGTATTCAATCCTCAAGACGTGCCGTATGTACAGGTTGCAGAGCTGGGCGGAGTCTGGCAAAAGCAATCCATATGAAGAGTGACAGTATGGTCTGGACCAGAATTGCAAATCGGAACACGCCAATACCCAAGCCGTCCACAACAGCTCCAATGGCAAAAGGCAACAAAGCACCTCCAACTTGCCCCAGTGAAGCTACAAAAGAGACTGCTGCGACGTGCAACTCTCCCGGCAGCAACCGCGTAAGTACCACTACACCAGACGGAAACAACGGACCCATGATGAAGCCAAGCATGACCATGATAACCACCGAGACAGCAGATGATGCCACCACAGCGAAAAGCGCTTCGAGAGCAATGGCAACACAGAAATACAACATTGTTGCTCGACGCACACCAATTCTGTCAGTAGCAAAGCCCAAGGTTAGTCGTCCAACAGCCATGCCAATCCAATATCCCGAAGAGGTAAGTCCAGACTGAGTTAAACTCGAGTGTCGGTATCGCCACATGAAGGAAACTACCCATCCAGAGATAGCTGTCTCCGTTCCAACGTAGGTGAGGAAATAGGCTGCACAAAACCAAGTAGCACGGTGCCTGAACATGGCTTTGGCATCAATCTCCACACCGACGACGGATGAACGTTTACTTTGACGATAAGCAGTCGCATCTTCATGTCGAAAAGCAGCAACAAGGACGATAAACGACAATGTCGAAGCGCCAGCCTACAAACAATCAGTCAGATATCCCATACTCAAGATTAAGCCACATACCAGAATATAATACCACTCCCACCACGCCCTCCCCCCAGACGCCAACAGCGTCACCAAAAACGGTCCCACAGCCCCACCAACACTATAACTCCCGTGCAACAACCCAGACACCGTATTCGCCCTCTCCATACTCCCCGCCCACGCACACCAACTCCCATCCAGCAGCCCGGTCCCCAGTCCCTGCGCCGCAAAAGCACACAACACCCATCCAAAGGCTGGATGCGCCGCCGCAAACGTAGTCGACAGAATCTGAAACACAGGCCCTGCGACAGCGATGCCCCGCTGCCCGAAGCGGTAGTGGATAGTGTCGCTGCATTGGGCGGCGAGCACGTAACCGAGGGGGCCGACGAGGAAGATGGAGGAGACGTGCAGGTCAGTTAGGCTGTAGTGGCGGGAGAGGAGGGGGAGGACGGCGCCGAGGGAGGAGTTGAAGAGGCCGAGGGTGATGAAGGAGTACATTGCTGCAGCGATTTTGAAAGTTTGGCTTGGCGGCATGTTGGAGGGTGATCTTTGGAGACTATCCTGTTGAGTGGGAACAGTTTCGGTATCGCCATTTAGTAGAGGAGAGCCTTCGCTGGTATTGGGTCGGCGCGACATGGTTTAGGACGGCGCGCTCAAGACGCGGTGCTGGCGAAGGGGTTGAATTTTCTAAAGACGTATAATCACGGTATCATTGTAGTATATGATAGTTAATTTTGGATAGCTACTAGGTGCGTATGGAGTTAGACACTTGATGTATGACGAGGGATTGGGATGGAAGCTGTCTTCGCGGAATGTCGCTACAGGCTGACAAGCGCGGCCAAGACTTGTTTACTTGTTCTAGGCGATTACATCATCGCTGGAGCGTGTGGTGGAAGCTCTAGAGACCAACTTGATGCCACAATCCTTGTATCTGGATGTAGAACGACTTGAGTTTTGTAGGGAGTTTGCAAAAAGTCCTTCAACCATGTTGTGTTGGGAATCAGATTGCATTTCCAAGTCCTTGCCTAGGTATCATATTGAAGTAGGCGATGTTTCCCGGATAACACAGTATTTCATTCGCATGCGGCTGCAACGGATGCCATGCTGGAGTCCTTCCTAGTCCTCGTCCGATGACGCATAACCGAGCCCGAGTGAAAGAAGATTCGCGGTCTTTGATGGAGGCACCGATGAAGGTTTGGTAGTGTTGACTGGTGGTGTTACAGAGCTTTCCGTGGTCATTTCACTACTCGTAGTAGAAGGTGCGGTCGCGTTCGCTTTCTCAGTAGGTTTGTTGCCTTCTGGCACAGAACTCGATTTCCTTAACTTAACACCCTTTAGTAGACCGGTCTCAGGAGCTTTCTTCCTCTTCCGCCCAACAGCTGCCCACTGTCCAGCGTCTTCATCCTGTGGCGCCTCTGAACTCTGCTCTTCTAGACCTCGCGCTTTTCTCTCTTCTTCTTCGCGCTGTCTGCGGAACAGTTCCAATTGCTCTGACGTCTCTTTCCTGACCCTTGCTTCCTCTAGGCGCTTCTTCTCCAGGACAGAGTCCAGATAGTCGGCTTCTTCGTCATCAAGGGCCACGTGTAACTTGTAACGGGCCTTCTCTTCAAACTCGGCTTGCTTCTTGTCTTTGTTGGCTTGCAACACCTCGAATAACGATTTTCCGTCTTGTTGTTTTGCTAACTCGGCTTTTGCGCGTCTGGCGTCCTCAATTTCCTGCTGAGCCCTCTTCCACTCATCGTCGCGCTCCGTTTCCTCGCCAGCTTTGCCGCCGCTGACAAACCCAGAAGACATCTCGGTCCACACTTACACGGCTAGCGCGGAATGCTGATTGCGGCGCAGTGGAGTGTCGAAACGGTGCCATGTCGGGACGGCAGAAATGTTGTAGCAGCTGTTCCGACTTCCTCTTTCGCTTTAGCGCCAGTGGATAGCTCCCCACCGACTTGACCTCACCCGCGGACAAGTCGCGTTCTGATACGTGGAGCTTTTGTGCCGGTGCCTAATCTTTGCTCGGTGTTAGCACCGATGTGCTGGATGAATGTTGGAGCTGACGTAGGAGGGGCAACGCGTTATACCCCTCCACCCACGCCGCCATTGAAAAGATTGCAGACTCTGGAAACTTGATATTTCCTACACCGCAAAACTTTACTTACCAATTTATGCTCCGAACACTAGCAAGAATGGCACCAAAGAACTGGACCAAAGAGACCTTTACTGTACGTACAATGCCATACCAAACACTACTTGCGCCTCGCGACGATCAAAGCTAACTATCCACAGCTCAACACTGGCGCAAAGATCCCAGCTATTGGTCTCGGAACCTGGCAGTCAAAGCCCGGTGAGGTTCGCGAGGCAGTCAAGGCCGCTCTCCAGGGAGGATACCGACACATCGACACCGCTCTTGCCTACGGCAACGAGAAGGAGGTTGGCGAGGGCATCAAAGACTCAGGTGTCCCCCGTGAGGAGATCTGGGTAACTACTAAGCTAGATAATCCTTGGCACAAGCGCGTGGAAGAGGGTATCAACAGCTCTTTGAAGAGCCTAGGCCTCGACTATGTTGATCTCTATCTCATGGTAAGCGTGTGTACTCGAATCTGCCAAAACCATACTGACAAACTTCACAGCATTGGCCTTCTTCAACTGACCCGGACGACCTTAAGAAGCACTACCCTGACTGGGACTTCAAGGATACCTGGGCAGAGATGCAGAAGCTCCCCGAGTCTGGCCGCGTGAAGAACATTGGTGTCTCCAACTTCGCCATCAAGAACCTAGAGAAGCTCTTTGCCGACTCTCGCACCAAGATCACACCTGCGGTCAACCAGATCGAACTCCACCCTAACAACCCTTCGTAAGTTGATTTGATCAGTTTATATGCATGCAAGTATGCTGATAAACATCCAGGCCTAAGCTCCTCGACTACCTCAAGGAGAAGGGTATCCACGCCACTGCGTACTCCTGCCTCGGATCCACCGACTCTCCCCTCTACAAGAACGAGAAGCTCAAGAAGCTCGCCGAGAACAAGGGCAAGTCTGTCCAACAGGTTCTGCTCATGTGGGGTCTTCAGCGCGGAAGCAGCGTCATCCCCAAGAGTGTCACAGCATCCCGCATCATGGGCAACTTCCAGCTCGATGGCTGGGAGCTGACTGACGAGGAGATGAAGGAGATCAACTCGCTACCTGAGCGCTTCAAGGTGTGCGGTGACTCTTGGCTACCTGTCAAGGTCTTCTTCGACGACGACGAGTAGGTCTTTTGAATTGGGCCGAGGTCTTAATGTACTATGATACCATGAATGCAAAGCAATGAAGAAACAAATACACCAAAATACGTTTTTTGAATTAACAGTTGCAAATTGTGAAGAGTTTCTCGATTTATCCGTATGATCCTAGGCAGCATCATCGTTGCCTGCAGGCAGTGTGATGATGACCTACCGCATGCACGTGACCCCGCGTTTGGCGCTAATTGAGACGCGCCGGATCTAATGTGCGCTCGCCACTCATCCTTCCCTTTTGCATAAACACCCGCAACTTGCATACGATCACCTACATCTTTCCACAACTCAAATCGCCCAAGATGAGCAACGAAGAAGAGCAGTATGAGGACAGCACGATGGGCGGTCCTGGTGCGCCAACTCCAGTATCTGCGCTTGAGGTAGGCTTTTGAGACTCACGATACATAACAGTTGCTGACATGCGTTCAGGGAGTAAATGGACTGACTGCACGCGATATTAAACTGGTTATCGAAGGTGGCTACAACACGGTAGAATCGATTGCTTATACGTATGTTGGGTGCTGTACGGAATACGACCCCGCCATTAACACGAGGTAGACCACGACGAGCACTCGAACAAATAAAGGGCATATCAGAGCAGAAGGCGTCCAAGTTACTTGCTGAGGGTAAGCGTCGTACATGTTGTTGTCAATAACATTACTAATAAGACCAGCCTCTAAACTTGTGCCCATGGGCTTTACCACGGCTACCGAGATGCACTCGCGTCGAAGCGAACTCATTTCGATTACGACGGGATCAAAACAGCTGGACACACTGCTTGCGGGCGGCATCGAGACTGGGTCTATCACGGAGATATTTGGCGAGTTCCGAACAGGAAAGAGTCAGATCTGTCACACGCTTGCCGTGACATGCCAGTTGCCGTTCGACATGGGAGGCGGTGAGGGAAAGTGCCTATATATCGATACTGAAGGCACTTTCCGTCCAGTGCGATGTCTGGCCGTGGCAAATCGTTACGGGCTTTCTGGCGAGGAAGTGCTGGACAATGTCGCGTATGCGCGCGCATATAACTCGGACCATCAGCTGGAGCTTCTCAATCAGGCCGCGCAGATGATGACGGAGACACGCTTCTCTTTACTTGTTGTGGATTCCGCCACAGCGCTATATCGTACCGATTTTGCAGGGCGTGGAGAACTTTCGGCAAGACAAACACATCTTGCCAAGTTCATGCGCACGCTGCAACGGCTTGCCGATGAGTTTGGGATCGCTGTTATTATCACGAACCAAGTGGTTGCGCAAGTCGATGGTGGGCCTAGTGCCATGTTCAACCCTGATCCCAAGAAGCCCATCGGAGGAAACATTATTGCGCACGCAAGTACAACTCGTCTGAGTCTGAGAAAAGGCCGAGGAGAAACGCGTGTGTGCAAGATCTATGACAGCCCTTGTCTCCCAGAGAGCGATTGTTTATTCGCCATCAACGAGGACGGCATCGGCGACCCCAAGGAGAAGGATCTGGAGGAGAGAAACAACAGGTGACGAGGTGGATGATGGTGCAGCTTGTGTATGGCCTGTATGCGGTAACTTGTCAGGGCGGATGATGATTTACATGGTCGACTTTACGCTTTATGGTTGATTCTTTGCAATGATATCTCAATTAAATGTTGAACGACACTCGCCGTATATTGTGAGTCTTGCAGAGCGTGTGCCAGGCTCGCCGCTCCAACTAGTGTGTGCCTGGCCCGTGCCCCAGCTTTGTCGCGCATTCTGGGGCATCGCGACGACTGTTTTCGAGCTCCACCTGCGCGCCGACCGCCGCAACTCAACCCAACCAAACCGCGCACCATAACGTCGCATGCGATCAGGATGGCGCAAACCCCAGGCACATGTCTCTACAAGGAGGCACGACTGAATATCGAATCAGCTTTTCCTGGATCGACCATCGCATTCACTATCCCAGCGAGCTCTCCATTTGGTGGCCGTCCCAATGTCAAGCGCAGCATAATCACCGAACACCATGTAGACAAAGACGAGGATGCCTTTACGAGACGTCATCTAGCCACAGACGGGTCAATGCACTTTCGGCGACACCATGGCTACCCACGAAGCTTTCTTTGGCGCGTCCTGGACAATAGAAAGATGCTGGAGATACAGGCCGTCGACCTCGACCATGATTTCTCCGACAAATTCGAAGCAAACCTCACCATCCTCCTGCAGTTTCCTGCCCCGATTCGCCCCTTTTGTGTGGCTTTCGCAGAGCCCGCCGACCGAGATGCATTGACTGTCTTCGCCATCACCACGGCCAACGAGCTGTATACGATTACCCTACACCGCGACTTCTTCGCCAACCCCGCAGCCTCGGAACAAGACTCGGATCTGTGGTGCAAGAGGTCCGAGCCGGCTCTCTTTAGCGGGCGCATACCCTACAGACTCGTTGCAGTAGACGCAGACGAACTACTCGTAACACTTGATGATGGAGCCATTTGTCGTTTGGATTGGGACAAGTCATACAACAAGTGGGAAGGCTCGCGCTACCAGGAAAGCAGTTGGTCGGTACGAGGTCTTTTATCGTGGAAAGCGCAACCTACAGTTCGGTTTGAGAATGCAGACTTCGCCATCTCAGCCGCCGCTGCAGTCGCTATATCACCCGATAAGAAACACATCCTCTCTGTGTGTCTGGACCATTCGATAAGAGCGTGGAATATTGCAACAGGAAAGCCAGGTGTTCACATCGATCTCTTGGGTGCCGAGGATCTCGCTGTGGAGAAGTCGCACACTTCATACACAATCGGAACCTCGCAGTCGATGCTCATGGCGGTTGTGGAGGTCATGGGCGGAATAGGAGGGGCAGATTATCACGTTGTGACGTACTCGCCAAAACAACATCAGTTCAAGTTCTGGGGAGTGACGGATGCCGACGACGAGTATTCTGGCTTTTACGATGCGGCTGATGGCTCAGAACTGATTCCGCCAATCGACGAACTCATGAACACGACCGTGTGGACATTGGAAGAGTTTCACATCATCCCTGGACCCACTGGGTGGAGAGGGTCAGAAATATGGATCCGAGCAAGATCTGGGCCAAGCAGCAAGGTCTATTCTCTAAAGTTCGACCTCACCGATCTTCCAGAAGCACGGACACAAGCATGGAGGAGCGATTGGGTATCCGTCGACTCTGGACCATTGACAGTGGAAGCTCTCAAGGCAAATCCTGCGAACCCCAGTGCACGGCAGACGGATGCTGATCAGAGTGAACTCGACTCCACGGAGCAGTGGCTGGACTTCTTATTCTATCCTGGAAGGTTTACCGTTGCGACATTAGAAACATCACTCGTAATCTACAAGAGAGGGCTGGAGCGAGTGCGCACAAATCGATCGGTACACAGAGGCTCCCTCAAAGAGCGCATATGTGCCACAGTCACGGCCCTCGCCGCTAACGGCAAGCACGACCCAGAGGAACTCGAGGAAGCTGTAGCTGCGCAATGGCAAGCATACTACAGTCTTGTAAAAGACTTACATAAGCGAAGGGGTGAATCACTATCGCTTGCCTATGATCGGGCAACTGATATGCCCTGGCTTGTTTTGAGCGATCATCTATCTGCCATCCGGACTTGCAGTGAATCAGAAGTCACTACATTGAACGCAGCACTTCTTTCAAGTTCGCGAGCGCTGAGTAAACCTCTACGCAAGACATTGGACACGTCTGATTCTCGCGATGTTGCGCGCTTGCTCAATGCTGCAGCGTCGTTCCGCCAACGGCTGCCATTCTTTGTCCAACAAGAAGTTCAACGACACATGGAGATGGATCTGCTCCAGAGCAGGAACATCACTATTCTGGACCGCATGGAATGGATCGAGGCCAACAGCGAACTCTCGCAGCACGTGTCCGACGAGGACGTAACCCAGTTGGTGGAAGAGCTCGGCATGGAGGTAAAGGATATCGGTACCGAGACCTTCCTCCGAGCCATTAAAACGTTGGGCTATGAGGAAGACGGCAAACCTCAACCGAGGAAGCAGATTGCACGTTACGGCCTTAGTGCTCTGTCTAGGATATCCCAAGAAACGCTAGAGGCCGACCACAACACCCTGTTAGATTTGCTAGTCCTGCTTCTCTTCATGTTCATTGAGTTGGAGGGTGAAATGCCCGACGACTTTGATGCCTCGGAGGTCTTCGCCGAGCTACTACTTCGATACAAGGACGGCATGACGGTGTCCTGGCTGGCTCGCACAGTCTGGTCTTACCCAAGCGCAACGGGTCTAGCATCAGAGAATGCCAACCGCACTTTGAGCGAGACACTGAAGATTGGGAAGAAGCTGCCCCTCACACAAACGGTGCTCGAAGGAGCATATGGCGGACGTGCCTTTGAGGTACCGCTGCCAAAGGACATGAAGGCCAACCTACTCACACGCTGGAGTCGCGGTTGGTTAGCATCAATTTTTGACCATTTGGAGTACGAGAATGTGGTCGAGGATATCATGGGCATCCTGCTCTGCTCAATGGAGTACGAGCTAGCCTTGGATTTCTCACGATTCCTCACTGAAGGTTACTGGGCCACGTACCTTAGAGGGAGGTTGTACATAGCGCTAGGGGAGCCTGCACTTGCATCTGCGTGTTTCCAGAAGCCTGCGTACTATTTATGTAAGTCTGTCAACTACAAAATGTCATGCAATAAACTAACCCTCACAGCTCTCGGCGCAATGTTCGATGTCGCGGAACAAGACACAATAGGCCTGATTTCAGAGGTGGAGCGAAACTCGTTCTCGGATGGTTTGGCACGCTACTACAGCCATGTCATTGGCTTGTTCGAGAGGGCCAAGGCATACTCGTATGTTGCAGACTTTGCGAAAATTGGTCTACGGTCTCTGCTCGGCCAGGAGGACGAGGCTCTCAAGACCGAACTCCTCCAACGGCTGTTTACCGCTTCAATCCAGACCTCGAGATTCCGCGATGCATACTCTGCGCTGATTAGACATAGCGACACGGCCTTGTAAGTCGACGCTCACATCCATACGACCGCTTATTAACTTTGACAGAAAACACAACGATCTCCAGAGCCTCATCACAACAATGGTCGCCCAGTCGCGCACAACAGAGCTCCTCGCATTCCCCTTTGTAGGTCTCGTAGATGCCGTCGACACCATCCTAACCTCGCTCTGTCAAAAGACGCTAAACATCACGTCTGGTCCTCCATACCACCAAATACTCTATTCCTTCCGCATCTCACGCAACAACTTCCGCGGCGCAGCATCTATCCTCTACGACCGTCTGCAACGCCTCAATACGACTTCTTCCAAACACCACGACCCGGCCGACGAGTCCCTGGCGCAGTGCTACCTCATGATCATCAACACGCTGTCTTCCGTCAACAAAGAAGACGCGTATATCTTGGCAGATCAGCGCATGGATGCAGTGGGCGCACCGCCGCAATGGGGTATCGGTCAGGGGAAGAAGCTGCTTAAGAGGCAAATCATCACACTGGATACGCTGAGGAAGGAGTATCAGGCTGAGCTTGATCGGGTTGCGGCGATTGAGAGTGGGCAATTCCCTTTTGTGGATCCGATGGATGATGTAGATATTTTGTAGTTTGTTTGCTATGGCTATTCAGGCTGTTTTATGCAGCGAGCTGGGCGTTTGGATGGGATGGAAAGTACTGAAATGAAAATGTGGGGGAAATGTGTAGTTGGGGTGGTTTAAGTAGCTAGGGGCGAGAGCTTCTTGCTGGGTTTTATCTTCTTGAGGATGGAAAAGAGAGGATGAGTAATGCGAGTTATGCATGTCAATGAGTTTTGCTGCTTGCTGAAGGTTACTACTCTGACATGTGTGAAAGAGGTCGCAGCATGAATAGACGAGCATAGCATATAAGGTGAGCATTATGCTTTGTGAGAGTAAGTAGGAGGCGCATCTCTGCTATCACCATCAATTCCAATCTAAATTGCCATTTCCTCACTTGTGTGTTCAAGTGCAGCGGACAGTGAGGATGAAGGGTGAACGCCAACGTTACGCGCTCAGCTTAACTAGCGCGGCGCGAGTGATAAGTTAGAGGGGCGGCGCGATCCGCATGCAATGCGACTTCTGAAAAACAATGACAACTGCTAAAGTGTGCATACGGTCCCACCTTTACACGATAAACCTGCAGATACTCTAATCTCTTCCTTGTCACCTATACACATGCAGCGCTACTCAAAAAGCGCCTAATACCATGGTAAAACCGCCGTCTCTGTAACGATTGCATTCGCTAACAACAACACGACAGAACTCAAAGTCGTTGCGCCGTCTGGCCGCCGACCACGGCTCCCTTCACACTGCCGGCCTTCCTCCCAACTACCTCTTCCCTCCCGAATCAGACAGCTCTGCTGATCTCACCTCGCTCGACATCCTGCTCGCCGGCCCGGTCGGCACTCCCTATGCAAGTGGTGTATGGCGACTACACCTCGACATCCCGCCCACCTACCCAACCGCACCACCTACAGCCCAATTCCGGACCCGGTTATGGCACCCCAATATCGACGAGGCTACAGGCGCCGTCTGTGTGGAGACGCTGAAACGTGATTGGAGCAGTACGCTGAAGCTCCGGGACGTCCTCGTCACTATATCATGTCTATTAATACAGCCGAATCCCGCGAGTGCCCTGAACGAGGCGGCAGGAAAGCTAGCCGTCGAAGACTGGGACGGCTACTGCAGAAGAGCAAAGCTCATGACGGACATTCACGCCGCCGTGCCGACGAGTCTCGCAAAGGACGTCAGGGAAGCCCAGATGCGCGGTGAAGACAAGACCACGGAACCCGAACAGCCCATAGCGAAGCCGCACTCCAAGGGCAAAGAAAAGGAGCGTGTCAAGGTCACGCCCGGCGGGCCCAAACTACAACGCATGGCCTCTGAAGACGAGGAAAACAGGCGCCGACGCGGAACAACACAGGACGCAGACAGCGACCCGGAAAGCGACTGGATCCCGGGTCCCGTTAAAGCAAACAAAGCCACCACCACCACCACCACACGTCAAGACAATATCTTCGGTATTAGGGGGTTGGAAGATGCCATGCAACTCGACACACCACCCAAGCGCATCTTCGCCGCACCATCCTCCGCAAAAGAGAATATGGAAATCGATGACTCGGACCCTTTCATCTCCGTGTCTCCTGAACGCTCAACACAACAGTCCTCCCGCTCTTTTGACCTTCGTCTCCCCAAAGCAGCGAGTGCAGCGAGCACATCTCTCAACCCATCCCTCTCAACCCCCGTATTCGCAGAAACGCCCTCCCACCAATTCCAAGCCCAAACCCACTTTTCAACCGCCCAGCCAACCACCCATCCTCTCCTAAGAGAATTCTCATACTCGTGGGAAGAAGCCGCCGCCTTGCACGATGTTAACCCTGACCTACACACTGGTCTGGGTAAATCGGAAGCGAAGAAACGGCTCTCGAGCGATGCGTTTGAAGCGAAGAGGGCGTGGGAGATTAAGAGGTTTAGGAGGGCTGGGTGTGATTTGAGGAGGTGGGGTAAGGGGGACTTTGGGCCTAAGGTTGGTGTTGGGAGGTTATAGGTGCGGGGGTGGGGGATGGGGGGATAGGAAAGGGAGAGAGAGTAGGTGAGGGTGCGTGGGGGTACGGGGGATGGGAGGGGGAGGGGAGGGTGGTATTATACCCATGACTATGTTTATGAGATTAGTTTTCTTTGCTAAGCTGTTGCTTTATGATGTATGTTGTGAGTTGTACATGGTACCCGCTGCGTTTACGACACAGGAAAGCCGACTTTTCCAACAAGAAAACATGCGGACATTATGGTTTTGAGTAGATGACTCAGTGTTTAGGCTTCTAGAAGACAAATGAGGAGACGCACGCGGAGGTACATTGTGCAAGGCAGAAACATGCACCCGTCATAATCTCCTGAACACAGCGAGAGACAAGAAAGACTCTACATGCAATATTTCCAGCGCATTTTCATTAGGACATGTTCTTCCACATGGTTATGTTTGGGAGCATATACCACAGCTACTATAGGCTTTTAGGAGGAGGAAGACGACAGGAAAGTCCACATAGCGTCTCTTCAAATTTTTTGCTTTTTTCTAGGGGACCATTCTTTTTGTTCATGCGTGGAGGAATGGAGTATAGGTGTTGACACGGCAAAGGTGTCGAATATCACTGTCGTTGCAACGAACAAAGTATATGATATTTGATTAGTAGTGAGCAAGGGCTGGGTGGAGAGATCTCCCTATGTACGGGTGCGAGCTAAGCGGGAAGCTTGGTCTAACTAGTGGTCCAAGCTTCCAGCCCGGAAAAGCTCGCTAAAATACATCCACGCCAGGCTGGCTGTACGCGCATGTCCCAACAGAGTAAGGTGTTTTTGAAGGTAAGGGAGAGGAAGACGGCAGGGGGGAGTTGAGACGAGCTGTGTTTTTTTAATAGTGGGTAGTGGGTTTTGAATTGAGTGGCTTTTTTTTATTTCATTTGAAGTGAGATAGGGGCGACTTTTAATCCAGTATGCCGGAGTGATTTTTATAAAAAGTCAAGGCCAACATCGCCAACATCCCCACCATGGTACCATGGTTCGACCGCACCTTCAACTCCTGGTTCACCATCATCGACACGTCACTGCCCGCACGCAGTCAGCGTTGCGAAATCAAGTTCGAACAGACTCACTGTGTACTGGAGGCAGCCCTGCCCACGTACATTCACTGAGTGAAAACTGTCACTTACTGAGTATAAGGTGTTGGGATAACACCTTAACTGCTTTTTTGTACTGCTGCTATAAAGACCGCGTTGTGAAAATCTGCTACTACTAAGCATTGATATCACTTACTGTTGGTAGGGCTGTAGCACTAGTGCTGAAAGGAAATAACGATAACTAGGAATGCATTCTGTTCGGTGATGGTTCTGATTGATTGTCTTGTGAAGGAGAACTATGGGAGAGCTAGATATAGGAGGTCTGATCTGAGCGCTGCTCGGACGCCGCGATCAGTGCGCCTGCTCGCGTGACCGAGATCAGTGCGGCCGATCGCGTGGCTGAGATATCGTTGATATCTGTGATCCGACAGTATGTTTATATGATTTATACAGAGAGGACTAAAGTCAGCATATTACTCGCTTCGATGGTCTTGTAATCGCGTATAAGCCCATAGCATTACTACCAGAAAGTTTATGGTGGGATTAACCGGGGGAAATATTGCACATTGTATGCGAGAAGTATATTTGAATACAAATTAGTAGAGTTTGGTAGCCATGTCAAATTATAGTGGCGTTGACTTCGTAGCTGATGCATCTGCATACTCTGATAGAGCAGGAGGGTTTTAAACGACTAAAAAGGAAGCTGTACCTTCACTAACGAGCACAAAATCCATGGTCGTTGGAGATAGTAAGACGAAAAAAACGGAGCCGTGTGGCAAACCCGTCAGTTGACCGATCCTCGGCGGTACTTGCCCTAATTGAGTCATCCCGACCTACACTACACTGCTAGATCAAGAACCCAGTATTAAAGTCAACATACATGGCTAAGTCCTCGAAATTGTGCAACAGAAACTACAAATTGAAACCCCCAGACGTATTTCCCAACCAGAGATGAGTCGGAGTCTGCAGCGCGCGTACTACTCACAGCATCTAGACGAGGATTCGACTTTGGATAGGACCCCCCTCCGTTTCAAAAATACCCCAGTGCCGCCAAACTATATGTACATCGCCCCCCCTCCCCAAATATCCAAACGCACAAACCCTCAACATCAACATATCCTCAGAAACAAAAAGCAACCCCAAGATTTACGCCGCGCATACCTCCATCTATGCCAGAAGCTACAAACCAAGCTTCCCCGCGAACTCCGAGACCGGATTTACAAACACTACTTCAATGATCGCACTAGCGTCGATTATAGTGAAGAATACTATGCCCACGCCTACGGTGTCCTCACCAAGTACAAAGAAAACGTCCAAATCAACCCCCCCCCCCCTACCACATCCACAGCGAAAGAAGCCTCGGAATACTACCTCGCCACCGAGACCTACTTCGTCCGGGACACCCCGTCCCTCATCAGAGATCTCAAAACAGATTATTTCAACCTCGGTCTCACCCTCTGCAACCATGTGCGCAACTTACGCATCACCCTCTGCTTCGACGACTTGGCTCCCATGACGCCCGCCGAATTTGGCGAAGACGACGACAACTCCGCCTCCGATGACGACACTTCGTCTGAAAAAGGTGTCTTGTGTGTACTCCACAAGCGCCTCACGCGAGCGTTCTCTTTGATCCCTGCATCATCGGCACCATTCACTCTTATCCTCAACTTTGCCCCCGAGGGTTACATTCACTACCCTTCCTTCAAGAAGCCCAACACCAAGGAGAAAATCGGCGCGCTAAACATCGAGCGTAGAATGCTAAACGTACTAGAAACCATACGCATGCCCGTGTACGATTTCATACACGCAGGCGAGAACCGCCGGGTTAAACCCGTGTGGGAAGATAGTGCTTGGAATCAAGAGCATGCTGTGCATTCTGATATATTTTTCCTGAACAAGGAGGAATGGGAAAAATTAAGTTTTTATACACAAAAACCCCTTGTTGTTATAACAAAACTGCGTTGTGAGAATTTGCTGCTTAGCATCGTCGTCACTTACATGTACCATCATACACAAGTCCTTGTTTCTGCTTTCGCCCCCTCTCCGTTTACTCACTCCTAAACTAACAACCATAAGGAGAAACAAGAAACCCTAAAATCATGGCGCACCCGCTTCCGCAACAAACCATACAAACCAAGCCTGCACTACACTGAGCGAAATTCAATCATGAAACTCTATCCCAAACGGTACAACGATGATTTCGCTAGACCGTTGCCGGAGAAGAGGAAGAGGTGGGGGTACGAGTCGTTTTATGATTTGTTGGGAGATCCAGAGCAGGATGAGTATAGTGATGAAGATGAAGATGAAGATGATGAAGAAGAGGATGATTACGAGTCTGAATAACTGACTGACACAAAAGAAACCTGGCGTAAACACACAATTTAGCAGAGCTACACAACAACACATGTCAACCCATTAAAGCCCGTTGAGGGACTACGTGCGCAGAGCAAATCTCTATCAAGAACAAAACAAAAACATAGCAACGCTAACCACCCATTGTTGAAAGTGCATGTATACCACACTCTCACACTGCCTGTTGCTGCTGTTGTGCTTCGACGCTACTATTGTCCTTCTGCATCAACCCATTGACTTCCTTGGCTATTGACGCGGTATCTTCCGGCACAACAATTGCTGCACCATTGACGGCCCCGTTGGTGGTGGCATCATGGTTCGGGGCTTGGAGTCCTTGACGCACTTTGAGCACACTATCCACAATGACGGCATCGATACCCTCACTCCTTTGCAACTAACCCAAAGTTAGCATGTGTAAAATAACTGGTGTTCAAGGAGAAACTTACCAGGACGTTCTTTGGATCATTGTTTAGAATGCCGTAGCTGACACACACCAATCCGCTCTCCTTGACTACCTTGACCAGCCTGGGACACATGACTAGCGGTGTAGCGGCACTCACTACTCCAAGCAGGTTCCAGCGACTAGCAAAACGGATGGCTTCTTGTAGACTGGCTGCTCGCACGTCTCCTACAGGTGAAGTTCCAGCGTCGGTGAGGAACAGGACGGGGATTGAAGGCTGTTTGAACGACAACATGAGGCAGATATCCGGGTTAAACGACGAGAAGATGACGTTGCGCTCGCCCATCTTGTCGTATACCTTCTGTAGTACCGTGTCAACAAACGAATTTAGCTCAACAGCGTACTGATCCATCTCTTCCTCTTCTGACTCATGAAGCATAGGGTACTTCATCTCAACATTGAACCCGACTGATTCTGGTAGCTCATCAAACATTCGCTCCAGGGTCGTAAAGGAAGATTGGATGGAGTTGCCACGACTGTTGCCCTTGAACCCCTTCTTCTTGAAATCACGCGTATGCTTCATCCTCTCGGTAAGCTCTTGCTCACGGTCAGTGTGAATGTTGCGTTGCTTCGAGTTATCGACAGAGTAGGATCGTGGTCGGCGTGCGCTTGGACGATCGTCTGTGCCATTTGTGCCGTTGGACACTGGGACAGTCTCGGATGGCTCGACGCGGTTGGGTCGCGGCTTCTGCCCTTCACCGATATGGAGGAATTGGTCGAGCGTGAGAGTGTGGACAGGCGCATCGATGCCAGTTTCGCTGACGAGAAAGTCATGGTAAATGACCGGAACATGGTCCTTTGTTAGCTGAACGTCAAACTCCACGTACTCTGCGCCAAGATTGGCAGCAGAAATGAACGACTGTATCGTGTTCTCGCCTAGCTGTAGGGAGGTACGCGAGGCGGTGTTCTTTCCAAGACCGCGATGGCCAATGACCATAGTAGATGCCATCTTCTTCCAGTAGGTATGTTGCTCGGTGATCGCCATGCGCGGATGGTGGAAGGGTGTAATAATCAAGAAGTTGAAATTGACTGCACCAATCACGTCCAATGTGGATGCTGCAACAATCGGTACTTGCACGTCTCCCTGGAGCGAGATTCGCTTCGATCCAATGCTGGTCTTGATAGTTGATAAAAGGGCAACAGCTCGTCCCACGACGCGCTCCTGTGAACCCGCATACGTTGGAACAATGTCAAACAGAAGTTTGACCTTGCTGACGTCGCTGGTCATGAAAGTAATGGGCTCAGTCGCAATGTTTTCTCGAATAGGCAGATCAATCACGGTTGAGTCTCCGCTAGCCCCAGCAGCACCCACAACCACGGACAAAGCGGTATCAAGTTGTGTCGCATGAGCATCGGCAAGTGGGATGTCGTCGAGTTTGACTGCAGGCACGTCTTTTCGAATGTCCATGGATCCCAGACTAACTAGAACCATAGTTTGGTTTGTCAGGTAGCGATGTCCAAACGTCTTGACAGGTTCGGGCGCCTTTTGCACAGGAGTGTTGTTATCGCGATTCAAATTCTTAGACCTTCGCTCATCTAGCGATGATTGTGTAGGCGAACCGGCTCGAGCGATACGAGTGTCTGTAGGGGCAACACGCGGTGACTCGTCTATGGGGGCGAGTTCTGCGAGTCTAGCTGCGATCTCCATATGACCGCGAAGTGCTGCATGCTCCTTCGCCGTCCAGCCAGAGTTATCACACTTTTGCAGATCAGCTCCCGCAGCGGCAAGAATCTCAACCATAGAGAGATGATCATCCACACAAGCGATAAATAGCGGTGTCCAAGCGAAGGTCTTCTCGGCGACATTGACATCTGCTTTGTTGATGCTGGACCCTTCCAAAAGAACCTTGGCACACTCGTCGTAGCCGTAGCGTGCAGCCATGTGTAGGGCGGCCTCGCCGCCCTCGTCTTGATAGTTGACGTCCACACCTGCCTCGACCAGGAGCCTGACGATATCTACAAAGTTCGACCGAGTCGCCAGAGCTAGAGCTGCTCCGGACCGAGCAATGGTTTTTCGACATACGAGCTTTTCTTCGTTTGTACCACGCCAGCTTTCCGCGGTGAGCAGGGCTTTTGTGGTAAGTGGGTGACCGCCCATGACGCTAAGATGCAGAGGTGCATTACCCTCAGCATCCTGCCAGTAATCAGAGTCGATACCCTGAGAGACGTCGAACTGACCCCAATCTTGCATGTGCTTCATGACAACTTCACAAATGATGACAAATCCATATTGGGCGGCATAATGGAGGGGTAATCTGCCGTAAGAGTCACGAGACTGGAGAGCGTTACGCTGTTCACCACGAAGCTGATCGAGTAAATAGATGAGCAAGCGTACTGACTCATCATTCTCGCTGAGGAGCTGTGTAGACTCTTCTTCGGTGGTTGTGCAGGGCCGAGGTTGGCGATTGGGATCGGTCGCGGGCAGGATGAAGTTCCGTGGTTCGTTTGAGGTTTGGAGAACAGCTCCATCGGCACCCAATGTCTCTCCACTCTTCGAACGGCCGATGTTGATGACAAGTCTGTGCACGCAGTTGCGCTTGTTGATGTCGTCTTCTTCGTCCAGCGAGATGATGTCCTTCAACAGCATCTCGATGCATGACTTTGCGCGGCAAGAGACGGCGCGCTGCAGAAAGTTCAAGAGAAGCTGTTGGAATGATGAGCTAGATTTCCCGTTGTTCGCTGCGGCCTCTGTGAGCTGTTGCCTGAGGTCTTCAGCCTTGTCACCGCGAATAGCCAGATCCACAGCATCCAAGAGAGTCGATGGAAGGTGTAACGAGCGACCTGGTACCCTGCCTAGCGAACCAGCAGAATGGGTGGAGCCTGTATCGTCAAAAGTCTTGATATCGCCCAGCCCAGATAGCCACTCATTGACCGCCTTCATGTCCTGGTTGAGAGGTAGGTTGTGCGCAAATGGCTTGGGGTTGACCTTGGATGCGAGATAGCGCTCTTGTAAGCAAACTGTCTCGATCTTCTTATCTAGCTTCTTTGTGATCTTGATGAAACCCCTTCGGTTCACTTCTCCGTACCACTGAAGCTTCCGCATCGAGCTACGCAGCTCAAGCAGAGCACCCATAAGATCTTGTGCCTCATCCTTATCGATCCCATCTGGCATCTGTGCCACGCGCCCGTAGCGACCGTGTAACAGTCGTAATCGTCGAGCGCATTCGGCGTATTTGCGGTTATAGAAGCTATCGACATCTTCGAGATTGCGGTCGAGCGAGAAGAAGAATTCTAGTTGTAACCGTCAGTAGCGTGCTATGTCATGCTTCCAAGAATAGAAACTCGCTACTATGACGACTTGAAAAATAGACCATCCCTGTTCAAGGGGAAAACTCTCATAAACGTCCTGACAGCGTGGAAGGTTGAGACTTACCAGCAAGATCTAATTCTGCGCCATTCTTGTAAGCCTCGGCGGCGTTCTTGACAAGCTTCTTAAGCCCCTTGTAGTTGATGTACGACGACGCCCATTCCGGAACCTGATTTCGTGGAAGATTATGTCCAAACTTCATTTTGGATATTCAGCAAAATTGGACGGATTTCAGTCGCAGTCGCGGAAGTGATGTCGAGCTTGTCGGCTTGGCGGATAGGTCTAAAGCGGCGGAGTGACCAGATTCGCGTTGGCGGAGGCGCGAAAAAACAAAGAGATGTACTGGCAGATATTCAATGATCGGCAGGGTACGAGATAGAAGATAATTCCATGCGGCCAGCACAATCAACGCGTTAATGGTGTAGTCTTTAAGGTGTGCTCGAGTCGGCAATTCTCATTGGAGGAGCCAAAGCTCGACGGAAGCGCGCCTGCAACATGGTTAAACGGACTGTCAAATGTAGGGAAAGCCGCAGCTGGAGGCAAGGGGGATCACACTGGAGCGGCGGGGTCGCTGGTCAGTGTTAATCGACGTGGATTATGCAGTCAAAATGAGGGAAGAATGTTGCGATGGACGGTAGCGTGGTGCGTGCGTTGCGATGATCTCCAATGACGTGTGACGGCAGAGTTACTGTGTTCTTGCCGCAGCACCAGCAGAAAAATCTTATGCTCTTTATATCCCACGACGCCTCGGACGGCGCGTGAAGATGCTTCGCTCCATCGGTGGACCCCTGGTCCAGTTTCTGCACTGAACAACGTCCCGCAGACGCGGATAACGGCGGTGTGTTTCTTTGTCAGCTCGTGACAGCCTTCTGAAGCGACTATGGAAGCGTAAAACAGGCCAAGGTGCCGAACCCTGAAGGAGTTCGCCCGTACTTCGGTTCAAGATGTCGGGCGAGCCGCCATCTGGCCAAGCCCAAGCATTGTGGTGGTGGCTAGTAGGAGGGCGGAGCTACCAAGATACCAACACAGGCAGGTGAGCACGCGACGACCACCTTTCGGCCACTGCAGGTCATCGTCAGTGCAGGTGGCGGATACGGGACACGAGCCGATGTCACACCGCTTCAAAAATTGATTACTTTGCATGCGCGTAGGTGGCAAGTGGGGGTGTACAGATTTGACGGTTGCTACATGTTCTCTCCCCGCAATCTAGACTGGACTTGTGCATGTGCACCTCCCTATTTCCACCCCTCCATCCTAGGGAACCTGTCTCTCCTCTTATGCCGCCTTCACTATCGGACTCGTGTCACTGGCCCATGGTCCCGTGTAGCATGCAAGATAACGGTTTCGGAGCCGTCCGAGGCGGACCAACAACCAGTCCCAAGAGTAGTTCGGATAATCGATTGGCTTAGGTGAAGAAGAAAGCGTTGCCCTCAGCGTCCTTTCGCTGCACTTTCGACAAGTCCTTGTCCGGGGCGTACTCTGTCCACGCGCTCGCTGGGAAGATGTGCTTGTTGCGCTCGTACCACCGCCTATCCACAACCTTTGTCAGGGCTGGGTCTTCATGGAAGCCTTCGAGCTCCTCATCTGGTATACTGGAATCTTTGCTCTTCTTCTTCTGCGGCTGAGCTAGTGGGTCGTATGCAGCCATGTCCTCTTCTGCGTCTGGGTTGGTAGCACTCGGAGATGCTTTGGTGGGTTGCGCCGAGTAGTCGAAGATGAGACCGTCAAAGCCTGTTACTCTGTGAAACAAGAAATGGTACATCTCGTAGTGCTGCATTTGATGTGAGTATAGCGCAGCAAGAGCGTGTGCACCTAAAACTTACGTGTGGCAAAATGACTTCTCCTCTAACAAGCATCAAGTCGTCTACACTGACCCTGGCCCAATCCCTCCTACTCTTGTCGCCGCCCACTCCCAGTTCTGCACCAACCTTTCTAGCTTTATCTAGAAATAGCCAAATCTGCTCGCCCTTTTTTATCCTGCATCGCCCTCCGGGGATATTGGTGCCATCGTAGAAGACAAAGGGTATGACTACTTCGGTGGCCTTGACAGCTTCGCGCATGATGAGGAAATCTTGTCGCGCCTGCTCTGCCTGCTGCGCTTCCCTCTGTAAGGCCGTCTTGGTCATGACGCGGGGCTTTAGTCCAATGTTGGAGTTTGCACCCAGTTTCTTCTTGACGACTTTCGTTTCTGCTTCCGAACCCAGGGCCGACGAGTCAGCCGGTGTGTTTTCGCGCAGGGTGGGTGTCTTGGAGACATTGGTGTCGGTATCTTCGTCATTGTCTACGCCAAATGACAGTTTGCCTTTTGCAGCTACCTTGCGCTTCTTCTTGAAGACGGCTTTTGGCGTCGATGCCCTGTACTTTACAAATTAGCCTAGACCCCGAAAGAGACCAAGACCTTCCATACCCGTCCGACTGTGTGCTGCTACTTAGGTCGCCCGCCGTGTCGCCCCGCTCCTTCCTTTCCAAAGCCTCGGCGCGCCGCTTGCGATAGTCGTTGAGGTTTACCAGGCCAACAGTTTGCTCCTTCAGTAGATCTTCCGCTGTTGCCGCTTGGGAAGTGAAGCGTGCATTTCCGGCAGCATCTGCGCGGTCGCTTGAACTGGATTCAAACCTATCCATGATTACGAAATAATGCCGGCAAGAGAGGCGAAGTGAGGGTTGCAATGGTTGGAGTGGACTGTTGCTTGCGCTAGCCAATAGTTGAGAAGCATCCGCGCTAGTGCTGCATGTGACTTGGTGTACGCGACGCGATGCCGTTGGGGGAAAGACCATACCGGCTACATCCCCACCAGGAAATTTACCTCAGCACATCAACATCCAGCTACAGTACATGTGAGGCGGAACAATGGCACGCGTTGTGCAGGACTCGGATGAAGAACTCGACGATGATCTTGAGCGTGACCTGCCACCGCCGAAACAGCCAGGCGCGTTCAAGAAGCCACCCAGTAACAACGCCTCTCTCGACACGGGTTCCGCTGGTAGGGTTGTTGTCCATTAGTATTCACCCACATCAATCTCACTAACTTGTAGCTCCAGAATCAATCAGAACAGCGACAGATGCGCATCTGGAACCTCAACTTCAACTCGGCCATGAGGAGCCGCAGTCATCAGTCTCACTACCTGAACATTCAAGCAAAAAGAGAAAAACTGCGGCTGGACTGAGCCCATGCTCACCAGTTACATCTTCTTCCAAGAAGAAAGGCCGTGTTATTTATGGAAAAACAATTAAATCCATCTTCAGCAGCTCAGCAGTATCCGACGCTCTACCCGAGAACCAATTTGGGAACTATGCAGCCCAGGCAAACCCGCCTCCATCCCATGGAGATACCTGGAATCTAGGGGGCACGATGCGTGATGAATACGCGCAGCATGAACCAGCCATGTTCGCTGAGCCCTCCAGTACTGTGCCGAATGCCACCATGACCCAACAACGCATTTTGGAAGCCGTTCGGGGTTCAGTCATGCTGGGAGAGGAACTAGAAGTTGGGCGGCCTCTATATGAACCACCACCTGAACCATCAGTGCCCTGGTCAGATTTGATGAAGTTCACCCCCGGAGAGGCTGCTGAACAGACCGAATCATCCGATCACGAACCACCTGCACCCGATGTTCTCTCTGCTACCCCCTTTCGAACGACGCAAAAAGAGTTTTTATCGTCCCCATCACAGCCAGGGAGAGACGGGTCTTTCGGGACAAGAACCAGCCCATTGAAAAATGAGGTTTTCCATGTACAGACCGTCGATGCTGGAAGAAAGACTTCGTCGTCTCACGCCAATCTAATTGCACATGAAAACATGTCACCAACTGCACCGCAAGGATCCCTGCCGCCAACCGCACCACCAGCATCTCTGCCACCAACTGAACCACCCACATCTCAGCGCAGCAACAAGGAGGGAAGCAAGAAGTCATCTCGTCAGTCAAAGACTCAGGTTCCCAACCATGGCTTGGACGAAGACTTTATGGCTATCGGGCTCCCCGTAGATCAATACAAGCCACGACCCAGTCGCTCGAGATCTATGAAGGTCGACTCGGAAGGCCCTATTGATTATTCGATCCGGCCTGAAAAGGCTAGACGACGAAGGACTGCGGCCGCAGCTGAAGTCCCGACCACTGTAACAATAACAACACCCGAAAAGGTTCGGCAAATCTGCGACATGGGTTTCACGCCTTCAACTACAACTGGAGCTCTAGAGAGAAACAACGGTGACGTCATGCAGACTATCGATTGGCTAGTCAATAACAACATCGACCACGATGAACTGGCGCCACAGAGTCCGCCACGATCCAAATCAACGTCTAAGAAAGCTGTCCAATTGCCAACCATAGACTCCGATGCCATGAAAGACATAATGCGCAATCTGGATGAATACCGTAGAGATGAAGCAGAGGCTGAGCCGACACTCACGGATAATATTGCTGTACGGCATGAGGCACCGAATAACGCTACAACATTGTCTAGAACTGGTCTACGCCCAGACATATCCTCAATCACGAGCCCGACAAAGGTCCAGGTTATTATACCTGAGAAGTCGCCCAGACCTGCCACTACCCACCCCGCAGATGCCACCGTCATCTCGAGCATGAGCAAGAAAGCGAAACGCAGAAAAACAACACTGGATGAGCCTGAAGAAGAACAGATTACGCCGACCTCTGTTGTGCCCGAGAAAGTTCTCGAAAAGAAGAAAAGAGGCCGCCCCAAGAAAGCTGCAGTCGCTGTTGCGCCGATAGAGCCATCCGAGTCTATCATTGAGGCATCGGAGCAGGATGCGAATGGAGACAACCAAGATGGAATTCTGCAAACAATCGAGCCCAATTCGGCTTCAGAGACGGCAAAGCCAAGGTCTAAAAACGCTCTAAAAGAGGCAGAGTTGTTAGCACCAACGGAATCCGATAGTCCCGCCAACTCGAATCCGCCATCAAAGCTATCTCCGGCTGCAGCTTCAGCCACCCCAGAACAATTGACAAAACCTGCGACGGCTTCGCCTATCCCGAAAGGAAAGGTACCGTATCGCGTTGGGCTGAGCAAACGCGCGCGTATTGCACCACTACTGCGGACGTTGAAGAAATAACAGTGGTGATCATCTACCCCTTTCAAACAATCGTACGTTGACGTACGAGTTATTTCACATGCAATGGAATTTATGATACCTACGTTTAAGATCTTCTATACATTTTCCGCTTTTACACAATTCTCCCCGGATCAGCACCTGGTGGGGCAAGCGCTTTTGCGTGAAGCCACTAGTGTCTCATGCTCCGCAATTGGTACTTTTGCCGCTTTCATCATGCTCGATTCTAAAGACCGGAAGCTAGCGTTACAAGTGACTTGGCGGTGGAAATGAAACCTAGTGGCTATTGTTTTTAGCTTCAAATCGCATTCGTTAACATTGTACGCGACTAAGTTTGGTAGCAATAAACACGACAGGAGCTTTGTTTGGCATGAGGCGGCTGACATGGGCATTGACCGGGTTCTCGCTAAATATTCCAACATGATGGATATAGGTGCCGCAACGGTGACTGACAGCATGTCGCAAACGACGAGTGCGTCACTATGGCAAAGATGATCGCGTAGAATTCAACCAAAGTTCATCCCACCTGTATGGCATTGACAACTCCGGTCAGGGGCTCGGAGTGATGAAGCCTAAACGTTCTAGAAGCCATTTTCCCACAAGTCCGAGTTTGCAAAAAGGCAAAGTAAGCCGTTTTTTCTACGCGAGACGCCGTTGCACACTACTTGGAGCCATGTTGGTGATGACCACGAGGCTGAAGGATTGCCAAGTCGCACGCTCGAGAATTGTTGAGTTCGGCTCCATGGCGATCTTCCGCTGCAGGTCCTAGTCAGGCACCAGACCCCTGGTATCTGGCCCCGTAGCTTAACGGCTTGGCTTTAGAGTCAGCCGCTGATCCTCTCAACCTCTCTTGAGGATAGACAAACTCGAATACAGCTTTACCGGTGCGAGCCTTGGCAACGACTGACACGGTTACAAGACGAAAAAGACAAGAAAAAGCCGGTAATCCCAGCAGTGGCCTGCTCGGACGTCGGGTTGCTATGTCCATGACCTTGTCGTCTGGCTAGTCATTTCATGTGTCGCGAAAGTTTCGTCAGGTTAGTGTTCTTGGCTGCTAAAAGTAGTTCGCTGTCTATTCTGCGGAGACGCCGCTCCATGTGGGCGGCACGACTAGCCCATCATGTCCCCCAATGGCGTTGGACTGTTATAAGTATATCGAGTTGCCTTTCCTTTGCGAACCATCTGTCTTTTCAATCTTTATACGCAGTTGCGAACGCCACTCGTTTTTTTCAATCACTTCTTTTTGGTGGTCGACGTATTGATCGGCATACCTCACACTCATTGCGCTGTCCTCCACGGGAAAATAGGGCTATATCAACATCTACATTTTCTTAATTACTTCATCAATATGCTCCTTTCGTCGATCCTCGCTGCTGCGTTCGTTGTGCCGCTTGCGGCGGCCCATGGCGGCATGGAGGGAATGCCTAGGATATTTGGTTTACCAAAGGAACTGAGGGCCAGTCACCCTCTGGCAGGTCTCACAGGACGTCATGCCGCTGAACCGGCTCGTCATTTCGGTCCTCGTCAGGCAGAAACTCGCTGCGGTCCCAGTAACGGCAATAAAAAGTGCGCTCAAAATGAATGTTGTTCCGTAGATGTAAGTACAAACTTTGGGGCTGTTTCACCATATATTGACGCTAGGGACAGGGGTACTGCGGCACCACCACAGAACACTGCCAAGCTCCCGACTGTTTGCTCGATTTTGGTCCGGCTTGTGACGCCAACAAAATTCCTGCTGGAGCGAGTACGCGTAATGATCCTCGGCCGAAGCTTGGAAGCATTCCCTATGGCGGCGAAGGCATCTATGTCTGCAACGACCCTGGCAAAGTTGCAATCACCTACGATGACGGCCCCTACATCTATACCGAGGGCGTCATGAAGCAGTTTGAAGCGAGGGGTGCTCATGCCACCTTCTTCATCACAGGCAACAACAACGGAAAGGGTGCTATAGACGAGAAGTGGGCGGCTGTCGTCAAGAAAATGTACGACAACGGCCACCAAGTCGCATCCCACACCTGGAGCCACCAAGACCTGTCAAAGATTACAAAGCAGCAAGCCTACGACCAAATGGTACACAACGAAATGGCCATCCGCAACATCATCGGCAAATACCCCACCTATATGCGCCCGCCCTACTCGTCATGCAACGCTCAATGCCAGGCCGTCATGTCCGAACTCGGCTACGTAGTCTCCTACTTCGACCTCGACACCGTAAGTCATTTTCCTCAAATCAATCCAACCCAACCCACTAACCCCTCAAAAAGGACGACTACAACCAACTAAACACCATCCAAGTCGCCAAGGACAACTTCAAAAAAGGCATCGACAGCCGCAACACGGCCCCTTTCGACGGCGACAGACTAGTTATCGGCCACGATATCCACCAGCAAACAGCTGAGAACCTCACTACCTACATGCTGGACTACCTCTACAAGCAGGGTCTGCAAGCCGTCACCATGGGCGAATGTCTCAAAGATCCAAAGGCGAATTGGTACCGTGATAGTGCGCCTGCTGCCCCAGGAACCATTGTGTCATCGACTGTTGCTGCCGCTCCCGCACCTAGTGCTACAGGGCCCCCAACAACGGATGGATCGTGCGGGCCGGCGAATGGGGGGAAGACGTGCATGGGGTTCGTTGCTGCTGACGGTAAGCTGGGTGAATGTTGTAGCCAATATGGGTTTTGCGGTAGTGCGGAGGGGTATTGTGGGACGGGCTGTCAGGTTGGATTTGGCAAGTGCGGTAGAGGTGGCGGTGATGGTGGTGCGACCGTATCTCCCCCTTCTGCGTTTATTCCCGCTGCTTCTACTGCGGTGGTACCTCCCTCATCTACCCCCGCTGCCGTTACAACAGCACCAGCACCACCAGCCGCTGCTTCATCAACACTATCAACAGCCATCGCGCAACCCAGCTCCCCTACCCCACCCCCTCCCCCTCCTGCAACTTCTCCTCCCGCCCCCAGCAAACCCCTCATCTCTACAAGCGGAAAATGCGGCGCTAGGAACGGCGCTCAAACCTGCGTGGGCTACAAGTCCAACTGGGGGATGCAAATGGAGTGTTGTAGTAAGATGACGGGGCGGTGTGCGAGTGGGCTTGATGCGTTTGCTTGTGGGGTTTCGTGTGATAAGGGGTATGGGAAGTGTTGGTGGTAGGTGCCTGCGTGGGTGATGGGAGAGTTGTTATATTCTTATGTTTTTATCATCTTCTTGGAAGGGGCCGGATGGTGATGGTTTATTTTATGATGGTTGCGTGAATGAATTTATATATTTTTTATTTATATCGGTGACTTGATCAGATGGATTAGATGGGCTGGTGGTTCTCCCTGATCGCAAATTTGCTACGTCGATGTAATCAGATGGGAGAAGTGTGTTAGTCAAGATGAATCTTGCTCGCTTCACCTTCTTGTAGAACGAAAGTTCCTTCGGAAGATGTAGTGTACTTGTTTGTCATCTCATGCCTGGACCTCCCGATTATTTCTTCGTGGTATTTACAAAGCGCGTCTACGTAAAAAGACAGTATCTTAGCCGATATCTCATAGATTTGTTGGCCCTTGAATCAATCTTTGCGGCATTTGCAAGGCCCGAGTGAATGGCATCTTAGCCGGTGCCTCACCGACCACCCCGCAGTCCCGGTAAGAGATCGATCAAGTGTGCTTACTGTAGATCTCTTGGCAAATATCTAAGTATGGCTTCGGCCGAGATCTAGCTAGTTGATCGAGCTTCACACGTAGAGTTTCGTCTTACACGATAGTTACCATAGGTTGATACAAAGCAACATCTTACGATTTTTCTCCTGGCTGTCAAGGCTCCACAAAACATGGTTGTTTTTGAGACGAGGTTGTCTTTGCGTCTGTTCTTCCGGTCCGACTTTGAGTACCCTCACGTCAGCTCGTATTTCTCCTCTGTTGACCGGTTCAGGTTAAATTGAGATTCTGGGCACTTTGAACAGACGTCGACTGCAGCTGTAAGATGGCACTGCCTGGCCTGCTTGGCCTACTTGGCGGACAGCCTCTCCTGTCTGCACAAGACACCAGTACGGCTTCCTTCATGCCGTATACTCGGTTGAATCAGGCCTTGCCACCCATACTGTAACCTTTGCTACCTGTGAGCTGTTCAGGCAAAACAGTTCTTTGCAAGCGAACTGTTGAAATAGTGATCACGACACTATACCATGCCCGTTTGAGTGTGTGAAGATACTGGGGGTTTTAATGACGTTGAATTGCTGGCGGCTTATATCTAATGGTAGGGCTTTGTGAAGACGTGTGATTTTCTCCCATACACAGCAAACGCCCTGGATTGAGGCAACGCTACTTCTCAATACCACCTACAAGTGAATATCACCTACAAGATCATCTATAGAGCCCCGGCAGTACGAGCATATAGCTTTTCCAGGTGTTGTTGCGCAGCATGCCAGCCCTTTGGCGCAATTCCAGTTGTGAACACATGGCGCTGTCGCAGAAGTTAGCCGTCTATCAATCTTCATCAACACATATCGCTTCAAATTATACATACCCTTTTCAGGCCGGTTGGTGGCGGAGGCTAATCTCCCATTGCGAGGCGCGAGATTTTCTAGTCATTGATTGTTAGCACGATTCATTGTTTAGAAAGGTCTCGAGGCAATGAGCTCAAAGTTGCTGTAACATATGTCGGTTTCGCGATCGTATAGCTAGTAGCCTTGTCTTTCTGTCATATGGAAGAACTGACGAGACCAAGAGCTACGTAGCAAACGCGATGGCATTGTGTGCTCAGAGTAGCGCGCCTAATCCTAAGATCGTATGGCTCAACATGCCCTCCAAACCATCACGAAGGACAGATATCCGCGGAGTAACATTGATGAAGAATATCGCAGCAGACTGTGCCGGGGGGGGGGGGGGGGGCAGTAGCTGTTGCTCGAGCATTGTTCTCCTCCTGTCCCAGCCATGAGCCAGGAAAACAACGGGACTTGTGTGTAACTTTACTTACCAATAGGAGCAGCTAATAGTAAATGGTCAGCGTCAATGTACTTAGATTGGGAGAAGTGATAAGGTCAAGAGTCAGAAAACGTAAGATCGCGAGCCAGAAAACATAACATCATGAGACAGAAACATAAGATCGTGAGCCAGAAAACGTAAGATCGCGAGCCAGAAAACAGAACGTCATGAGCCAGAAAACAGAGTAGCAATGTGTGCTCGGAGGGTAGCGCCGCAATCGCTGGAATCAAGCATGGATAGCTAGGGATGATGCAATGGTGAAGGCTCAAACGCAATCGATAAAGCTTCTAACACATATTGGATTGAAGCTGCCACAACAGGTCAAGGGCGCAGGGCATCCACCACAACCGTTTGACCCGGACGTAAGCAAAGAAAATAATGAGAGTTGGGCAAAGATTTACTTACCATCCCTTAGGACAAGATTTCCTATTTTTCAATCAGCATGACTGCAGCAGGCAGAGTTTACGGGATCGTGAATAACTTACCGTTCTCAGGAACAGCGACTGCGAGGCAGGTGGCAGCAAAGAGCAAGATTGCGGCGAAGGTCTTCATCTTGAAGATAGGTAGGTAGGTAGGCTTAGATTGCGGTAGGGTAAATTGACTTTAGTAAATCTTTCGAAGTGTTGTGATTAATAGTCGAGAGGAATTCTTAGGTTCAGGGGCGACGGCTTCATAGATGTACTATCGGATAATCGTTGCCCCTATCCCTTTCTTAGGGGGTATTGCGACCTAGGTTAAATCTAGTAGGATTCTAAAGCGTTATTAGGGCCGACTCGAGCCATTAGCACTAGTAGACTCTCGTAGACGGGAGCTTACTTCTTTGCGTGGATCCTCACAAAGCAATTAGAATAGAATGTAGTAAGTACCACGATTCTTATCAGGGTTTGAAGGAGTGGTTTCTATGTTTCAAAAGTTAATTCTGTACTTAGAGGGGGTATCGCAAGTCCGAATCGTCCAAACAGACAACATGCCTCTACCTGGCCAACACAAAAAGCGGAATATCTCATTGCTGACGCATAATCACACGTAATTTTAATCATACGAACACTAGCGCCGTAGTCTTGCCAGTACGATCAAAAGAGTAAATTTATCCGAGTAAAATTGCAATCGTGCACAACTAAAAACGGCAGAAATCTGGCGACCTGCAAACGCCAAAACAACATATGAGTTTGACACCGGCCAAAAGTTCCCCAACTCGCAGATCTTATTATCTGTGCAAGGCACTGTTGTTTCCTTTAGCATACGACTGAGAAACACCAACGGCTGTCTAGAAAATCATTACTTACACTCCCGGGGGCCATCCTGTCGCGCAAGAATATCTAGTACATAATTAGTTCATGTGTCGCCTAGCACACTCACTAATTCGTAGGAGATGACTTACCGCCCTGAGGAACAGCGGCAACGAGGCAGGTAGTTGCCAAGAGCAGTATTGCGGCGAATGTCTTCATCTTGAAAATAAGGAGGTAGGTTGGATGGGTGGGTGTGATGTAAGAGTGTTTGGTAGCGGCAAGGTAAAAGACGTTGATTGATTCGTCGATAGTATGGTGGATTCGTTGTGGACGGGAAGTCGATTGAGGGCCCGTTAATTTATATAAAACTCTTCGAGATGACTGACGATCAAATGCAACTTTGTTGGAAGGTTTACGGCTAGATCGTACCAATCGGTAGGATCCAGGTACCTTACTCGGGCCGGTACTGTGTGTTGGTGCTGAGGATCTTCGCACACACGAGCCACGGGTAGACCTTCGTAAAGCTTACCTCTGTGGCAATTCGGTTCTGTCAGCTTGCGGGGTTTCTCTCGACGTCACGTCTCACGTTAGACTCGGAATAATATTTCGTGGCCAAGAAACACTGTGACCCCAGACATGGAAGATGCTGTCTCACCAGGTCAGCAGTCAATATAAGTGCAACATCTCAAACTTCATCGCAATCTATACAAAGACGCATATGTGGAATATTGATCCAACGATTCTAGCAATCACCTCCTAATCACACAGTCTCTGTATCTACGAGAGCACATTGGACCGCAACAACCTCTTTCAACACCAAAACGGTCTTCGTCTCAGGGCAAAAGTTCCGCCTCTTGGCGAGTGCGCAACGTATCCAACATTCATTGTCATCCCAAGAGCTGACGATACATTGCATTCATCTACGGTGCTTACTCTTCGGGCGGCGAGACTCCACGTGAATGGCTTATCGGGCAGTTTGGCGCTCACGCGATCTTGGAGATCTTGATCTTCTCCCGCGCAAGGAATGTGAGATCTATGGTCGGAGGCGGCATCGTTCATGGAGTAAGACGATGGGGGAAGCTAAGTAGTGGCCCGGCAGGGTTCATGCTTTCCATGCAATCATGTAACATGGACCCGCAATGATAACCTTAATCGGAGATCTAGTTTATGGCAGTTGTAGTTTCTTCTGACGTCGATGGAGATTCGTCTCGATATATCAAACAAGAAAGCCGGTGACGAAGCAGCATGGTAGGACTAGACGGAGCTTGAGAACGAAGGCTTCACGTATGTTCTGTAACAATCCGAGCACGATAGCTGACTGTAAACAAACGGCCCATAGACCCATGTGCACAGATGCGCCTACGCGCTTCTGCCTCTAACTCGCGCTATTTTTACAAGAGATGCTATGAACATACAAGGCAACGCCAGCAATGCAGAACCCGCTAATCATACAGACATCACACACGTAAAATCTCAATACCCAACGGCAAACGAAACGAGACCAACCACAACCAAGAATCCCCAAGATACACCCAAACCCATGGCACCGCTATGCACAACCTCTGGTGTACCGACCTGCTTCACATCGTCGATTTTGCAAACAGTCTTGCACCCGCCCTTTGACCGCTCCTCCAACATGCCCGATGTGTCCCTCTTGTTCTGGGCAATGCCTGCGTACGGGCCACTAGTGTTGAAAGTCATCTCGATCCATTGGATGTGGAACTCTGCGCTCTCGCCAACAGTCATGTTGCCGCTCCATGTGCCGCCGTCGCTCCACATGTTCATGACGAGGAAGCTCTGTTTGCGGGGCACAGAGTACGTGTTTGCGGCGACTTGCTTTTGGTTCAGGTACCAGTAGCTGTTCTTGGGCAGCCAGTCGATACGGTGGGTTTGCCAGTCGTCCCATCGCGGGAGGTCGGTGGGGCCGACTGATGCGACGGCGACTTCGTTGCCGTCCTTGCTGACTGCGGGCTGGTTGGTGTAGCGAATCTGGTCCGTGGGGTCTTTTGTGAGAATCTCAATGTCGGACTCGTTTTCGTCGTCGAAGAAGGTGAAGAATCCTGCGACTGCGCCTTTGGTTCCCTGAACACGGCCGTACATGCGCATCGAGACATGCATCAAGTTCTTTTGCTCATTCTCGATCTCGCCTGCCGTCTGATAGTCGTCTAGGCGTGATGTGCGTAGTGCAAGGTATGACGTTGAGTCTTCTTCGCCAAGATATACATTTGCGACCGAGTTGTTCATCGGTATGGGGAAGTCGGAAGTGGACGGCTTAGTCCAGTTCTGGATCCCCCAGTCTCTAGTCCATGCATCACTGCTAAACAGATCGGGTTGCCACGTGGGTGCCAGACCTGCAATCTGTGTATCATTAAGCAGTGGCGGTGGTTCGCTCAGGGCACCTGGGAGGTTCCGGAAGTCATAGAAACGGTAATATTGGAAGTATTCCGGTGTTTTTGTGTCCTTCCCAGAAAGCACGACGTAGCAGTCGCAGTCTGGGCTATTATCTTTGGGTGTTTCATTATTGGAGGTCGTGTACAGGTTCGTTGCGAGGGCGGGTTTTAGAAGTAGCACTGTGAGAGGTAAGAGCAGTGCTCTTAAAGGCGGTAGGTACGACATTGGTGGTGAGCCGTTATTGGCACCACTAAAACTATAGAGACGTGATCAAGTCAAAAGACGTGAAGAAGACGTAATAGGAGCGATTGACGTTTGGTAATGTAAAGTGAAAGTAAGACGAGTGTCGTGTTAGCTGTGAAACCGTGCAAAGAAAGCTGTGCGACACAGAGTCGTGAAGCGATGGCAAGACGCGATAGCAAGACACGAAGGCAGTGGAGAATCGAACGAGGGTTCCAAGCTCATATATGGCGAAGTAAATAGCGCCCGCTACTGTGCTTATACGATACGCCATCCTTGGTGACAATGTCGTGGGCCGGGAGGAGACACAAGTGTCGCGCTTGCGAACAGGCGGAACAAGCGGATGTTCAGCTAGCTCGTCGGCCTGGCCCAGTGAATCGTGCAGCGTGCGCCTTTTGCTAGGGCAGCAAAACGAACTAGTGAATGGAGGAAGGGAGGGATCCTTGAAACATTTTGAAACTACCTGTTTGTATGCTGCACTCAGCCACACTGCCTCATGACCCCTGCCTGTGTCCTGGAGTTTCTTGGGCCTGTATTCGGGCTCTGTGATGAGTCCGTATTCTCACTTTTTCCGTAATAATATGCCAGTTTCAGCGATCTTGGTGATAATTGTGCCCCTGGGTTCAATTCTGGCCTGCGTGTGTAAATAGGGCATGTGCGCTTAGCCCCATATTGGCGTTACCGGGCGCTTCCGTTTCAGCGCATCGCTTAATTACTGTGATTGACGCTGTCCGTTCCGTCGGGTTCGTCGATATTACTGAAATGCATTTCATCGGGGCAGGTTACTACTGCAAAATATGGTGAAATAGCTAACACGCCGCGTGTCTGATACGGAGGTCGAAAAAGGTTGTTGAGAAGATTGGGTGTTTGATCGAGTCAGTAGGATGGAAGAAGAGGAACGGTAATTATGCCGGGGATCCAATCAAGGATGCTCCAGCCACAGTTCCACTACCGGCACCAATGCACCAAGGGCCCAAAATAGTCCCAATATTGAATCGCCACGCCTGTGACAGATTAGCCTGATGCAACCAGGCAAACGACGATCTCCTGCTTTCCTGTGGCTAGTGACACACCTGACACTGTCGCCCGTTGTATGGGCTTTATTGGCGCAGGGTCTGGAATCCGAAGCCGGAACTTTATCCTATGAGGTTAAAGAGGCATTTGTCGGATGGTAGGTTTGATTCGTGGGCAACTGGTACCTGGCAGCAGCGACAGCGTTTGTTGAGTTTCTGACGGGTGGGCTTCTTGTAACTAGTTATTCCTAGGGACCGCGCCGGCTACTTGCGGAAAGGCGTGCGCGCAACTACCACGGCTAGTTACCTACACCTTCGAGGTAGACGCGACTGACTACGATGTGAAAGGCTATCCGCTTCGTTTTTCGTATCAATTGCAAATTGCCATGCCTGCTTGTCTCTCATGAAGCTCTACGTCACGTGCATTTGTGGACATCAGGGTTGGTGGAAACACGTTGCTATGACGTATTACAGCAAACAGCCAGAAAACGCTTGGCATAGCTACTACCAACAATTGATGTAACGGTGTGAGGAGAGGAGGACTGCGTTGCATTGTGTAGCTATGGAGGAACTGCAGCTATATAGGTGTGTGTGATGAGAAAGTGTGGTAGCGATAGCCGTACCCAACTCTCACCCAAGTCGGTCTTGGCAAGTCCCAAACCGTTACAATTGAGCGTGCATGCTCCCTCAGTCCCTGTCTATCCAACATTTCACACTCGCGATTTAGGCTGCCGCACACCCAGCGCTACAAGAAGAGCGCTTTTCCGCAGTCATGTCGGCCAAGAAACTGCCCACCGAGATCGACGACCAAATCCTTCGATAACTCTCACAATATGACCTCGCCGTCTTTACACGCACTTCAAAGTACTACCACGCCCGTGCCGAACCCATCTTGTACCGCAACATTGAGCTCTCTCGATACTGTCACTACGAGATAACTACGCTCTTGTTCACCATTCTGAATAGGCCAGAACTGGCAAAGCATATTCAGAGCATCAGCCTACCTCGATATGGATACAGCGGCGATGAATCCTTCCGATTTAGTCTCGAGCCCATGTACTGGGATAGTATACCCGCATTTAGGGAGACGATTGCGACCTTTTCAAAGTGTCAAGACAAGAACTTTGCATCACGATGGTTTCGTTGCATATACGACAAGGCTTGGGCAGATCTAGGACAATTTGACGGAGCTCTGGCTGCCATCATATGTCACGCGGTTGATTTGGAGCACTTGAGAATGGGGTTCCGGATGTTCAGGCACCATCCATCAATAACCATGGACATATGGAACACCCTTTGGCAAGATCAAACATCCACAATGACAACAGTCCCGCTCCGAAACCTGAAGAGCTTGAGCACTACATGCACACGCACACCAATCATGTTTCTTCCATGTTTGCACAGGATAGAACTAGCAGGATAGAACTAGCAGGATACAACGTGGGAGCCAACCAACTATTCTTCTACTCATACCCTTATTCTGATCTAGGTACAAAACTTGCCACACTCGAACTGAGTTGCAGTAACATACATCCCAAAGCAATCGAGAAAAATCTCGTTCGCCCTGAGTTCCAAGCCGTTAAGAAACTTCGCATTCGGAATATTGGATTCAGCCACGATTGGCTCAATTACGACCTTAATCTCCTGACTCCGATCATCACGAACAATCTCCGAAACTTGGAAGTACTGGAGCTTTCGATCCCTGCCAGGCATATAATGGTTATCCGTAAGCTCGGCAGACTCAAGGGTCTCACCAAACTTCGGGAGCTAAAACTCGACGTGAATCTTCTCACGGGATTGAACGACAGTGGATGCGAAGATCGAATGATGCACCTCCTTCACCCTGACGAGTACCTTTCTGACATACTTCAAACGCTTATTATCGATGGTATTGAATGAAACGATCCCTGCATTCCCTACATTCTCGAAAACGCTATAAATATAAAAAACACGACTCTCCACCTCGTTGCATACGATCTCAAAAAGAAGCTGGCGGAAGATGCCGCACTCTCCAAGTCCAGCAAAGGCTTGTGTACCTATCTATTCGATGCTGTACAGAAGTTGGCCGCAGCAGGCACGAAGTTGTACTTCTGGCAGAACGGATAGGGTAGGCCTAACAAGCTTTTTTATGGACCAGAGCATAGAGCCGACCTATCTTCCTAGCACGATGTAGATAGCGCAAGTCACATAAGTCACATCTCCGGGCCAAAATACTAGAGCTGTGCCGTGTAGGTTGGTTGTTGCTAGCGTCTCTTCACCCCACAACATGTAGTGGGCCGATTATATACGAGGACAACATTAGCTTTTGTTTCTTGCTGCGCTGGGCAACAGGGCATTTCTAAATGCTACAGGAATTTGGTAATGCTACCTTGTCAGTTTATACACTAAAGAAGTAGGAGAATCACGATGATACCACAGAGAGAATGCATACATTTCTCTAATTGTCAAGTGTAATCAGAGCTGTGATGTGTCTTGCTGATGTACTGATTATCCATCTATCGCAACAGTGTTGTTATGCGGATACCAGGATTCTTGGTAAATCAACAACATTAATTAAGAAGAGATAGGATAATAGAAGAGAGAGTGTTGAAGGGGGTTATGCCTTAACTCCGCTATGTCCGTATAAAGATATGGATAATTTCATCACAGGTCCGACCATGTCCCGACCTTTGAGAACGCCATATTAGCCCATTCCTCGAATCAAAAATAGTCCGTGGACAAGCTACCTACTCCAATTTTGTCCTACCTTTTGCAAGGTTTTGTATAACGTCTCCATCAATCTACCATGGCTCTTTAATCAACGTCTTACTCCAGCTTCGTCCTGCGTTTTCAAATCCCTCCTCAGCAATGGGTTTCTTATACAGCCAATTCTTCAAAACACCGCTCTATCCCACATCCGACTTCAGCGGCAAGACTGTCATCATCACGGGTAGTAATGTTGGCCTCGGCAAAGAAGCAGCTCGTCACTACGCGCGCTTAGATGCTAGCGTGCTCATCCTCGCCGTGCGCAGTCTCGACAAGGGCTTGGTAGCAAAGCAAGAAATCACACGCACGACTGGCCACAAAAATATCAAAGTCTGGAAGCTCGACATGAGCGACTACACCAGCATACAATCATTTGTCAAGCGCGCCGAAGACGAGCTAGATCGCGTCGATGTATTCATCGCCAACGCCGGCGTGGTGCGCTCGCAGTACCATGAAGTCAACGGGCACGAGGAAGGAATAGCTGTCAACGTTATTGCTACAACGCTGCTTATGGTAAACGTGATACGGCTACTCGGTTCAAAACTCGACCTACCTTCACAGTGACGGGGTCTGCCGCATACGAGCATACGATATTCCCACAGCGATCTGCTCCAGACGGCCAAATTCTGACTACGCTATCGCACAGAGAAACATGTGAAAAGTACTGGTCGCAACAGTATCCCGTGTCCAAGCTGATTCAGCTACTCATCGTGCGCGCCATTGCTAATCGTCATCCGGCCAACGTGTTCCCTGTGACTGTCAACATTGTTAATCCGGGGTTGTGCTGGTCTGAGCTAGCGCGCGAGGCTACAGGCTGGGGGTTTTGGCTCTTCAGATTGGTGGTGGCAAGGTCGGCTGAGGTGAGCGGTAGGACACTGGTACATGCAGGTGCCGAGGGCATCGAGACACATGAGAAGTACCTGAGTGACTGTGTGGTTGACGAGCCGAGTGCGCTGGTGACGGATGCAGCGGGTAAAGAGGTGCAGGCGCGGATTATGGCGGAGGTTATTGATGCGATAGAGGTCATTCAGCCAGGTGTGTCGAAGAATTTCTCGGCTGTGTGAGATGAAGCACAAAGGCTTTTGCTAGTTTAGTTAGTCAGTAGGGAAGTCGCAAATCAAAAGAGTGCTGTCCACAACACCCTCCACCAGATTTTCTCACAAAACTTCATCCACATAATTATTGAGAAGCCAGCAGCTTTATTACTATTTTACTGAAACAGATTAGTTGCTATCAATCCCATTCGAGGGTAGAACAACTGTTGCACGCTAGCAGGGCTATCCCTACACTCTCTCATTCCTCACATATATATAGCTTCCCTCGTTCATAGCTATACAATCAACTCAGTCCTTCATCTCTTCTTCCATATCACATACGTGAGAACAACTCATGATGTGCCAACGCATTCTCCTGTGCCAGTGCACGAATACTCAGTCCACTGACTCTCCTATCCATCGGAAAGTGATCAATAACTTTATCGTCCCTCCACATCTAAGATTCAACTCTCTCGGACGCTTGAGCCTTACTAAGAGGTGTTAGAACGATCGGATGTTCGGAACTCGGATGTTCACTTCCCTAACTCCTAACTCCATGCAACCACCACTCCCAAACAGTGGCCGAAAGATTGCAATGACGCTGCAATTTGCGATCGTATCATAAATTACTCTCTAAATCCATGCTGTGCTATTGTATCGTAAGCAAAGAATAACTTATAGATGCGTAGCTTACTATTCTCCTGCAACAGCTGTTCCTCGTCGCTTGGCGTCTTAGTTGCTAAGTCCTAACTCCATGCTACGTGAAAATCCTCCTAGTACTGGCGAATAATATTTAGATGATGCCATCACTATTAGAGACACTTAAGTTCAGCCTGGGCCAAACCCTACCATAGTTTGCAAAAGAGTTGGCCAGAAATGAGTTCTGCACGGTTGTTTGTTATCGGTGGCACTGGCTTCATTGGCCCTGTTCTCATTGAGCATGCAGTTGCTGAAGGCTATAAGGTGAGTGGTCACATACTGAACCATATCCCGAACCGATGTTACTGTCGCCCCGTCCTCCTGATCAGTGAGCCCTAGAGTACACGCTTGTGTCTAAATCTGGCATACGCAGCCTCACAGATACACTGACTAACAACAAAATCCACACCCAGGTACACGCTCTCTCCCGTACCGAAGCCAGTGATGCCAAACTACGCGCCTTAGGAGCGGAACCCATCCGTGGCGACCTCACCTCCCTGGTCACCATCCGCCACGAAAGCCAAGAAGCCGACGCCGTCATCAACCTAGCCACCGCCTACGTCTTCAACCAAGGCAAATACGAAGACGCACTACCAATCGATAACGCGGCCTTTGACGCCATGTGCGATGGTATTGCCGGCACAAACAAATCTCTCATCACCACTACGGGCACTCTAGTCGCAAAGGCCGATCCGAATGGCAACGAAACAGATGAAGATGCTCCCCCTGATCCCACCCCTCTTAACATGCGCGTTCGAGCGGAGTATCACGCACTTGCGCGAGGAAAAGAACTGGGCGTGCGTGTCATGATCGTCCGCATGGCGCCGTTTACCTATGGCCGTGGCGGAAGCGGCATCGCGCTCTTCATGAGCATGGCGAAGAATACAGGTGGGCTCCCCACCGTGAACGGCGGTGGCAACCGCACCACGGCCGTACACGTAGATGACGCCGCGCGCCTTGTACTTTTGGCGGTAGAGAAAGGTGAGGCGGGCGATGTGTTCAACGTTGCCTCGCAGACTGAAGTCACGATGAGGGAACTGTTCGGTGCTATCAATTCCTCGGTTGGAATGCCCAACAAGGATATCAGGAGCGGGGAGGCTAAGGCGGCATTTGGTGAGACGATTGCGTGGTTTCTCAATGCCGAGAATAGGGCTTCGGGGGCGAAGGCGCAGAGGAAGTTGGGGTGGCAGCCGAAGGGCAAACCAATTCTTGAAGACATCAAGTCTGGTTCGTATGTAGCTGTGGCGAATGCACTCCTCCAATAGGAACTTTCCTCCAGGATAGATAAGATACGCGTTCTTTGAGTTTACTCACTACATGTCATTTGTTTCTTCTAAACTGGCCTTGATGCATTCTCCAGTCATCGCGAACTCTGGTTTGCGACTCATCGTTGTGGGCATTTGTCCTCAACACCCCCGGTTCATTGCCATCCGTCCTATAGTCGACCTAGACCCTTTCTAAGAACCATACCCACCGGTTACAACACTCAAATGACTTAGCACGACTTTATGTGTTGCAGTGAATGCAGTCAATTAAAGTGTAACCGCGCGAGGCAGTAATCAGAGTATTTTGTGTGTGTTGTCTGTTGTGCTGTCATGGCCACCTTATATGTAGCCATAATCAGGGTCTATTTGCATGACGTATCTCTGATGCTGGTAAGAGGAGAAGGTGCTCATGGAGGGGAGGGAGGAGCGCCAGGACAACACACGTGACATGCGCAATACCCTTGCCTCACAAACCGCAACATTATGTCTCATAGAGCCAACGCGCACACTACACCTTGATGCATTCTTCTTCTGAGATGCCTCTAGCTGATGCTAGAAATCAACTTCAACCCGGTAGCGAACCATCCTGCTGCACTCGGAGCACTGTGTTCTCTATTCGACCAGTCAACGTGACACAAGTGGGCCTCGCCAGCCCCACCGCATTCCAATAGGTCCCATCACCCCGCCACCTCTTTACATCTCTTCTATAAATCCAGCGTTCTCTTAACCTTTGTTTCACAAAAATTTCCTCGATAGGTAAGATCTTAGGTATGTCTTACCTCAGCGAAGAGCCACCGGAGGCACAGCCTATCCCGAAATTGGCGGCGACAGCCAATGTGCAATGCCTCATGTGCGATGAAGCAGCCACAATGACCTGTCCCAACTGCGAACAGTCGTCTTACTGCGGGAAGCGGCACCAACGCAACGATTTCGAAAAAACACAAAATCCTCTGCAAACAGTTGCCGAATTTCCTGGAGCAGAACCGCCCAGCACCTACAGGCCCAAATTCCATCTGACGCCGCGCCATTTACTTCAATCCAGCAAAAACAGAACCGGAGTTTGTGTGGGTCGAAAGGATGAGAATAGGAAACCGTACGAGACGGCTCTTGAATACGTTGTTTAAAGCAAGCCCAGGATCAAGCCTTTGCTCTTAACCGATGAGGAATTAGCAAGAAAGAAGGCCGAGGAGGCTGCGAGCAAGAACAAGACAAAGACAAAGACCAGGCCAAAGAGCAAGACGGATAGCAAGTCCAAGAGCAAAGCCCAGAAAAAGGTTCTGTCACACTGCATTAACGTACGCTATCGTGATAACTTCATGGATGACAAATCGATCACGAACAGCGTTGCGACTGCAATGATTCACGGCGAACTGGCAAAGAGACTGACAGATGAGGAAAAGAAGGGGAAGAAGACTGTAGATGAACAGGTGGAAAAAGAGGAAGGTAAATTGAAAGAATGGAAAGGTCCGATGCTATTCCACGGCATGAAAGATCTCAACAATGTTCCCGGCATGGGAACGATGAGTTTCAAATCAGGCGTGCCTAGTACAGATCTCGAGGTTCGAGATCTTAGGTATATCATTAATTGGCTAGCTGGGTACGACAAGGATGATGCCCCTGAATTTGGCTCTTGAACCATTCACATCTTCAGTATGTTTCCTGACATATTTGGATGAAAATGGCGACGTTGCATGCACATGAACAGGGTGGGTAGAGACCGTAATATTCGTCTCCCTTTTGATAATCAGAAAAAGCATCATCTTGAACAAACGAAACTACAACTATATGACATAATTTGTCGGATCGTGAGTATCGGTAGAGACGTCGGCTGCTGGACACTTCGGCCCGACTTCGGCCCACCTTGCGCAGAGCTTAGGTATACCTTCGTAGCAGCTGTGTTCGTAATAAATCAATCACCATCACCGAACAGAATGCATTCCTAGTTATCGTTATTTCCTTTCAGCACTAGTGCTATAGACCTTCCAACATAATTGATTATTCCCAGATTACAACAAGAAACCCCTCTCCCTCCAACTCATAACAAACCCCCGCACCGTCTCCTCATCAACAGGTCCAACACCCCTCATAGTCTCCGAATGCGCCCTACTCTTCTCCATCCCCAGCAAAATCCCCCCACAACTCATCCTCCTAAAATCATCCGCAAAGAAATCAACCAACCGCTGCGCGGGATTCTCATCAAACTTCCCCGCCGCCCCCGTAGAAGGGAACATGCGCACCCTCCGAATTCACTCCTCAAAGGACACAATCTTATTCTCTGGAGTCCCCAGCTCTCCCACCAGCAACTTCAACATACCCGCCCAATCCTGCCTCACCGGATTATCGATATGATAAATCTTCTCCGGGAATTTATCCAACAACAAGTCCGCACTCGCCCCCGCCACATCATCCACACACGTCCAACTAACTACGCTCTCAAGTCTCGGCAGCGCCTTAAGTGTCTGCGCACTCTTTACCAAAAAAGCAAAATGCTCATTCTCATTCCAATACCCACTCCCCGACGACCCAGCCACCTGTCCTAACCTCACAACCATCGCCCTAAAGCGATCCGGATACCGGTGTAGTGTCTCATCTAACACGCGTTCACACACAAACTTTGCGTCGCCGTAGCCATTCGGAAGTACAGACTTGATACCCATTGTTTCCTCAGGAATATGCGGTGTACGCGCGTGAAAAGGGTAATGTCCCACCGTCGCAATCGACGAGATGAACTGGAAACTGAATTTGAAGCCCGGTCCGCGTTTCGCAGCTACAAGAGCAGCGAGGTCGAAGAGGTGGCGGAGGACTTTGAACTGTGGGGTGAAGGCTTGTAGGGGCAGTTTACCGTTCATGGGCCATGCGTTGTGCACGATGTGTGTTACGGTGGTGGAGAGGGTGGCGTAGGTTTCCTCGGGGAGGCCGAGGAGGGGCTTTGTACTGTCAGTTTCGTAGGCGGTGATTTTGGAGAGGGAGGAGGCGGGGAGGGTGATGGACTTTTGGGTAAAGGCGTTGAGTTGGCGTTCAAGTGGCGTGTAAGGGGAGTTGTGGCTGCGTCGGTTGAGGCAGATTACTGAGGTTACGGTTGGGAGGGAGGCGTAGTGCGCGGCCATGTGCGAGCCTAGACTGCCTGTTGCACCGGTGATGAGGATGCAGTGGCCGGTGCTGGGGGTTTTGATGATGTCGGTTTCGGGAATAGTGGGGATGGTGAAGTCGAGGGCGGTTTTGGCGATGAGCTTTGATGTTGCTGCTTCTCGCTCTTCGTGGCGGAAGTCCTACTGATTCTGTTAAGAGGGTATGGGGATTCGGGTGGTTAGTAGACATACCTCCTGCTGCTTTGGTGCGATGGGCAGGCGGGGGTGCTGCTTGCCTCCTGCAGTGGCCATGATCAGGCGTTGACATTTCGTCTCGACGATATGGCCATCACTCCAGTCGACGTGGCCGTAGCTCACGCCGTGGAGTACCTTCTCCCAGTCCTCAGCGGACGACAACGCGTGCTGTCTGTCGTCCTCGAACAGCCACCAACCTTCAAAAACGCCGAAGATGATGTCGCACCAGTACATGGGCTCTGTCATCTCAACCATGAGAAGAACACCATCCGGACGCAGCATCTTGCGAATATTGGTAGCCGCAATTGGCAGACTGCGCGTGGCGTGGACGGCGTTACTAGCGAGAACAATGTGCTGACTGTGGAGCAAGTCATCGGCAGGCACCTTCTCAATATCATGAGTCCGGAACTTTATGAACGGGAGATGCTTGAACTGCTTCCTCGCAGCAGCGACGAAACTAGCTGCGAGATCGGTGAATGTAAACTCCACCTCGATTTCTAGCTCAGCAAGCAAGGGCAAGATAACCTTAGTCGTTGCGCCAGTACCAGCACCCATTTCGAGAATCTTCAGTGGTCCCTGACTTGGTCGCTGGGAAGTCGACGCTGCAAGCCGACGGATGAAGTCGCCCATTTGCGCATAATAGATCTTATTCATCGGATTATCAGCGTAGACGCCTGCAACGAGTTCCCGGCCACGGTCAGTGCCAAAGATGAGCTTGATACCGTCTTCGTGTCCGGTGAGAATGCCAACGAGGTGCGATCCAGTGTAGTGAGCTAGTTCATTGCAGCAGGCATGTTCGGGGAAACTGGAGAGAAGCTCCTTGAGGATGTCGGCGCTTTGTCTCTTAGGGACTGCAATGTGGGTTCTGGTCATGTTTCCGCTATCGAGCTCTACAATATGCGCGGTCTCGAGGACGGTGTAGAGGTACTGTGCGAATCTCTTCTGGTCGTCGGCATACGGGATCGATGGTAGCTTCTCTCTCGGTTTAGTTGCGGCGAGATCGCAACCTAGTTCCTTGAAACCTTCGATGATGAGAGCTACGCAGAGCTGATCTTGAAGCGGAGCGATGGTGGAAAGGTACCCACGATTGCCGTATTCCTCCATCAATCGATCGGTCGTCAGCTTCGTCTCGCCAAAAGCCTTGAGGATTGCAGATTGAGGTAGCTCAAGACCCTTTGACAGAGCCTCATTGAAGTCAAGATCAACGGAAGTAGCGTTAGTCGATACCGACGCTGGAGTGGTAGCTCCGCCCGCAACATCCTCTGCTTCATCCTCTGACGCAGATGAAGAATGAACCACGACATCATCAGTCGATGCACCCAACGCCCCCTGGACACAACTCAGTAGACTCGGGAAGTTCGTGACATGCATGAGCTCATCCTGCGGCAGGGTGCACTCGAATTCCTTCTCAATCTCCCTTGCCATCTCGATACCCATCAACGAATCGATACCAATATCTCCAAGCTCAACATCGTCCTTGATCTCTTCGGGCTCAAGACCCGAGATATCCGCCAAAACAGCCTTGAGCTTTCCGACGACGTTGATTGAAGGGGTTTCGGGAGCAGGTTTAGCCGCCTTCTGGGTGACGGGAGCAGCCGCGGTTTGCGGAGTAGGCTGCGAAGGAACTGGAGTTTCCGCTGATGCCATGAGTACGGGCGCAACACTCTGACTCACAGGAGCCTTTACAGTCCCGCTTTGTGCCGTGAGACGAGAAAACAGTTTACCCATGGACGTCCTGGCTACCTTTGCGTACTTGACACCCATGATGACTTCCGTCAGCGCACCAGATGTAGCGTCGAAGATGAAGATATCTGAAAGTACCGAGTTTCCATCTGCAGAGCGTGAGTGTTGGCAGAAGACATGCCACTTCTCTTTCGAAGAAGCCTTGATATTGGCCGTTGGGGCGCGCAGCCAGTGCTCAACACCGTTTGCGATCCACATGTCCTTCTCGTCGTCGTCCATCATGCAGTTGACCCAGAGACCAGCTATCTGGCAGAGCGCATCAGCGTAGAAGGCATCCAACCAGCCTTCGCCGCCATGCTTCTTCACGACCAGACCCGCGGAAACGGAGTCTTGACCTACAACCCTCTGAACTCCGAAGTAGAGAGGTGAGTAGTCAACGATAGGCGCGAATATGCGATAGATGCTTCGCTGACCCTGTAGCACCTCATCCGCGTCCTTGGAATAGAGAACTTGTACGCATCGGCTGTTGGTAACAAGGCGATCATAGCGGGAGAACTCTGCCTGGTACTGCAGATCGTTTGAGCTGCGGAAATGCAGTTCTCCGGTCACGTGAAGCGTAGGTGCTGCGCCAGAGAGACCCGTAGACGTCCACTTCCAGCTCCAAACCGTGCGATTGGCGTTGAGAGCCGGGAACTCGGGGAAGCCATCTTCGCCGATTGTCTCTGAGGGCCTGTCAACACTCAAATGGTGTTCAAGCGCAACTAGATGGCCAGTCAGATTACAAAGACAAATACGATATGGAAACACATACCAATTCGAGATTGCAACGCCCGTATGTGTCCTCTGTTTGGTCCACGAGGCTGTCGTGTAGTTGTTGTAACACAGGTCACACCTGAGTCCTAGCAGACACCACATGAAGGCTGGCCCCTGTCACAACGAAGTTTGCGTCTGCAGCACTCATCGCAGGCTAAGCCAGCTTGTTGGCGGCGTGGCGCACTAGTGGCTGGGCTCTTGGGAGTTGGCGACATGTTCCTGCAGAGTAACTTCTTCAGTCTTGAGTGATCACGATCTTCAACTTTGACCTGGAGTTATATACTGGAGCATCAACCCGTAGATAAGTACCTATTCCCTCAAGCCACAAAGAATGTTCGCGAGCGTAGCCTCCCACCGGGCGTTCTTACCCCGGCTCTTCTCCCACCTTAGTCTGACTATCACACTCGTGAACGCGCATACTAACGTGTCATTATCGGTTGTACTACGACGCAGGAGGCGAATCTGCAGCGCTCTCCCTGACTCCAAGGCTAGAAGGCTGATACTCTGGTCCCCTGGCACTACTAAGCTTCATGCATGGAGGCAGTGTGGGCCCGACCCTGGTGCGCCCACTCCCGCCAGGTTCTACCGAAGCTTACCCACTCCAGCTGGAGGGGAATGTAGGGTACCCTCCCCGCTCGGGAGTATACGTAGCGTGAACATGTCTTCGGCAGATAATGGTGCGTGCAAAGGTCAGGCCTGGGTAGTAACCATGCCACGCTACCTTCCCGATGTCACAGGCCCAGACGGTTTGGTCTGGCAGGCATAAGCGAGACCCAAAAGCCCATAAAATCTGGATGGCCCTATTAGAAAACGTGAATGGTCCGCTCGGACCTGGAAATACTCCGCGGCGGGTGAGGCTTATACCACATGCAACGGCCAGCTAGCTAGCGCCAATCTCCAATTAGGTACCTGTTGTGTACTAGGAAGGAACATCCTTGGAAGAATTACGCTGTCTGCGGCTTCATGAGGAGGCTGCTTATGCGGTAGGCGGCTGAGCATCTGGCCGTTATTCGTGGGATGATTTATCGAATTACTCGCATCTTACATCTGGATCTGTTGTGCTAATCCCCTGTATATGCATGTAAGTATGTAAGCAAAGATCCAATACCTAGGTTCTCAAGTAACCAGCTACCTGGTTTGAAGGAATTCCAAGAGGTTGCCACTACTTGCCTGGGCTGGCACGAAGTATCGGCAGTTGAGAGTGCTCCAATGTGTAGGCTAGTACTGGCTGCAAGTGTCCTGCACACCCCACTCAGAACTGCGGACTGGTCTCATGGCCTGACTCCACCTGTAGACGTCAACTTATCAAAAAGGATGTCGATTCATAAACGCTGTTTCAGTCGGCCCCAAACCCGATACAAGGCCGATTATCTGCAGAACAAGGTCGATCCAGGACCAGTCGTATGTTCAGTGATTCCAAGATGGTTAGACCTGATCAGCGGCTTTTCCCGGCCCGGCATATCCTTGGAATAATACGAATACGACTGACGTGACTTGCATTGTGCGTACGGCCCACGCGCCTTCGCTCCTTGGCCTTAAAGGCTTAATTGCTGCTCGCGCTCGGGAGCAAACGCTTTCCGAGATACTAACGGGATGGAAATAGTGGGTGCAGCGGGAGTTGCAGGCTCGTACCTATGCTTACGACCCACAGGACCCTTGCCCTCGGACATGGCCTTTGAAAATGCCGTGAACTGGTAGGATAGATGGCTGGGCCTAAAGCACAACTCTAGGAAGTGCGGCGAGACATGTACATCCAAACCCAAGTCTCCAGGTAACGAGGCTGCGTGTAGAATGGGGCGGAGGCACGCCATGGGATCGGACTTTATTAGGGAGATCGTAGGTGCTGAGAACTTTACTTGAGATCCAGGAGCTCGTATCTGCTAAACATTCAGGCTCTACAGTACCAGTAAGTACTTGCAGCTGCGCTAATTTTGATGGACCCCGAAATTCAATTCAATTCAATTCAAGAAATATTGTTGGGACTTTGCGTTGATAGTTTGGAGGCCAAGGCGCACAGCTGACACATAATAGGGCCGAGACGTATCGCGGGGTAGTGGTTTGTTGTAGTTAAAGTCGAGGTGGTGGTACGTGGAGGTCGACCCTGGGGCGGTTCAGACTGGATGAGCACACCTCGACTGACATGCCCACGTAAACAACACGGTCGCGTGACGAATTAGCACGTGATAAAATCATCATGCAGATGCGCTGCTGTCGGCACAAAAAGGATTGGTAGTCATGTTTTAGGTGGTACGTTTGCTACAATCAAAGTTTAAGTAAGGGGAAACTGGAGCGAGTTTACCTGGTAGACTATGCATGGTCGTTGACATGGAGATGGAAGATTGATTGATGGTGAGTTTTCAATTTTCACATGATTGCACGTGATAGTCGGCATACACGCTCGTCAAACGCCGACGGGTCCGAGCTTTGGACAAGGTGGACAATCTTGGAAGTAAACGGCAGCGACAACGTCACAAAGTAGGAGAAGCATTTGGCGAGCTGTGTCCATTGCTCATGACAAGCTTTGGCTGCCACGTCCATCAACCAGCACATCCATCGTGTAGTATAACACCATACTGGAGGCCACATTGAGACACAAATTCGATACATCTGCTTTCCTCTGTTCCCAATCTTTCTTTGATCTTTGTTATGCGGGTGTAAAAGGCGATCATTCGGATAGGCACGCGCGTTCGCATGCTGGCCGTTGCCGGCATGAGCAACATCAAGTCGCGGCTGCACAAGGTCCGTTCCAAGCTGCTCAGGAGAGGAAGCTCAGCGTCGACGGCGACGCGCTCCTTGACATCCTCTGCGGGCAGCGAGAGGCATCCACAAGCCCTGGTGGCCAGCTCGCTACGCAAGAGCGTCTCGTTGCAGAAGCTGGCCGAGGCGGGCGCGCCCGAAGCCGCCGAGAATACAGCAACTAACGGGCATACACCCACCAGCACTGCCGACGAGCCTCTTGTATGCCCAGAGTTGACTTTGGAGGAGCCTACGCCTGTTCCCGCTGTTCTCGAATATAGCAACCCTCAGCAACAGACGTCGTCGCTCTCGCTGTTGGCTCCAGGAAGCGACACGATCGACGCATCTGCTACGCCTTCGGAATCGACATCCACATCCCCATCACCACTGCCACTGCCACTGCCACTACCATCACCTTCGATTTCGCCTGCGCCTGCGTTGCCACCTGCTCTGCTGAGTCCGACTGTCCAGCCCAGCGCCCAAATGTTGCACCGTAAGATTTGGGTCAAGCGGCCCAATGCCTCGGCCACGCTCGTGCAGATCCGTGAGGACGACCTTGTCGACGATGTGCGTGAGATGATTCTCCGAAAGTATGCAAACTCCCTGGGCCGGAGCTTCGACTCGCCCGACGTCACTCTGCGCATTGTGCCGCGCGACGCGCAACGTGGAGGGGAGCGCACCCTGGGGCCTGAGGAGGACATGTGCAGGACACTCGACCTCTACTTCCCTGGTGGTCAGACTGTCACAGAGGCTCTTATCATCGACGTGCCCCAACGAAGGACGCCAAAACCATCACCGCGCGTCCCAATGTACTATGCGCACCACGAGGATGGCTTACATCAACAGACGGAATACTTTCCACCCATGCCTGTTATCGCGCCCTCCCCAGCTACCCTGGGCTCAAGCCAGCAGCACGACGCCCGCATGCCCCTCCCCCACGCTTCGCACTCTATCGCTGTGCTCAACACCGGACAGCTGCCTGCCCTGCCTTCACCTGGAGGCACAAGACGGGGACCACTCCATGCACATCGGCCGAAATACCCTAGGACCCATACTGCCTCGCCCACTACCCTCGGCGGCGGCATTCCCTCCTCCGCCACGTCCGCCCGTCCCCCTAACCGTCCGCGCCATGACTCCACGGCATCTGACGCGAAGAACTCGGCTGCCTCGAATAACCCGATACCCACACCTCCCGCCACTGCCGACCTCATCACACACCAGCCAGCCCTCCATGAGTCAACTCCGCCGACCCCGCGTATCTCGTCGCCTCAGCCGAAGAAGAAGCGCAAGAAGGCTCCACTCGACGCACCCAGCTTGCCTGCTGGATTGCTCGATGGGTCAGTACCACCTATCAACGTGCTCATTGTGGAGGACAACATTATCAACCTGCGAGTTTTGGGGGCTTTTATGCAGCGTCTCAAAGTCCGCTGGCAGCGTGCAATGAACGGAAAGGAGGCCGTGACGAAGTGGAAGGCTGGTGGTTTCCACTTGGTACTCATGGACATTCAGCTGCCCGTCATGAACGGTCTCGAGGCAACAAAGGAAATTAGGAGATTGGAGCGTGTCAACAGTATCGGCGTCTTCAGCAGTGGGAGCAGCGAAGCGCCAAACAACAGACTCGGCCAGGATGCCAAGGGGAAAGACGAGCTAGTTGCGGACGACCGGCTTGGTGACAAGGGTATGTTCAAGAGCCCTGTCATTATTGTCGCCCTCACTGCCAGTTCGCTGCAAAGTGATAGGCATGAGGCGTTGGCGGCTGGCTGCAACGATTTCTTGACAAAGGTAAGAACGTTAGACTTCTTTCCGATTAGCTTTCACTGACACAACATAGCCCGTCAACTTCGTCTGGCTCGAGCGCAAAGTCAAAGAATGGGGATGCATGCAAGCCCTGATCGATTTCGACGGCTGGCGCAAGTGGAAAGATTTCGCCGACAAGTCTGAGAACAATGATACCACATCGAAGCTTTCCGGCAGCTATGCGAGCATCGCCCCAAACAAGAAGCCCGTCACCCCAAGTCCAACACTTTCGGCCGCTCCACCGGATACAAATGGTACGAGCAAGGATGCGGAAGCTGAAAGGAAAAGTAAGCGCAAGAGTCTCGTCCCGCCTCCGATGCTGCAGGAAGAGGCCGAGACACCGCCAGTTGAAAGCGGAAGCGGAGATGAGTAAGCTCCGTTCCAAATTCACATTTCTTCGGTCCGCATACGTTCTGGAACCTCCTGTCGAGTCAAAGGTTCTAGCCTTACTTTCTGCTGTCTTCTTTGCCATACATTGCACGACTCTCCTCGCCTATCAAATATCAAAAGTCACTCGGTTGTAAATTGACATAACACCATTTTGCATGGCCCTCGTGTTTTCCATGGGTCTTTTTCTTTAGTTTCGCCAATATTTTGTGTCTACTTCTTGTTGTTGTTGTTGTTGTTGTTGTTGTTGTTGTTGTTGTTGTTGTTGTTGTTGTTGTTGTTGTTGTTGTTGTTGTTGGCGTTTTTCATTGGTCACGGACGTACCTGCTATACAATTGTCTTTTAGACAGACCTCACTACACACCTTTCCTATGTAATCTGCTTCTGGCTTAGAAAAGGGACGCTGGACACTCGTTTTACCGTACACAATATGATCGCCTCGGGGCGAGAGGCTTGGTTTTGATATTGCGACTGGTAAGGCTGGCGCCGGGAATAAAGTAGCTTTTGGTTGTAATGTTAATCGTGTGAGACTGTACTTCTATGCATCGCTGTTGGTGACTATTGATAAGCTTGTGTCAGAACCCTGTCTGTTGCCGGGTCAACGGTTTGCCCTCGCTTAGACTTTCCACCGTGGACCAGTGCAAAGCGACCCTGGCAGGTCCAGCCAGACCCCCAACCCACCGTCAACAGCCATATCATTCGCTCAACCGCCTGACATGCCACCAAAAATTGTATACGGAAAGAAGAGAACTGGCGAGCGACCTGCCTATACAAAGTTTCTGTCGCCCGAGAAGGATGTTGCGCACAAAGTCGTGGGGAGCCAAAATGTGGCTAGCATCACAACAAATGATTGGCGGGATCAGCTCTTGACGGCAGCAGAGTCAACAGAACAGCAGAAGCAGAAAGACGATGAGATCTCGGCGTTGGAGAAGGGGTTTGAGGGTTTACGAGTGGAGCAACCAAGGAATTCGCCAATAGTGCGCATCACAAAGAAACAATACAACCCGCTGAAAACGCCAGCTACCGATGGAGACACGACAAAAGAGAATGCGATTCCAATCTATGATGCTCTGGAGGAAAGCATGCGAGCTTTGGAGATCAAGGCTCCGACAGAGGAGGACCCCGCCATGCTAAAGAAGCCAAGAAAACCGCGTAAAGTTTTGAGCGATCGGAACATCAATGTTTTGAACGAGACGCATGGTCAGGTTCAGTCTGTTCCGAAGAAAAAGAAGGAGAAAAAGCGAATTGTCCCTATCGCAGTGGATGCAGCTGCCGAGGTCCCAAGAAACGAGGAAACACCAATACGTCCCAGATCGAAGCAACGAAGACCACAGTTACCCACCCCGGAACCAACGCCTGAGCCTGAAACCATTTACTCCGCCTATGCGTCTCCTCTCCTAGCTCTCAGCGATAGAAAGAGGATTGTGGGCTTCCAAGACTGGCTAGGCGAACTAGAACCGCATTTCGAAATCACAAAGATTGCAGAAGCGTCCTTTTCAGAGGTATACCGTCTATCCGCCACATCTTCCACGAACGGTGTCACAGAAGAATCAGTACTCAAAGTCGTGGCCCTGAAGACACCCCCAGAATTCCCCTTTCCATGCCAACTACACACCCGCGCGGTTCGCGATCGCGAAGCGCAGATGGAAAAGGAGATGGCGCAACGAGAAGAGGAGGACCAGTGGAAATCGCACGTCGAGGATGTAGTTTCAGAGGTTAGGCTCCTCCAGAACCTAACTCACATACCCGGTTTCACCGTTTTTCGCGACCTCACCATCGTCCAAGGTAGACCGTCAACGTCCTTCAACGACGCCTGGAAGGAGTGGAATAAATCTCGCCCTCGCGGCAAGAAAAGCGAGTTTCCGGACCCCAGCAAAAAGGCGAGCTACGACGATAACCAACTCTGGGCTGTCGTTGAAATGCAAGATGCGGGCACTGATTGCGAGAAGATGATGGAAAACGGTGGGTTGAGCTCGATATGGGAGGTCTGGGACGTATTTTGGGGTGTAGCAATTAGCCTAGGCAAAGCAGAAGAAGCATGTCGGTTCGAACATCGCGACCTCCATCTCGGCAACATCTGCGTGCGGTCCTCACGTACAGACGGAGACGTATTACAGCCCCCCGTCCGCGACCCCTTACGGCGGAAATTCCGCTTTACGGGCCTCGAAACTACAGTTATTGATTACACGTTATCCCGCGCTGACATCGTGCCCTCGCTCTCCCGGGACGACGTCGATCTATCACACATCTCGAGCACTACGGCTGGCAACGAGGACGAAGACGATGTCGTTGTCGATGTCGCATACCTGGATTTAGACAAGGATCCTGCGCTCTTCCAGGGCGATGCGAGTGAAGAGTATCAATACGAGATTTACCGGTATATGCGCGGCGCGGCTTTATTCGATAACCCGCTACAAGCTGAAACATCACATCCACAAGAAGTCGAGGAAGAAGAAGAACCACAGATCCCAATAACGCCACGTCGCTCACCGAGGAAAAACACACATATCCGCTTTGATTCCATCCCCGACACTTTACCCGAGACACTCCGCCGTTCACCGAGAAAACACTCCGAGCGCCACCCCTCATCGTCCAGCCGAAACGTGACAAAAGTTGTAGACGAACATGTCTGGAGACAATTCCATCCTAAAACAAACTTAGTATGGTTGCACTTTCTCTTGCATAAACTGCTCAACCACCTGTCCGTCTCGCCGGATAGCTTGTCGACGCATCAGGCGCCTCAGGAGGGCGAGGACGTACAGAAGGTAAAGAAGAAGGCGCTTAGGTTACAAAAGGTGTTGAAGCGGGTGAGCGAGTTGCTTTGTCCGGTTGCGCTGGGTAGGAGGGAGGGCTTGGGTAGTGTCAAGGAGTTGGTTGTGTTGGCGTTGGAGGAGAGGTGGGTTAGGGTTGGGGATGTTGAGGGGTGATGTTGTGGCATTGTTTGGCGTTGTTAGGAGAGGCATGGTATGGTGATTAGAACCGCATCGCTGTACGTGTAAAATTGGAGTAAGAATTATCTTGTTCTATGAATATGCTGAAGTCTTGTAAATCGCTGGAAATCGTGAACGGTGCGCTGAGCGGATATGTGTATATCGTGTGTCACAACAGGACAGATATTAGAAAAGTCTATAACTCGAGCTCGCTGAAGGGAGATCGTATCTACTTGTTACGGCGGAACGCAGCGAAAGGAGGGAAGAAGTATGCGGGGTGGAAGACGGTAAGGATCGTGCATGCGATAGCCAGCATCCTGATTCAACGAATTAGTAACCGAATCAAAGCTTCCAGGCGGTTTGCGATGAACTTACATGCCATCTAGCAATAAAAACTCCGTCTCATTCCGCATCAGCGCATTTCCCCAGCCCCCTGCCATCTCCGGCAGACGATAAATGCAACGAACCAGCACCGTGGTAAACGCCAAAAAGATCAACCAACCAAACAACTTGACCCTTCTTAACCCGGCAGCTCCTGTTTCCTTGTCGACTTCGTATCTGCTCTTCTCGCCCACTGTCTTGTTCAATTTGTTCGCCCTGCGATACCTGAAAATGTACACCAACACTAATAGCCCACACACGGCCATGGTAACAACTTGAAACGCGATACCAGCGACGATCAACTTGTTGCCTCCATCGATGAGTTTCTTATTCGTCGTCCCACCCGCAGCCGCCATACCACCACCACAAGCCTGCAGCACAATCGACCCAAAGTCGCAGCCGATGAAGATCCACGGATACAACCTCGCCTTGATAAGAGAATGCTGCGGTCCACAGTACAACACAAAATGCTTCAACGTGAGATAAATAGCCGCAGCGACGAAACTAGGGCCGAGCACAAGACAGCATATCTGCAGTTTAAACCCAGATTCGCTCCAGGGGTTACCGTTCATGATGACGCGGCCAGCGTAGCCGGCGGCTTCGAGGAAGGTGCCGACGGCCAGGGCGGCCGTGTACGTCCATGTTTTCGATAGCACGCCGATGATGAGGGAGGCGAGGAAGAGGGTGCCGAAGAGGGCGCAGAGGAAGGCGTTGGCGCCGAGGTTGGGTCGGTAGCCGTAGAGGGTGGCGTGCACGGGGCAGTCGGGGCTGACTTGTAGACATTGGCGGAAGTCACCTTTTGGACGGTCTTCGGCAGCAGCGACGACGAGGGTTTGTGTTGTTAGGGCGAGGAGGAGGAGGGTTAGGAGACGTCTGGTGCGGACGTGTGAAGACATGATCACGGTAGAGCGTAGCGTAACAAGGCACAAAAGTGCTAGAACTACGGGGGGTTAAACCAGGACAGTCCGAGGGGAAGGAATGACAAGAGAGCGATGTTTCAAAGACGACAAAGGGTAGTGGCGGCGCGTGGGGATTTCTATGTACAGTAGATAGGCAACAGACTTTCAAACCAAAAACCCACCCGATTAATCGGGGCTGTGCCCGGTCACTGTCCTAAGTATGGGATGCATGTGGATGGGCGGCTGAGCCTAGCCCTTCTGTTAAGGTACATATGTACGGCTACCCACACCCAACCGTATACACCGTAAACGACACATGCACATGGCAAAACAGTGTTGCTAATTTCTAAGCGAGGCTTCCTGAGCTGTAGCTAGGCGCCGTTTCATTGGCGCTTAGGGGCCTCGCTTGCGCAATTTGGTATAGTATGTAGGCCAAGAACGAGGAATTGCTTGCGCTTGCGTAGGGACCAGGGTATGGGACTTGGGGGGTTAGTTTAGAAGGCGAGCCTTCCGTCGTGCGTCTTGTGAGATGAGTTGTGGGTTTTTTTTGGTGGCGGCCGTGGTGTGTGGATGGGTGGATGGGGTGGCGTTGTTGCTAGGGGATGACGTAAAACACTGTTTCTTGTTCTTTCTAACCCGGCGAGCAAACGAGACAGAGCTGCCATCCAGACAAAGACGGAGGGCCTGAAGTCAGACGTACTTACGCATCCTTTCCCTCGCAGGCCGCGTTTCCCAGCCGTTTAACCGCTGCCGCCGCCGTTCCCCAACGCCAGGTTTTGGCCCACCCAGATTATGCAGCGTAACCGAAGTGCACATTATTTCGCGTATCTGGTCTTGAGGTCCGGTCGCCGGTATACGGTTTACGGTTATCAATACGGTTTGATTGTCCGTGATCCCTGCTTTTGTTTAGTTAGGGAGCTATTCTTTCTGGAAATAGAGGCCCGCGACTGACTGCCGTTGGTGTGGAAATGCTCCGCTGCAAGGACGTACCGAGAGCGCCTGCGAATTAGAGGGGGTAGAGACCTCGGGGCTGTGACTGGAAGCGAAATGGAATGCTGAATAAGCTTTTTCAGACCTAGCTATAGTGGGTTGCTTCTTAGGCCTTTTTCTCTACCTACTGCCTCCTGCCTCAATAGAGGTGTTGGTGTGTTGTCAGCTTTACAGTAGGCTGATTCCGTTCTAGGCGCGTTTTGCGCTCGGTGGATTGGATTTGGGGCGTATTGTCCGATCACGTGGTGACATGTGTCTTTCCATCACCCTCTCTAATGCTCCAGGCAGCCATACATACACATTTACACATCAGGAGATGCTCACAACATCCAAGGCCACCCGACCTCAAACTGGAAAATGGTGCTACGCTTACACCGTTGATGGCAGGGGGCCTCTGCTCAAGTTAACGTATCTGGTGTAAGTACCATGGTTCTGGTAGAAAACTACCACAGAACGCGACATTGTGATCCAATAACGCGTCTTGAAATTTGAAAATTTAATTTAGTTGTAATGAGTACGTTGAGAGCCGGACTCGCCGTCATCCCGCATACGATGATCCCAATCGATCATAGTGCAGGGGGCCTCGGCTGCAATGCCACGAGTCTTTTCTGACTTGCAGCGTGTTGCGCGTGCCCATGCATGCTGATAACACGCCTGTGTCGTTGAAAAACTCGGGTCTCGTAGTCGACGATAAGTTCCCGGCATCGTTCCGCGGCATCGGGCCAGCGTACGGTCCGATGAAGAGGATGTTGTGCAGGACGTCTTGCTGACGGATGCGAATACGAGTAACGTGACGTCAGCACAGGCCTGGGGAAGATCAGCTAGCTTTTCTAACTTGTTTGGGCAGTCCGAGATAGTGCGTCTAGAGAGTCGCATAGTTTATCAGTTTGCATTGGCCGTTCGGCTTTGTGAGCGGGCTGTGAAGCCGGTGATTGCGACATTTGGCTGCACTCTGGAAGGATTGAGCAGACGGGTGTTCAATGGCTTTTGATTGCTGATTAGCATTGACAAATCGTGGCATGTTATGTTTTACATCTACCGCGATTCTCTTATCGAAGATTGAGCGCGACTAGTTGGCAAGGATGGACAACAAGCTCTTTTCGAAGTTCTGCTCTTGCGACCGGATGGGAAGGGACTCGCAGTAACGATTTGATGCACGTGATTATGGCAGGGAACCCAGAGTTCAGTGTGTGACGGTCAAATCAAGGGTGACTCAAGAGATGAATTATCTGGTTCGGATTGCAGAAGAACTGCAGAGCACGAGAGGACATTCAACCATAAGAGACAGAATGGAAAGACAGGCAAAATTCACAGCGAATGCCTATCAACCATCGTCTACTCTAACGTGTTAACGGTCGAACCGTTCAACGGACGAACCTTTGCGAGACGTCGCAATCTGACTGCATCGAGCAAGTAAACTTACAGTAAAGATCCTGTGTCCAAAAAGGCCTACCGGAGATTATTTCAAGGCCACCAACCGAGCGATCTTTAGATTTTTCGCCACCACTAGACCTGGACCCTTAGTTGCTCCACACTAGGTAGGTACCCACACGTCTTTCCACCAACGTCGACCTTTATCACAACGACAACGACTTGACTATCTACTGCATTTCCCGCTGCTTCGATCCTACCCGGTAATTATTCAGCGGACGCTGATGTTGTTGCTAGGTGCATCCCAGCAATCTCATTTCGGCATCATGTTGCTGAGCAGAGCTACTAGAGAACGTCCCGAGCTTCGTTGTAGTCTCGTCTCACTCATAAATTGCGGAAATTGCATCTATGCGTACTGGTCAACATAGTGCAGCAAAATCTTGTGGGAGACAAGATAGAGATTGGCTTTACCCGTGACCACGTGGTCGCAAGCATGACACTGCTATCATCAGCTGTAAGCGCCGTGTGGATCCGCCAGCGCGGATAACGACAGAAAGAGCAATAGTACAGAACTGCAGATAACATGTCCAGCGATTAGGAAGGTAAAGCCTTTTGTTGTTGGACCAACGCCAACAGAGATTTATCATTATGTAAAGAGATCTAACAGAATCACGTTAGGAGCTCAGTCGCGCGCTTAACATTACAACATTGACATGTTGATAGCATATCCGAATTTTACACCGCAACGAGATGTGTTCACGCCAAGCGAGCTGTGAGATTTCGCGAGTCAAGCGTCAGCTCGACGCTGCTGGGGTAGATGCTGGTAGTATATTTGTTCCGCGATATACGAGCGGAAATTCGAGATATGTCAGTCTTCGCAAGGCCTCGGACTTCTGCAAGTCGCTTGACGTGGGATCTTGTACAATCATGTCCACACGCACATATCTTATCATTGAGAGGATTCTCAACATCGCAAGATAAGTCGTGGATTATATGGATCCACATTTAAAAGTCCGAACGCAGAAGGGATGCCGAAGGACCGAAACGGTAGCCAAGCATCTTGGGCCTCGCGTCGGAACGAAGTCAGTTTAGGGTGCGGCGCAACTGCGGGTACTAACCTCCCGAATCCCCGCATGCAGCGAGTACGGAGAAAAATATCCAGCCACTCGCACCACCTTTAATCGTTCCGTACTCAGTACGAGTGGTTTGCAAGTGGTATGTGATATATCTCTCCCTGCGTCTGTGTGGTTGAGAGCTGTCTAAAGCTAGGACTTATCGGCGTCCTCCTCATCGTATTCGCCTTCTGGATGATGTACGTGCACGGAACGGCGCGACAGAGTGCCAAATCCTTCAAAAAACGCTTTCGGGATCATCTTATCCTATCTGGGAATGGATCTGCTATCGTTCTTCCCATAGCACTATAGCTCGGTAAAGAGTAACATAATATAAATACTGGAGACATACGGGGGAACATCGTTCGATCAATCATCGGCCGTGTCACTTTATGTACTTCTCATAAATTGCCGAAACGTGCTGCGACTTCAAACCCCCTTCTCTTAACAACACAAATAAGCCGTCACCATGCCTGGCGTGACGAATCAGGTTCGACAACGGACACTTATCCTCGATCTGGGGGACGTGCTCTTCCACTGGTCTGCCCGCGACCTCACGGTCTTCTCTCCCCAAACATTCCACGCCGTCATTCTATCACCAACATGGAGCGAATATGAGAGTGGCCGGATAACCGAAGAGAAAGCTATCTCGCTTATTGGCGAGGAGCTCTCACTCAAGCCCTCTGACATTGCAGAAGGACTCTTGCAATGTCGCAACACGTTGCGAGTCGACTCGGACCTCATCAACGAACTCAAGAAGCTCAAGGCCGAGTTCCAAGGAAGCCTCAAAGTTTACGCTATGAGCAACATAACCAAGGATGATTTCGCACGCCTCAAGCTCATACTGCCAGATTGGAGCTTGTTCGATGCCGAATACCCATCCTTCGAGGCCGGTATGACCAAGCTAGAGCTGGCTTTTTTCCAGCACGTCATAGACGACATCGGACTGAGCGACCCCACCTCCGCTATCTTCGTCGACGACAAAGTCGGCAATGTTAACAGAGCGCGTTCTTTCGGTATACAAGGAATCGTGTTCGGACCATCAACTGATCTTATACGCGAGCTCCGCAACATGCTCTATGATCCCGTGCCCCGGGCACGGCAATTCATGGAGACTAGCTCGAAGAAGAACACGTGCTATATTGAGGGCGGCGGCGAGTTTCTCGATTCCTTCTCTCAGTTTCTCATCCATTATGAATTGAGGGACACCAGTCTTATCAGCTTGTCACGTGCTGATGCCCCGGCGGCGGAGGTGAAGAAAACTATTGAGCAGGCTGCTCGGGAAGCGAGAACGTGGAACTACTTTATCGGCGAGCCAGTCGGCACAACAAAGTCCTGTAAGCAAACCCTCATCGTTCTATTTGCACGTGATTGTATACTAACTATGCACCATCACCAGTCCCAAATGACATCGACTCCACATCGACTTACCTGCTTGCTTTCTCCCCACCTGCGGCCTCAGCCAATCCTGTCTTGGACCGCATCGCCGCAAACCGCCACGCCACAGAAGGCCTTGCCATGATCTACTGGTGCGAAAAGCGACCTCGCATCGACCCCTTCGTCCTGGTCAACGCTATCCGCGCCTTCTACCACTACAACCGCGGCGTAGAGATGCAACCCGAGCTCAACTACGTCCGGCGCATCCTACTCCACCGCGGTTACGTCGAAGGCTCTGAGATGTACATTTCCGGTGAACCCTTCTTGTACTTTGTATCCTGCCTCATTGCGGAGAACCCAAATGCACCAGAGGTTCAGACGCTGCGGGAGCCTGCGGCTGCTGTTCTTCGCGACTATGTTAACAGCAAAGGTGATTCTTTCTGTGTTACGGCACGTGTGCTTGCTTGTCAGAAACTTGGTGTGGATCCGCAGTCGGATATCCGTTATCTCAAGAGCTTGCAGGAGGTCGATGGCGGTTGGGAACTTGGTTGGCCGTGTAAGTTTGGAAGGAGTAGGAAGAGGATTGGGAGTCGTTCTGTCTCTACTGCGTGGGCTATCAAGGCACTTGAGCATGACGCGCGGAAGTTTCAGAATGGCACTAATGGGACGAAGCTTGAGAGGGCTCTTGGTAAATGAGATGGGTTGACTTGGGATATGAATCATGGTATACGACTTGCATAATGTTTTGAAATGTATTGTTCTGATGAGATGTTTCGTTCTCCACCTTCATCTTCTCTACTTTCCTGTTCTAGTTGTCCGAGCTTATCCTCTCCGACATGACTGCTTCCTGCTTCTCGTTTGCGTGCGCAAACTTCCTGTACCTCTCCTCCTCGTCGGACTTGCTCACCCTGATGACCGTCCTGTTCTCCTTGTTCAGTCCCATGCACAATCTTGGCTTCTCGAAGAACATGATGTCAATCTCCTCCAGCGTACGTCCAGACGTCTCAACACCAAAGAAATACGTCAGCGGGACAAAGGAAGCGCAGACGACAGCCCAGACCCAGAAGTAATGGCCGCGGATATTATCAAGACCGATGGGCGTAACCATAACCACGACGAAGTTGCTCATCCAATGAGAAAAGACGCCGACGGCTGTGGCTTTGTTGCGTACGCGGAGAGGCTGGATCTCGGCTGAATAAGACCAAGATACAGGTAAGATTCCGAGGGTGAAACAGTCGAGGTAGAGAAACATGAATGCGACAGCTGCGGCGGCGCTAGAGAAGCTGTTCTTGGAAAGACAACCAGCGATCAGGAACATGCAAATCGCACAACCAGCTGAAGAACCCATGACCGACCATCTACGTCCGATCTTGTCAATGTAGAAGTATGGGGGCCAGGAGAAGATCGCGTATTGGGTGAATGCGACGGAGGCTAGGATAAGAGACATGCTGGGGGAGTAACCGAGGTATTCCTGGAGAATGAATGCGAGGTAGTAGCATAGCGCCTGTGTAATTGTGAGTGGAGGTGGTTTTGGGGGACTAGTTGAAGGCTTACGTTGATACCCGACCATTGGTTCATGAGGTATGGGCCCATACCGAGAATGACACGATGTAGGTTGCGAGTCTTGGTGGCGTTGCTAAACACTTCGCTCCAGCTCGGCTCTTCTTCGTTACTCTCAGCTTCGATAGCGTCGAGGATTTCCTGGAGTTGACCCTGGACCTCTTCGTCATCGATGGGCTTGTCCAGAAGCCTGCTAATCGTATGCTTGGCCTAGAAATGTGTCAGTTTTCACATCGGACGAATTTTGTTGCAGTCAACAACATACCTCATCGATCTTGCCACGCGATGCCAGCCAACGTGGTGTCTCACACAAGAACGGGCATAGAGCCAGCACGATGAGGGAGAAGAGGATCTGGCAAGCGACCGGGAAGCGCCACTGTAGCGAGTTGTCGGCGTAAAGTGTCGCGAAACATAGCCAGGACGCGATGGCTACACCAATGATGATCAAAGCCGACTGTACGACCAGTAGGGAGCCACGGTTATGCGCAGGCAGAGTTTCCGATTGCAGAATCGGCACCGCAACGGTGGAGAGCCCGACACCGACGCCGGCAATAATGCGTGAGACGAACATTTGCCTAGAGGATCGCGTGATGTTAGCATGGATTCTATGGTTAGACAGAAATCACAGTACGTACCAGTATTCAAAACTAGCAGTCTGAATTGCAGCCCCGAAGACGACAATGAGGTTTGCCAGGATGATGGATCGTTTACGCCCAATTTTCTCTCCAAAGACGAATGCCACAACAGCACCAATCGCACATCCTATATCGTAAATAGCTGTGACAAGGCCAGTCATTGTCGGGTCTGGGTTGCCCAGCATGTCCTTGAAGCGTTGACCGCCAAGGATACCGCCGAAGAGACCTTGATCATCTTGATGCTGCGTTAGAAACACCTCCTCAATAGCACTTAAGAAGTAGAGTACTTACATCCAAAAAGGAGAAAGTCAAACCCCGAAGTCAACAAAATGATAGCAATGAGGCTCTTGCCCCTAAGCTCGAGAAAACGCATGATGAGACTTTGAACCAAACACCCTGAATTGCAAGCGTAGGAACAAACCGCAACAGCGACACTCGAAAAGAATTGTGGACCGCAACCATCTAGCCTATATAGATTTCTATATTCTCACGATGTGCACCGGCATCTCCTCATTGAGCCTGGCATCATGTGTCTCCAACGTGGGTGCTAGGTTGCATGCAGAAAGTCTGACGGTCTGTGTCCGGGGTAAATGTGGGCCCGTGGAGAAGCGTTTGCGGAGTAGTTATCTGCGGAGTACAGGAGAGCCATGCTGAGGCTAGGGAAAAGCACGAGAGACTTTTGGGGGAAGTTCAATAGAAGGCTGGGATGAGGTAATCTTGGTAGCTGGGGCCGGCTGGGCAGCGTGCGGGGTTCCCGTATTCGGCATGCCGCACGTCTGTTGGGGAAGGTTCGCCGACGCATCGTAACAGGTGATGGTCTTGACTTACGGCGTGATAGACTCTGTGGAGCGTAACTATGAATCGCGTTGCAATCTCGAAGCCTGCTTTTTTCGGTTGTGATTCAAGATCGCGTAGAATCGAATTCTGCTGATTGGTTGTGCTCAGCATGCTGCCCAAGCAGTCTTTGGAGTGGTCTCTCACCCAAATCGCAGGTTTCGGCCCAGTGACCGGTTCTTCTCGTCAATTTACCCAGGATGAGCTACCACTTGACCACACTGTGCACCGCGCATACGGCTGCTCAGGACGCAAGACCTCATTCTCAGCGCTCCCGTCGCCAATCTGGAGCAAGCGACGACACGTTACGTGACTAGTCTTCTTTCGCTCCATATGGGAATCTGGGGTCAAGCAATGACACGGTAAAAAACTGGGGTATTCGTGAATGACGGCCAATCAACGACTACGGTCCTTTGTTCTCAGATGGATTGTATGCGGGGATGCACAAAGATTGTGCCTTGAACCCCAGCCTTGGCCTCGTGCTTATGATCGTCTCCAACTCGGCTCCATACGAGACTCCAAATTTCTCTTGTCTCTGACGTACACACATGGCTTAGCGTCACGCCCTCCATCTCTTAACACATGACCCAGCCATAGTTTAGGATTGGAACATACACCAGGTCTTGTCACGATGAAGCATCTGTGTTTGTACCAAATTGACATACAGCCCCTGGATCGCTCGGTACACTCAGCCGCATGTAGGCGACAGCTTTCAATTCGAAAGCCCGAGACGAGCACATAGAAACCTTGTGCCGAAATCTAGAACCTGAAATCAGAGACGAACACATGGAAGCTGTATGTCAAAACTTGAAGCCAGACACATATGTAGAAACTGTATGACAATTTGAAAGAAAAAAAGAAACCCATGAACATTGCATGCAATTATCTATGTGTTAAAGTTCATAACTACAGAATTTGCATGCTTCTATGTTATCTTATTCTTTGCAAGCACTGAGAATCTCCGAGTCGCCAGAAATTAGAGAAGCGGACACGGCAACCAGACGAGTTATTTTCGAAAAACTTCAAAATGCTGCACTCATGTCTCCCATATGTAGGTGTTTCGGGACTCACAAACATGTTTTTTCCCAGTTCATTTTGATTCGTGGATCACGTGATATTTTTGCGTACAAATTACAATGAGACATGTGCACAACGGCAGTAATGATTTGTAGACACCCTCTTTTTAGACACTAGCATGGAACCTTGACCATAGCATTTTGATTTGCGAACTGTGAAAAGCATATTTTTTTTGCCGTTGTCTTTTTGAGAGTAGGGTAGCATGTGCTTTATTTGAAGGAGAGAGAAAGTGTCGGATCGTGAGTATCGGTAGAGACGTCGGCTGCTTGACACTTCGGCCCGACTTCGGCCCACCTTGCGCAGAGCTTAGGTGTACCTTCGTAGCACCTACGTTCGTAGACAATGAATACCAATACTAGTCACCAGAAGAACTTCGTTGTTGTTATTCACCCATACGATCGTACAAGGCCTACCAACAGAAAGAGAATATAGCGATAGACACACCCTTTATACCGCTGTACCTCGCACGTAAGGAGCTCAAGGCTGTATTTTGATTTTTAAGAATTCAAATTGAAGACGCACATTCAACGTTACCATCAGGATTTTGATGTAGAAAGGAGGAATTTATGTTGTGTATGGAAACAAGGGAAAAACTGGGCGCCAGGGAAAATATCTACACCCTCCTAAGCTAGTGCCGAACATTCTCCGAGTCTTATAGGCTTTTGGAACCCGGGAAACGCACATCGCATTATTCGCCCGCAATTTTAAGAATATGGAAAGATTGTTTTTGGTGGAAAAGACTGAAAGACAACACCAGGTAGAATACTCATACCCTGCCGGCCTGGCGCCGAACCGGCGACATAGTTTCGAATCTCGAAGATTTAGAGACACGTTGATCTTACAGCTCACGATTTTGGAAAAAAAGAAGGGGATATTTTTTGTTATGAGAGTAGGAGAATCGGAGTGATAGGTGCGATATTCATACACCTGCTCTTTAGCCTCCGGCTTTTCCGCATATGGTCGCGGACTCGGTTTGCTTTTTCTGCGCGTTCATAAAGTATGGATTGGAAAGTCTCAGCGCAGTCATGTGTAGTATAAACACTCATTTTGGAAACGCACATGCTGATGGTGAACATTGTTTTAGAAGAAAGAGAAGTCTGTCTTTTCTATCCAAGAGTGTACCGAGATGAGGTAGAGACCATGAATGCTTTCAAGATGTGATTTTTTGGTTAGAATATCCGTATTTTCCAGGAAGAGGATTCGAGGTGATTTAGTGCATTCCAGAAAGAAAAGCTTAGGGTAGTCTGTAGGCGTGAGAGCTAGAGGGTAGGGTATTTTTGTAGATTAGCTGCGGCACGATCCCGGCCACAGACATAAGCCGTAATCAAACGCGTTTTCAAGTGAAACGGCAGATTTAACCACAACAAGAGCAGAAGAGAACAGAAGAGAAACCATTGGTATGACAATGAAAGCTTTCGATCTTTCAGAAACTTCATTTATCGCTGTTCGTCATCTTTTGATAAGTAAGAAAATAGAAAATAGAGTATAGGAGTAAAGACCACACCATCCAGTGGATTTTATAGAGTGACTCCTTGCAACGACGGAGTCGCAGACATGGAACTAGTTCAGAGATAACAATACAGAAAAGAAAGAAGAGGGGGAGAGCTTCCCATCCAGACGTTTTCATAATCTTTGGATTCCAGGCACAGAACGAAGAGGCTAGAAGTAAAATGCAGAAGTAGAGGCTGCGATATTCAGGAATTTTTGATTCCGCCTACGAATCATCATTCTCAGCAAGAGAGTGAGTTTTCTATCAAAGAAGGAGCGTCATACCAGTGTTTGCCGGCTGATTTTTAGGTTTTTCAGAAACAAAATCTCATGTGATAAGTGTATGTAACTTTTGGAATCAAGAGGATAGAAAGTGAAGTAGAAGCAGGAGGTAGGAACTAAGATATCTGGAAGCGCAAATAACTAAGTATTCAGGCTCGCCCAACACAGGCATACATTCGGTATGGCGGATGTTTTTTTTTGGAAGGATGTTGGTAGGGCTTTGCACTAAGTGCGAAAAGGAAATAACGTAACTGTTGAGAAAGAATGACTCTCTCAGTCATGGCATGTAAGTGTGTCAATTGCTAACTATACAAAGCTCGGCTAATATAGAGCGGTGTGGGTCACGTGACTTAGCGTCCTCGTGACAGGTGACCGGAATATTCTCAACACTCCCCCATAAGCCGATCAGCTGTACCCACTACTTTGTATAGGTCTTGCAGTCAAAGCTTCTTCTCCCTTTATATGCTTCCACTGAACGCCTTGCATGCACTTTCCAACACTCCCCCAGAAGTGCCTTGTCAACAAGAATGAAACCTCCCTGTCACCCTATAGTGGCCGTTACGTTGCGAGTCCCTCAAGTAAAGTGAGGTATCGGCCGAGTGAAGAGTTGAGGAAAGAAGGTCGAGAAAGAAGGTCGAGAGAGAAGGTCGAGAAAGAAGGTCGAGAAAGAAGGTCGAGAAAGAAGGTCGAGAAAGAAGGTCGAGAGAATTTTCGCGTTTGAAAATCAAGGTAGAATCGATATCACCAACATACCGACTCTCCCTCGACTCCTACGTGAGAGTCAGCGCTCCCTCAGCTTGGTACTCCCAGTACTCTAGCTGTGTACGCTCTCCTCTGTCCCAGCGCTCCCCCAGCTTGGTACTCCCAGTACTCTAGCTGTGTACGCTCTCCTCTATCCTAGCGCTCCCCTAGCTTAGTACTCCCAGTACTCTAGCTATGTACGCTCTCCTCTCTTGTTGTCCCCGCTCCGTTCCTCCGCTCCTGCCTCCTTGTCTGTGTCCTATTCAGGGCTCCAGACCCTAACACCCTTATTCTCCCCCATCGTTATATAAGCCTTTGCTTCTTTGCGTTTATTTAACGAAATCCTTTGGAAAGAAGATAAAAATCGATCGAGAAATCGGGTGGGGGTAGGTGGGTAGCGTTCGAGAGAGTAAAAAAACTTCGAGCACCGTCAAACGGTAGGTTTTCGAGTTTAAGGAATTGAAAGTAGCTGTCGAACTGTAGCTACTAGTTTAAAAAGAAGGTCTCGAAAGGTTACTATCGATAGGCAGGCAATTCGAGTTGTTTTCGGAAGAATCGATGGTTACCGTCGGTAGGTAGGTATTCGAATCGTTGTCAAAAGGTTGGTTGAAAAGGGATAGAGCAACCATTGCTCTCTTCGACTCGCGCGTCGGAATTGGGTATAACTCGCCCAAGGTATCTTCGAGACGCTCCCAGCTTCTCCGGACGATAGTCCATTTTTCTTCGGACTTAATACCCTTCGCGGTAGCCAGGGCGACGGCCCAGTGTCTTCAGGACTTAATACCCTTCGCGGCAGCCAGGGCGACGACCCAGTGTCTTAGAATATAGAAGGCGACGACCTCCTGGGTTGTTCTGGCGTAGACACGCATATACCAGCTTGCTGCCCATATCGAAGAAACGACACTCCGGACACTCACAATGCACACGCAAGCGCGTAAGCCGGGCTCATAACCTGTTGAGAAAGAATGACTCTCTCAGTCATGGCATGTAAGTGTGTCAATTGCTAACTATACAAAGCTCGGCTAATATAGAGCGGTGTGGGTCACGTGACTTAGCGTCCTCGTGACAGGTGACCGGAATATTCTCAACAGTAACTAGGAATGCATTCTATTTGGTGATTGTTCTGATTGATTCTCTTGCGAAGGAGAACTATGGAAGAGCTAGATATAGGAGGTCTAGTCTGAGCGCTGCTCGCGTGACCGAAATCAGTGCGGCCGATCGCGTGGCTGAGATATCGTTGATATCTGTGATCCGACAAAGAAGGCGTTTTACCTTACCCGTGGAAGAAAGGAGAAAGGAACCTTTATCCCTATAAGTACCGATTCCAAGCTTTCAAAAGCAGAATATGAGGATGTCGTTTTCGTGTTCTTATAATTAGGAATATAGAGATTGAAGGAAGGAAACGAAGTCAAAACCGCGATATTAGTAGCTTGTGTACACTAGTCTTAGAATTTACGGTGCACATCATATTGTTTGACTTGCATTTTTTGTGTTTCGAGAATGAAAAAAACATTTTAGCCATCGACCCAGAAAAGGAGGGGAGTAACCGCTTGTAGTAGTTATTAGGTATACTCTGCACAGAATTTTGTTTTTCGGGTAGAAGAAAGATGTGCCATAGAAAAGGCGGAAGAAAAGAGGAGAACCATGCGAACGTCGCTAGCATTTTTGTAACTTCCAGGAACACCACCCACAGTCCGCAACAATCAATTAAGTGGGTCCTAGAAGGTTCAGATTGGATTGATTGATTACCGCTTTAAGCCTAGTAGTTACCTATAGGAGTTTAAGCCCTACCTAGATAGGTAAGTGGGTCTAGGAGAGTGACCGGATTGAATTGATTGTTGCGGAGTCTAACACCACCACACATCCTGTTCAAAGCTGATTGTTACAGAATCAGCCCGCCAGAATGTGAGCCACAGAGGTAAGTTTCGAAGTTCCAGAAAAGAGTTTATTATGGCTGTAAACATAAGAGGAAAAGAGGAGGAGGACCATACCTTGATTGCTATGGCTTTTTGGAGTCTCCCGGAGACTCCATGCCCAACCCAACATCCGCTCTTCACAACCAGTTTTCGAAACGGGTAAGTAGAAACTCAAGAAAAGAATTAAAAGACTTGTTGTCCAGCAGGTAGATTTTATACCCCCAACCTCGCCACTACATCCAACGATTGTCTAATACGTTTAACTCGCACACATAATGCAATCCCACATCGACTTTACAGATCCGCACACTCATAGATCGTTTTATAAGCATCTTTTAGAATCTCAGAAGACTTCCCCAAATCATTGGAAGTTCCTTAGAGAGTTTCTTTTTTGGGCACGCGGAGACATGATAATGCCCGTTCTGATTTTTAGTAGGTAGACTAGCCTGAGTAGCTGGTTTATCCCCTAAGTACATACACCCCCACTGTAACAACTTTTTAAATGTGTAGAAGATTTCTCTAGGCCATAGATAGTTTAGGACAAGTCTTTAGCAGCACGCGGAGACATGTAGACTATATTGCTGTTGATACGGCTAAGGTATCGGAATCACCTTCGTTGCAACGAGTTGAAATGATTGTGATTGTTCTTGTTGTTCTATGGAGGTGGAGGGAGGTCGGCAGTAAGGCAGCAGCTAGAGCTCGGACCACACGGCTTAGTCAGCCGTGTAATCCAAGCTCGTGCATGCAGCAACCAGCTGCCTTATCTACCGCAGGTTTGATTCCGAACAATTGCAGTATTAGAAAGCAGATATGCGTAAATAGTATCAGTATTCCCCTAACACACACATATTTCATTCATACATATTTTCAGAATGCGCAGAAGACTCTTCCGAGCCATTAACAGTGTGTGACTCGATTACAAGCACACACAGAGACATCCGAATCTGCTTGAACAGGTTTTGGAAAGATGAGTATTGCTAGTTTCTCTAGGTGATAAGGAGAAGACAAGAGGCGGAGGGGGAGTATTTATACACACGGAGATAGATCTTCGAGCTATATGCGTTATGGAAGTAGTTAATTTGGGAGAACAGCCGCGTATTATATAACCTAATTTGTTGGAAGGTCTATAGCACTAAGTGCGTAAAGGGAAATAACGATAACTAGGAATGCATTCTGTTCGGTGATGGTTCTTATTGATTCTCTACGAACATAGGTGCTACGAAGGTATACCTAAGCTCTGCGCAAGGTGGGCCGAAGTCGGGCCGAAGTGTCCAGCAGCCGACGTCTCTACCGATACTCACGATCCGACATAATTGGTGATTTAGATAGGAAGAGTGAAGGACACAGATATGGAGATGTTAGAGAGATTGGTAGAGGGGATAGAAGTGATAGCCCACAACAAAGGCACAACGATCACAATTATAGAGATTTTGTAGAATATTTTTTAGAAAAAAGGCAGACATGAGGTAGGTTCTCTTAGTAATTCTAAGGAAGCCAATAGAACTACAGGAGGCGAGCACATCGTAGATTTTGTCGAGTTCTATTTTCAAGTAGCAGGAAATCGTGGTGAAAGCCTATAACGCTAGAGCCACAGCCATGGCTTGTATATGTTCAGATTTCGCACGAAGAGAGCCACGTAAACTTGGAATGACATTTTAAGATGAAAAAAGAGCAGAAAGCAGACATCCTCCGGCGTAGATGGAGTTTCAAGAAAAGAGCGAAAGCGCATATATAATCCAAATGGGGACATCGTATATCTTTTCTCGCGGGAGAGTCAGACATTCAATTTCCAAATCCGCTTTTTGAGAAAAATGGAAAAGTTATGTAGAATAGAAAGAGAAGAGTCCCACACATCATCTAATTTCCTAGCTTTTTCTGTTTGCCAAGAAGACAGACATTAGACTTTAGGGTGTAGTTTTCAAGAAAAGTTGGAGATTTATATAAAAGAAGGAAGAGCAGTCCCACACACGTCGCAAGTAATGAAGTTTCTTATTTATAGGAAAGCCAGACATTTGGAGCAAACCATGTGCAAAGTTGGGAGTTCAAAAGATTGGGGAGGGGGATGTCATGTGAGGTGTGCAGAGGGGGGATGATGACACATGAGGAATGGCTTTTGGAAAGATTAACAGCTGACTGACTGACGTGTCCACATGATTATGAGCAAACGGAAACGCAAACGAAAACGTAAAGGCAGAACGAGCAATGCAGAACAATACGAAGACTAGAAAACGAGAAAAACAAAGAATAACGCCAATGATGCAACATCCATCTCCCATTTTCTTCAAAAGACCAAAAACCAATACCTGTCATTCACACAGCCATACCATCATGCTTCCACCTTCTCCCATCCCCTTCCACCTTCTTCCTTCCCCCCAATCCAAACAACACTACCCCTTCATATCCCCCTTCAAACCCCCCTCACCACCACCTCCCTCCGCAACCCTAAACCCAAAACTCATCGCAACCGCAAAAAACAAGCCCGCACAAAGCAGCGTCGGCCCCCACCGATCATGATACGTAACCGCCCTCCTCTCCTTGATCTTATTAACGCGCCAAAGGTACAAGCCAGCCGAATAACACAGCGCAATGCACGCGATGACGGTGAAAGCCCAGGCCGCGGCAAAAGCGAGGCTATCGCCAAAATTGAGTAAAGTGGCGGCGATGGAGCCGATGAGGATGGAGAATTCGAGCCAGGAGAGGAAGGTGCGCTCGGTTGCTAGTTGGACTTTTGGTTCGACGCGCACGGGGACGTGTATGCCTGTTGGTGGTGTTAGTTTTGGGGTTTGGGTTGGGGAATGTGTGGGGGTGGACTTACGCTTGCCCTTTGGTGCTTTGAATCGCTTTACTTCGCCTTGCTGCTTCCATGTTGGGACGCCGAGGGAGAAGCCGCCGTCGCCGACGTCAGTGGGTGTGGGCTTGGGGATGACTGCGACGACCGTGTTGAGGATGGTGGTACCTACGTTGGCGGCTGTGCGCTCAACCCACTTTCGTGCGTAACGAAGGCCTCCCTCTCGCTTTGCGGCTTCAAAGTCGTCTTCCTCATCATCGCTATCGGAATCGTAGATGGGGTAGTCGTTATCGGTCGTGCGGCGGCAGCGACACGTTCCTCGATGTCGAGCGTGTTGGATCGTGGCGTTAGTAAGAGTGCCATAGTCGCGCGTTCGATCATCTCATCTGTCATGACGTCCCGGGCTTCACGAGGCTCTCACGTCATCGTCTCGGTGCATACAGCGGCAGTTCTACAGCGTCATCGTCATCGTCGCTATCATCATCGAGGTTACCACTGGTGCTGATGTCGTTGCTTGCGCCGGGGCGCTCAATACCGAACTTGTGAGTGACAGGCTTGCGGATGTCTACATCCATCTGCGGGTACCAGTATGGGATCAGGTGGATGCGCTTGGGGTTAAGCGTGGCGGTACCGTGGATGTACTTGGAAAACTTGGGCACAGCCTCGACAAGATGAGACGAGGTCAGGTCACGGATCCACTGCGGTGGCTCTCCTCCAGCTTGTGTCTGAAGCTTGACCTCAAGAACAGCATAAGGGAAGAGTTCCTTGTCCTCTTTGGGTAGCTGCTTGAATGGCCAGTCTACACCAATGTCTGTGCGACGCCAGTTATCTCCAGAGCGCTTCTTGCCATCCAGGTTATCCTCGCGGGTCATGGTGAGCTCGGTATCGAGTGAGATACGGACGCGGGCATCCCCGGGAAGTTGGAAGGCGGTGCGGTGGTAGAAGGAACGAGTGACGGGTTCGAGTTTGCGGGTGAGGACGCGGTACTGAATCTCTCGTGCCAGCTGCTCGTCAGAAGCAATGTCCTTCTCCGGCCTCTTCTGTTCCCTGCGCTCCTTCTCAAAGATCTGCTCGGGCCTGAGCTCACCACGGAGGTATGCGTTGACATTCTTCTCCTTAAGCTTAAAGCGTGCCTTGACCGACTCCTCACCTGTCCAGTCCTCGCGATGTGTCTTGCGCTCGATAAAGATGGTGTCGCTTGACATGCCTCCATACCATCGCAGACGGATCGCCTCAGCTCCTTCGGTTTTCTTCAAACGGCCCTCGTATAGCTCCCATGTCTCGGTGTTGTCAAAGTAGATGGATGTAATGGCAGAGTCCTCCTCGTTGAATTCCTTGTTAGGGTTGAAGACGAGCACAGGCAAGTGCTTCAAGACAATGAGCTTCAACTCAAGGATGTTATCCGGATGTACCCAATATTTTGTGGTTTGGCGCACAAAGTTCTGTTGCTTTCCTCCTGCCGATGCATCTCCTTTGACCGGGTTACCGCGCGTGCGAACGATATCGTAGAGTCGCGAGAGCTTCACTACGTACGAGTCGTAGTTGTCCTGGAAGAAGGGCTTGCGCTTGAGACGGGCGGCGAAGACGGGCTTGAGGTACCAGCTTGTGTTTTTCTGCCATGTGTTAGCCTAGTCAACTATCAGCAAGCATTGATACGCACGTCATGCTTCTTGATAATCTTCTGGAAGCCCGTGTAGTTTAGCTGCGTAAACTTTGCCAGGTCGTGGACATCGGCGATGATGTCGCTGAGATCCTCTTCGAGCAGATCAAAGTCCTCCTCGAAACTCTCGGCCTGTTCGGGCGCCTGCTGGGAGCGCGCGACGGCATCGTTAACCTCCTTCTCCGAGGCTGCTATGCGACGGATGATTTCCTCGGCCTTGACGCGCTGGAACGTGTAGACCTTCTCGAGCTCCTTCTCCAACTGCTCGACGAAACTCTGCTCCGACTTCTCGTCCCAGATGTGGTGGACGCGCAGGGAGTTCTTAAGGCCCTCATAATCGATGTAGTAAAAGATCCACTCCTTGTTGAGCGACTGCTTGAGCTGCTGTCCGAATCTGCGGACGCGCATTAGTTCCCGTTGACATCATCCGCTGTGCGACGATTGGAGGATGCGCATGCGGCTGCATCTTTGTCGATTTTTTACGTACCTCATGCTGGCGATGGTGTGGGCTATGCAATCGCAAACGCCAACGTGATCGGAAAAAGAGAGAGGTGTTGAGAAGGTGAAACTACAGTAGAAGCTTCACAGCAGGGCCCAAGCAGAAGAAAGACCGGACCCAAGCGCAAGTGCAAGCATGAAGCTCCCCGCTGCCTGCATGTGCAACTGAGTGGACCCGGCCCTTCCTAGGCCCGTGAACACGCTTAAGAGATGGGTCCGCCGTCGCGCCCAGCCATACAGAAGGCCCGAGACTCCCCACGTGTAGAAACATCAGTTCCTACGCTGCAAGAACCTGCAAGAGAACGAGAAAAGCTTTACTCAGTCCCTGTTATGCTGTCCATTGGCGAATCGGACGTTTGATGACGCTGGAGTGTTAACCCCGACGTTGCCGATGCGCCTCATATGACGGCAGACTGTATATCTGCCGAATCGTTGCACGTCTTGTTTACATCAACACATCACTCCTACACCAAGGATAACCCCGATACGATAACACCGGCGACTGGCATGGCAAAGGATCATCCGTGTTGCATCTCATTTGCCCCATTTCACTTTATGGAGCTGACATGGCATAGGCAAGGGTACCTAGTATGGACTAATTAGGATATACGGTTCGATTATCATATCACACAGTCACCGGCGTTGAGGCCGTATCTAGGGAAGTCTAGGGAGAATCAAGGAGATGAGAAATAAAACCAACTCCATCCAGCGCCGCGCTCTGAGCGGTGCTCGTGGGGTATCTCATAAATGCGTACAAAAAAAACGTATTTCCGGCCTAAGCATGTGGTCACTGCTGGCCCAGCTGAGTGGACTACAACTCGTGGACGCAAGGAGGGTGAGACACCATCCATCATCTAGAAGACCCCAAAATAGAAACCGGGCCAGGCCTCCCACTGCCTCTACGCATTCGGAGCGTGTAGTGCTTCGTTTGGAAATGTCGTTGCGGGGCTGACATGTTGGCTAGATTCAGGACTGTTGTTCTTGCTCGACTCGGGAGAGGGTGTATGTAACCGTGAGACGATGTAGAGGTCTTCGTAGCTGCCAAGGATCATGTGCTTCCACCTTGCCATCGTGGGCAGTCCGACGTTGGCGACCGAGGCTTTGAGCGTGGGCTTCTCGCCGTACATTTCGCGTTCGGCAGGTGACAGCAAGTCCTCGTTCAAGATGTCAAGTCTGCTGTTGCCACGCGGTATCGGCTTCCTTGCAACGCGTACGAAGGCTAGGTTAGGGTCTGTGGGCGGCTTTAGCGCTGGATACACGGTAACGTCAGGCCTACGTACCTTGGTCGAGCTCCGCACAAAGATCGCGCTCGGTCTTGATTTCCAGTCCTTTTGCGCCTGAACGGTACCGGTAGACGAGAATCGACTTTTTGCTGTCCGCGTTAAGACTGAACAGGCTGCTTGCCTTGCTAGACGACGTTCCATGCGAGGACACGGATTTGAACGTCATGCTTTCTTCCATTTGCACGACAGACGAAGAAGAGATGTGAGGCTGAGACGATAGAATGGGCGAGAACGAGGCTGCTGCGATGGGCGGCAAAAGTTGGCTATCGACGGTTGCTTGTGTCTTGGTCGCAAAGGGCGTTATTGTTTGTAGGCGATTATATGGCGGATTGTGGTTTGTATAGGCGCAGAGGCTGGGCGGGTCGCGTGAGTAGTAACGGTGCGAGTGTGGCAGGTGGAGTGAGGTCTAGGTCATCAAAGAGCGTCGACCCTTCCACCATCGTCACACTGGGCGGCTGCGCCTTCCTGGGTGGCCTGACGTAGCCGTGGCTGAAGTGGCTGTGACCCGTCGTGATGTGATTGGTCAACGGCTTTTTAGCGATGCTTCGTGTTTCAACATCAGCCAAAACGCCTTCTCTTTCGTCACCGGCCATCACAAGAGACATTTCCATTAATTCAAGTATACACGGTGTATTTTCTAGAGTGTGTTACACCTTCTCTTGTTCCCCAGATGGACTTGAATAAAGTAAACGGTAGGAACCATGCGTCACCTGCCAGTCTGCCCCCAGAACGCCATCCAGGTGACGCTCTCGGACATGCCTCGGCTTGGTACTGACCAGCAAGAAGTTGCGCTTGTTGAGCAGGCAGGAGCAAAAGGTCACAAGGAGGCGTCAGTCCGTCTGGAAAATCAAACTTCTCCGGTTTTGCTTTTTTGTGGGTAGAAGACTGCAGTTGAGGAGGCAAGCCAGACTTTCTGTTCCGGGTTTGACTCAGTGCAGGCAGCGAAGCGAACGAGTTTGCCTACAAGCTGGGGCTGAGTCAAACTGTCTGTTACTGACCAAAGATGACTCTCGCTTGCTCTTTCACTACCAACAAGTCGGGCAGGATTGCGGAAGGCGGGCTGATCTCATCACCCTATTCTCCGCGTCACACAAACTCGATCATCCCCTGGCATTTCTGAACTTCGATGCAGAAGTGACCGCAATCGAGAGACAAGCCTCACGACTATATTGGACCCCCGAGGCTTAGCAGGGGCTCCGCCGCCCACTCTGCTACCTAATTCGTCAAGACGCCGGGACGCTTTTGCTAGCGGTAGCATGAAGCCACTCCCGCGGTTCGCCCACCCATCCACCTGCAGTTGTCGCGCCTCTAGCAACAAGTCGCGCAACTTGTCATGAGGCTCTCTGCAGCCTTATATGCACTGCGCTCTTCCCGTCGCCGCTTCCTCTTTGCCTGATATACTCTTTGCTCTTCAATCCGCCTCCTGACTTCTCCAACTTTTTCCCACCACAAACCCGCGCGAGGCTGCATTCCCCAAGCGCAAACGGTAGACACAAAGCACGCGCCGACCCTATGTTGCGACCACCCTCGGAGCCGGCATCAAGGCCGATAAGTATAGAAACGATTCGCACCAGCGCGACTCAGCACGATAAAACAGGGGAAACCTGGAAGATGGGCGTTACCAAGGAGAATTGCTGGGATGATTTGATACTTACGCTAGGTACGTCATTCTAGCCCCTGTTCTGATTGAGCATCCTCGGTATGCGATTCTCTAGTTTGAGAATACGTATTACCGCGATAGGCTGCATCTCATAATGCGAGTTGCGTGTATACACCAGAAACATGCAGGGTAGATACGGATATGCTAACCAGTACGGTAGATGGCGGTGGCATACGTGGTTACTCGAGTCTCCTCATCATTCAACGCCTTATGCACGAGATTGCCGAATGCGAACGCCGATTGCAACGAGATGAAGGCCCGGTGCCCGGAAGCCGACGGCGCGAATTCAATGAAGACGAGTTACTTCCGTGCCACTACTTCGATTTCATGTATGGTACAAGTACAGGCGGCCTCATATCCGTCATGTTGGCACGATTACGTATGAGTGTACCGCAGTGCCTGGAAATCTACAGAAAAGTAGGACATGAGTTGTTTGGACAGAGAAGGAATATGTTGCCGCTCGCCACCAAGTACCACCACAGGCCGTTGGAGAAGGCTGTGCAAGATATTGTGAGGAAGTATTGTAAGGAACATGAGAGCTGTACTGGAGATGATTGGCACCCTTGGGATCCGGAAGGCGAGACGTCCGCGCATTCCATCGCTGTGAGCTCCGCTGCGACATGGACGAATGGGACTAAGCCGGTAGAACGCATATGTCAATCGTAAGTTGTCTCATGCCCGTTAGAGTTGTTCACGCCCTCGATGATTGCATCGCTCTGCTGGACGTATACGTCGACCGTATTGTCAGTCTACATGGCCGAAACATGGTCGTGTATACGCCAGGGCTGTTATCTTCAATGCGGCGTGATTTGACTACCCACGCTACCCCCAAGGCGTCTGTTCAGAGCTAACCTTCACCAGAATCTGCCTCACCGCAACTCACAACGGTCGGATAGATGAAGCCCATCTCCTCCGCTCATATGACCACCAATACGATCCCGATATTGCCCCACCGTGGGTGACGTCCTATAATCCTGGTGCAGACAAGTTGAAGATATGGCAGGTGACGCGTGCAACCTCAGCTGCGCCGTTTTATTTTGAAATGCTCACTGCCGACTTGGGTACGGGACGGAAAATGAGTTTTAAAGATGGAGGAATCCGGGAGAACAACCCTTCATATGCTGCTTATAGTGAGCATGCGTCCTTGAAAGGGGATGATTGCGAACCAGGACTGTTGCTTTCTATTGGAACTGGACGACCAGACACCACCAACGACGGTTTCGCTGCTGTTTGGCCTGGGCCTCTTGGCAAGGTCAGAGCGCTTCAGAAATGGAGTGAGAAGCTGGCTGTGTTCAAGAACGTTCTGATCAAATATACTGAAGGTGAAGACCGCCACAAAATGATGCGGACGATAGCCAAAGGAGAGCATCGATGGTATAAGCGTCTCAACGTGGATAGTGGGCTACAGAATCTACCACTTGACCATTGGGAAAAGGGGACATGGACAAACCCTCAGACCAAGGAGACCAAGGACGTCGCTGGTGGGAAGACACTTTCGAAGATGGAGGCAGCAACCATGGAGTATCTTGAGCGCGATACAACTACGAGTCCAGGCAACTTGGCCGAATACCAACCCCCCAAGATCGTTCTTCGTCAGGTTGCTGAAAGACTAGTACGACACAGGAGGCTTAGAGAGGCATCAAAGGCAGATGACCTAAAGAGGTGGCAGACACACATGGGCCAATGGCTTACTGGAGAGTTGAAGCCAGAGGATACAAGGCGTGAGCCACCTAAGCCGGAAGCTCGGAAAGGGTCACGTGCATTTCTATCCGGCTCTATTCCAGGCTCGCGGCCCTTGACGCCCAGTGGCAAACGATCAAGTGTTTCAAAATGAGACTTGGGTTACTACACCGCTCTCACGTCGGCCCAACGGTATACACGACACCCATCTGGATGACGACGACCACGGCACTTGCAAACGTAGACTACTACGAACACCATCGTCGCTCAACACGCATGGTATCTATTCCTGGATGGGATTTTTTAGCCTACCCATGTGGCTTTCCAACGTTCCTGCAGTGTATTACGCAAAGCAGCATCACGCGCCTCTTAGCAGACCCTTTGAAGAATCTGCGTCGCGTCTGGCGTTCATTTCTAGCGTTTTCCTTACATCATACATAGCATAGCGAGCGCGCGAGATACCATTTTTGCTGTTTTTTCACTTTGTGGTAAATTCAACTATTTTTCAAGCTCGACGCGTCAGTTGCGCTGTTTGCATCTTGCTCTTGCATAACTTGGTTCTATCCTGAAACGCATCGGTCTTGTGTGCGGCGGAAAATCTTAGAGGTCATTCGGAAGCTTGGCATCTTTTGCTGGATCTCTCGGCATTTTCGTGTCAGTCTGTCGATCGCTCGTACTCCACCAAGGCCCTTCCTCTGCTTAGCTGCGCCGCTGGGACGCGCGTAGCCAGGTCCCAGGAACAACTTATCCATGTTTACTTTGTGGTAATTCGAATTCTCTTCTCGCCAAGCCGCTCTGGAATTGCTGCGATGCGTAAAATGATTTACCACCCTTGAGGCTGTGGGCCTTGGCTAAGATTTACATGGCTCCGCAGTCGCGTCGCCCAAGATCAAGCTCTGCAATCTTACTGGCGAAGTCGGCTTGGAAGAGTTACGTTGCTCATGGGGCTTGACACATACCCACAACGCAACGTCCCGGTGGTGACTTGTGGCGCCTTGGGACACACTCGACCACTTGTCAGCCAGTACGATGCCTGTAAAGCCGCAGAGGCATACGCCACCCCAGGAACTGGACCAAGATTTCCCCATGGCACAGTGACGCAGAACCATGGTTACCGACAACGGCCCGATACGCGTGGGGCGCACGAGGGCCACTGCCAAGCCGACTACGCCTTCATCACCCACGATGGCAGCTTGTTTGCATAGGATTGGGAAAAAGATTGTCAAGCATGGCTGTGAGAGATGACGAAGGGCACTTGGGCGTTGTATACATGATGAAGATATATAATTGAGGTGCCCATTGCTCCAAAAAATAATCACAACACAGCAACAACAACATCATCACAACAGCCAACAGTTCCAAACACTCTTCAGTCAATCGTTGATACTTTCACAAACTCTCACTCTCAAACTTCAATATGCGCTTCCAATCCATCGCCCTCGCTTTTGCTCTCACCAGCGCCGTCATCGCTCTTCCCGACCGCGACGACCGTGACGACCGTGACGACCGCGATGACATCAGGGACGGCGACCGCAACAACAACGGTGTTCCCGATGTTGGCGACGTCGACTACGACGATATTCCCCTGGCATGCCGCGATACTTGCAACCCTGTCGTTATCCTAACGCATAACTGCGACAACAACACTCGTACGTTTCCCTCATCACCATGCATGTAAAAGATTCCAGACTAACAATAGCAGGTGGAAACGACAACGACGCTGCTGAACTTAGCTGCATCTGCAACGACCAGAACGCCGCCACTGCTGTTCCCGCTTGTGCAGCTTGCATTAACTCGAATGGAGGATTCCTTGGTCGCAAAGGTATGTTTCTCTTTCCCTTTCCCAGTCTATCCACTATAGTTTTCTAACAAAACACAGACGACGTCAACGAAATCATCCGCGCCTGCAACTTCTCCGTGCCCACACCCAGTGGAGCCAGGCCCAACGGCGCCCCTGCTCCCACCGGCGCAGGCGGTCAAGGCGGCCAGGGTGGTGGTCAAGGCGGCCAGAACGGCGGCGGAAACGGTCAGGGTGGCCAGGGTGGAGGTAACGGCGGCCAGGGCCAGGGTGGCCAGGGTGGTGGTCAAGGCGGTCAGAACGGAAACGGCCAGAACTTTGGCGCTGGAGCCGTGCAGAACACTGGGCGACCAAACGCTGCTTCTGGAAACAAGATCGCTGGGTCTATGCTTGTGGGCGTTGTTGGCATTGCTGGGTTGGCGTTTTTCTTGTAGATGACTGGAGTTTACAAGAGCATGGGGGTATATGTCAGACTGGCAAGATTTGGGGGGGTCGGGCTTTAATGAGGTGTTTGGGATGGTTGTAATATTCTGGGGATGGGGTCGTCTCACGGTTATGATATCAAGGCTTTCATGTGGAGTTTTTGATTTTTGGGTTGCATAGGCAGACAGGCAGCTAATTGCATTTTTATACCCTGATATCTGATCTTTTGCATTTGATCCATGTTCTCTGGCAAACACATTACTAATCTTCACCACCACCCCCTCCATCCCCTTCTCACACACCCCACCCATCACAAAAGCCCAAACAACTTCCCCCCAACAGCATCCCACTCATCATCCCATCGATGCCCACTCTCCTCCAACGCCCCCCTCTTCAACGTCTCCCTCAACCTCGTATCCCTATCAAAAAACGCCTCCAACTGCAACGCCAGCTCCTCCTCGCTCTGGAACCCCAACCCATTAACCCCCTGCTTCACCAACTCAGGCCACGCCTCAAACTTGCCCCAACCCACAACAGGTAAGCCCGCACCAAACATATCAACGACTTTCATAGGGAGGTCAACGCCAGAAGATGACGTGTGTAGCGAGACACCCAGGTCCGCTGCAGCGAGGAGAAGAGCGTAGTCTGAATGTGATAGCCACGCCGTTTTAATAACAACGTTTAGGAGTTTGTTCTCTTGGTTTAGCTGCTTGATCTGTTCGAGGTAGTACTCTTTCTGCGGCCCTTTTCCCGTGATAATGGCGAGGAGTTTGGGGAGATGGGTTTTGGACGTGCATTGTGCGGAGTAAGCGACGAGGGCGGAGAGGAGGAGGGAGAAGTCTTCGTCGGCGGTCCACGAGGTGGCGCTGACGACGAGTTTCCAGGGGGATTGCGAAGTAGGCGAGAGGTCGGCGGCGTGTTGGGCTGTCTCTGGTAATCGGGCGAGGAAGTTTGAGCGTTCCTCGGGAGTGATGGGCTGGAAGATGGAGGCCGGGCGGTCGTGGAGGGCCGAGGCTGTGACGCCGTAGGAGGCTTTGAGGACGCGGGCCATAGCGTTTGTTACGGTGATGTGGTGGGTTGCGGCTTTTGCGAAGAGCTTTTCGTATTTTTCTGATATCTGGACGAGGGGGTGGGTGGGGCTGAGTTTCATGGCGAGGATCGTGTAGCCAAAGTTGTGCCAGTCAATTACGAGGTCAGTGCGGCGGAGGAAGCATACCAGGCTGGCTACAGCGAGTGTTGGTATTGAAGGTGGGTTCTGTACGAGAGTCCATCTCGCTGGCTGAGAGCGGTAGCCCAGTGCGCGGTATAGCGACCATACCTGCCAGAGGACTTTGAGCGGTGCTAGAAAGGGGAAGAGAAGTTTGCTGCTTGAACGTAGGAAACCCGGTGCCGGTGAAAGTGGGATGATGTCAATCAATGGATTCGAGACAATTTCCGGAAGTATCTCAGACTCTGTACTTCGTATTAGCCGTGTGCATAAACGCCAAGAGGATGCTATTCACCTTGATAGCCGATGAGAAACACTCTACCGCCGTGTTTGGCGATGCTCAAAGCATGATACTGCATGCGGGGTGAACGGCCAATGTCTCCCAACACCACAACTTGCACAGACCGTCCCTGCTTCCAGTGAACCGGATCCTTCCCATCTCTTGTCTTCATAGGTATCTCCTTTCCATCCGCGCCCACAAACCTAAGCGGCTTATCCTTGTACGGATCATATTGCCTGGGTAACGTGACCAGCAAAAGCGTAAACAGCGTTGACAAGACTACACCAACACCGAGAAGCACAGAAAAGACACTAGCGTACTTTTCGGGGGTGTCGTCGTCGAACATTATGGTGTTTTGTTAGTACCGTCCAATTGCGAGACGGGTGCGGGAAAGGGTTTCGGCGTCGTGCGTCAGTGCCAAGGATTGCGGAGATGGAACCGGGGGCGTGGCCGAAAGGGGAAGTCGGCTAAGATAGTCATGTCCATCTGTAAGACCCCTGAAAGTTGATACGTGATAATGCTAGCTAAGGGCCCCAAGCTGCTATCAGATGGCGGCGGCGTAGTAGCCTCAATGCAGTGACCTCGCGCCTTGACACCCCGCCGGCTTGAATCTACGGCTACGCCATACTTCCGCCGAGACCTTGTATAGCAAAAGCACTTTTTGCACCCGTTCTGTCCCCTCAACCATTTGCGGCCCCACACCGCCGACTTGTTCAAGACCAGTGTCGCGACGCACCTGAAGGTTGTACGACGACATGGCGTCGACGTATGCCCTGCCCATCGTTACCACGGCGCACGCACACAGTCATGCGCGTTCCATATCACAATACACGCCCGAAGCGTCTTCGTATGCAAACGGTGCATTAAACGCTTCCACGCCCGAGAAGAAACACGGTCACCGACATGCCCGGTCCGAAATGAATGGAAACGGTCATTCGCATGGCGCGGTATCCTCGCCTTATGCCAACAACAACACAAACGCGCACGAGCACACTCACGGTCTCGAACGATCGACATCATCTGATTCGGCGTATACGTTGAAGCCGTTCTTGAACGCGAGATCGAAGAAGACGCCGGTTGTTGACAAATATGGCTTCTCGCCGGTATCGCCAATACAAGAGTCGCCGGCTCAGACGCCCCACGCGCTTTCGGCCGCGACCTCGTAAGGACAATTGTGCGCTATTCTGGCAATCGCTAATATGACGTATAGATCATGGCTGGAACTACCCGAAGCCCTGACCGCATTCCTCATTCCCTTGCCGTACCTCTTCGCCTCAATAGCATATCCAGCCGGCGTCAGGCGGATGCCCAAGGTGCCAACAACGCTGTCAGAAGCCGTGGCGGGGGCAGCGCCCGCATTGGAGACGAACAAGACACTTGGCGATTCTCCGCTATTACACTCGCTCGTTCTTTCCTCTGCGACGCTGTTGTTAGTCGGTATAATAGCAAAGGTCAATTCCACTTTGCAGCCACTAGACAGGCGGAAGGAGGAAAAGTCAAATCGAGCCAATGCGCCCATGCGCATGGCGAGCAATGTAGCCGGCGTGCTACTGCCATTCTATGCTACCCTACAGCTGGGAGGGGCAAAGACAGCGCTGCTCCTGTTGGTTGCACTAGGCGCAGGAATTGGAGCCATGGACCAGAGGCCGGGCAAAAACACACCTTGGGACGATATGCGGCGGACGTTCAGGACCCGGAAAACGACATGCGGCGCACTCTTTTTGGCTATGGTCGCTGATATCGCGACTTCGGGCAATCTAGCAGGAAGTCTAGTTGGATATGCGGCGCTTCTGACTACGATGCTCTTAGCCCCGCCCCCGCTTCCTACAGCTCGCTGGTCTATCATGACCGGTACGCAGAGCCAGGGCTCATACATGGGTGGAGTGCCTTCCCGCGCTTCTCTGCCAAAACCATCCTCGCCCCTCACCAACACTTCCGAGAACCAATTGCTTACAATTGCGTCTGGTCTCGTTCTAACCGTCACAACATTTTTGTATTCGCTTGTTGCATCCTCTCCTTTGTCATTTTCCCACCATACTCTTAGCTTTTCCAGCTTGTCAATTGCATCCGCCGTGGCACTTGTATACTTTTCCCTTCCAACATCGTTACGGAGTCAGAAACAAGTGGGGTTGAAGTTGAGCGGCATCTTCATTTTCGCATTTAGCTTTTGGGAGCATTATTCCGCGGGGCACATCAGCATTGCATTTCCTTGGGTGTGTGCATTGTTGGTTGGAGCTGTTGCTTTCGATACGCGGTCACCCGTACCTCATTCGCATGGTCATGGACATGCCGGACATAAGCATTCGCATGGTCATGACGATCACCATCTTCATGGAAACCATTCGAGGATCTCGGCTTTTCTCATTGCGCGCGCGACTCCCGGCTCGATTGTACATAGCGTGTTGATTGAGAGGGATTCGCGACGCATTGCATACTTTGGCGTGTAGGTCTTCGTTTGTCTTTGAGAGTGTGGAGAACCTGCTGACTCGGATAGACTTAACTTGGGATTCATGATGGTCCAATTCTTCTACGGCTTTGTTAGTGGGTCGTTGGGGTTGCTCACAGACAGTATTCACATGCTTTTCGACTGCGCTGGTCTCGCAGTGGGTCTTGCAGCTGCAGTCATGAGCAAATGGCGCCCAAACGCTCGCTTCCCGTACGGGTATGGAAAGATCGATACGCTGTCGGGTTTTGCAAACGGCGTGTTTCTCTTGTAAGTCGCATCCAGTTTCCAGTGAAGCGCAAGCTAACATTAGTCAGACTTGTTAGTGTGGAAATCATCTTTGATGCCTTTGAGCGCCTCTGGGAAGGCCACGAGATCCATCGTCTTAACGAACTCTTGATTGTCAGCGTACTTGGCTTCCTCGTCAATATTGTCGGTCTCACTGCTTTTGGCCATGCTCACCATGGACACGGACATGACCACGGACACGAAGGCCATGATCATGGGCATTCTCACGACAATGAGAATATGCAGGGTATCTTCCTTCATATCCTCGCCGATGCGCTTGGCTCCGTGGCCGTCATCGTCTCCACCCTCCTCACGAAATACTATGGCTGGTATGGATGGGATCCTATCGCTTCATGCATCATCGCCATTCTCATCTTTCTCTCAGCCATCCCACTCGTCAAGTCAAGTGGAGCCAGGCTCATGCTCAGTCTACCCAACGATGTAGAGTACGGCATCCGTAATGCTTTGGGTGAACTGGGCACCCTACGAGGTGTCATCGGTTATGCCGTACCGAAATTCTGGCTCGAAGACGAAGGTGCCGCACACGCCGAAGCTCACGCAAAAGAGCATGATTGCGGAGGAAGCGGACACGATCACCACGATCACGCACACGAGCATCACGACCATGATCACTCGCACGATCACGACCATAGCCACAGCCACAGTCATAGCCACGACCATGGCCATGACCACGGACATTCACATTCCCACTCTCACGACCACTCACACTCACATTCCCATGACCATGGCCACTCCCACTCACACGATCATGCCCACGATCACGCACACTCGCACGACCATCCCCCAAAACAGCGTCGCATCCTCGGCGTCATCCACATCATCGCCTCCCGCGCCGCAGATGTAGAAGACGTCCGCGAGCGCTCGCAGCAGTTCCTCAAGGACCGCGGTATGGATGTCGTCGTACATGTGGAGAAGGAAGGTGAAGGGCGGTGTTGGTGTGGGGGCGCAGGGAGTGAGTATAAGATGAACTAAGGGATTCGTATTGAAGAAGGGACGAGGGTAGGATAAGGGGGGCTGGGTTGTGCAGTATATGTACAGTAGGATAAGTCACATGGGAAGTATTTATGTATGTATATTTTGAATGTTATGTGTGGATATTATTTTCAAAACGTGGAGCGGGGAGGCGCATGTGTGATGTCGCAGTGTCCGTTTGTACATTGACAGCTGACGGCCAGCTCGGAGTCACAGGTCACGGGACTCACGGGCTTGGCGGCAGATGGAGAGGTATATAAACCCCCCCTCTGCCTCCCTTCCTACCTTCCTTTCTCATCCATAAAATGCACTTTTCTTCCTCTTGTTTCTAAAAATGACAGAACAAGACCTGCATGGAGTCTATCCCGTTCTTTGCCTCTCCTGAAAGTTCTAAAATTTCTAAAACTGTCACGCCATCGTATAATGGGGTGCCGTGGGTTTTGTGCCGTCTTTTTATTTAATTAGAAAGCATAATGAAGATCGGCATGGAGTTGTTGGCTCTTCTTCCTAAAAATTTGTAAATGTCGGCATACACACGGTGTGTCGCCTAATAAGGCCCAATGTACCGCCTCGATCCTACTTCGGCCCAACTCGGACCCAACGCTATGTATACCTTCGTAGCCCCCACATTCGTAGAATCATCATACACCAGAATACCAATACACAAGATTACCTTAGCTACTGTTATTCACCGTACGATCGTACAAGGCCTTCCAACAGTAAATATGAAAATCTAAAAAACCCTTTGCTACAGCTATATGGGCTGCGTGTCGCGGTGTTTGCCTGGACCAAAAATATCGGAAAGGTCAAATGTGGCATTTCCCGTCTTCTTCTACTTTTTACATAAAATTCTAAAAATGACGGTACCGTCGGTAATGGGCGGTGGGTTGTGGTGTGGTGTTTGTCTGGACTAAAAAATTACTGTGCCACGAAGACATGTGATGGTTCTCGTCTTTTTCCGAGTTTTACTTAAAAATTTCCGCAAGCACGCCATGGGAGGTGTTTGTGTGCGCTCTCTGCCTGAAAAACAAGACCTAGACGCAAGGGATGTGGTTCGTCGTCTTCCTCCTCTTTCTGCTTCTTCTTCTTCTTCTCCTCCTTCCAAAATTATACATCATACGAATGGATGGGCTCTGTCCCGACGACTTGTCTAAAATAAAAAGCGCAGTCGAGCTTTGTTTATGGCTGGTTTTTGCTGCCCTGCCTGGTTTCTAAAATTCCGGAATCTTGGAAATTTGACAACAAGATTTTATGGACTTTGTTCTGGTGGTCTGTTTGTCTGGACTAAAACTGAAATGACAACTCTCCATGTTGTTATCCGTCCTTCTCTCTTCCTCACTTTTTTCCTCTTTCTCATTAACAAGTGATAACACCGTACATGGAGGTTGTTGTCTGTTCTCCTTGCGTTTAAACAACTCGCAACATATCCCAACTATGTCTCCTTCCCTCCTTCTCCCCCCTACTTCCTCCTTTTTACGAAAACATTGAAAACAGTGACACCATGGTCGTGTTGCCTCCACCTTTCTGAATTGAAATTTAAATGGCGCTGTCGGAACATGCGCGTACAGCCAGCCCGGCGAGTTTTTCCGGGCCGGAAGCTTGGACCACTAGTTAGACCAAGCTTCCCGCTTAGCTCGCAACCGTACATATGGAGATCTCTCCATCCAGCTCTTGCTCACTACTAATCAAATACTATACACTTTGTTCGTTGCAACGACTGCTAGTATTCGACACCTTTGCCGTGTCAACAGCCACATGGCATAGAAAAATCCATGATTTTAGTTTCGAAAAAAGAGAAAGGAAGCACCCTCCATGCATAAATAGCCCATAGCTTTTATAAGAAAAGATAAAGAACAAGAGCCATATAGCACAGTGCTTTCTGTATTTTCAGTCCCACAAAAAGGAGAAAGACGGTCACCATCGCATGAAAGAAAGGCCTTTTTGAGAGAAGAGGAAGGGGAAAAACCATAAACAGATCGCGGACCTCGTTTTTAGTGTAGAAAGAGAAGAAGACGACAACCTCCATACATCATCGCGTTTGAACTTTCTAGAAAAGAGGAAAGGAGCAGACCCACATAACTATATTGGTCAAAGGTTTTTATTTCCAGAAAAGGAAAACAGAAGGAGTGTTGGTAGATCTATAGCACAAGTACTGAAAGGAAATAACGATAACTAGGAATGCATTCTGTTCGGTGATGGTTCTCCTTGTTACTACATGAGGGTGCTACAGAGTTGTATCTGATCTGAGACGAGTAGAGCCGAAGTAGGATCGAGTCGGCTGTTTGGGCATCGTTGAGCAGCTGACGCACCTACCGATACTCACGATCCGACAAGAAGACCTCCATTATAAATCTTATTCTGGTGTTTCAAGTAAGAAGAGGAGAAGGAGGAGGAACAGCCATAAATGGATGACGTTGCGATTTCGGATTAAAAAAGAGAGACGGGCAACACTTCCATAACGTGACTGCTTGTATGCTTTTGGTAAAGAGAGAAGAAGGGGGAGGAACAGCCATCTGAGGCGACCATATGTGTTTCTAGTATAGAAAAGAGAGACACGCAGCACTTCCATGAGCTGGATGCTGAGAATTTTTAGTAAAAAGAGGAGAGGCGGAGGAACAGCCATTTTCATGATGTCTCTGCTATTTTAGAAAAGGCAGGACACGCAACACTTCCATAAAGTGCCTGCTTATGTGTTTTTATTCAGGAGAGGAGAAGAAGAGAGAGCCACATCATTGTGCGCCTGTTGACACGGCAAAGGTGTCGAATACTAGCAGTCGTTGCAACGAACAAAGTGTATAGTATTTGATTAGTAGTGAGCAAGAGCTGGATGGAGAGATCTCCATATGTACGGTTGCGAGCTAAGCGGGAAGCTTGGTCTAACTAGTGGTCCAAGCTTCCGGCCCGGAAAAACTCGCCGGGCTGGCTGTACGCGCATGTTCCGACACTGGCTTTTCTTCTTTTTGTGACGGCGTACAGTCAGCTCCCAAGTACCCCGAATCTGCTACAATATCCTGCTCCTAGAAAAGTATCTAGTTTCCTATTCCGGCTAACGCAAATACATGCAACCCATTCATCCCTTGTGTGTGTGTGCATGTGTGTCCGTCTCAGTTCTCACCACAATCAATCGTGGGCTCGGTGCCATCGCTCGTAGGCTCGGTGCCTGTCTTGTTTGTAGGCTCGGTGCCTGTCTTGTCTGTAGGCTCGGTGCCTGTCTTGTTCGTAGGCTTGGTGCCTGGCTTGTTCGTAGGCTCGATGCCTGTGGTGTCGCGATTCACCCATCCCTGTACACGAAGTTCGAGCTCGTTGGTGTCAATGAGATGCTCTAAAGCAGAGTTGCTCGCTGCCTTTGTCATCGCATCTGCTGGGTTGTCTCTGCCGTCAATCCAGCGGATATCCATGAGATCGTTGCGCTCGTATGCCTCGCGCAATGCCATGATGTCTATCATGAGACGTTTCTCCTTAGTAGTGCCGAGTTTGACGAGACAGTCGTACAAGGATCGTGAATCCGTGCATGCGACAATAGAGACCTTAGGGAAAGACAGTCGGTCCATAATCATGTCAATCGTGGTGCCGATGGCCAGTGCAATGTCAACGCCATGTGCCATTGCATAGATCTCCGATGCTAGAACGCTCCTTGTGACGCGTTTGCATTTAGTGGAGGACCAGTGAATAATGTTGCCACGTATCTTAAAGCTGCCGTCTGAAGATGCAGTCTCGTTACCAAGAATAATAACGTATCCCATTTGAGAGCTCATGTCCTTGTTGTTGGCAAACGAGGCGTCCACCATCGTGTATAGCTTGAGATCTTTCATCTCAATAGGCACGTAGCTAAGTCCGCGAGAGACGTTTTTCTTCTGCCAGTTAATGCGCTTATTCAATCTGGATATTTCTTCTTTTGTCGGTTCAGTCGCTTGCGCTGCAGCGGCGAGATCAAAGCTTGCCTCTGGCTGACAGATAGTCGCGATATATGCTCCTCGTGCTCGTTGTTGTATGTAGGACTTTGCATCAACAGCGTTCTCAAGTTTCTCACCTTGCTTCTTCTGCCGTAAAGTAATGACGTTGCCACTGCCAACGATGTACGATACAGCCATTAAACTCGATAGGGTCAGTGTCTGTGAGGTACTTTTGTCTAGCTTGAAACGGAGCTCCTGTCTCTCTATCAGCGAATGCGTTGTCTGAGAGACCAAGAGTGTCGTCGGTTTGCATGCCAACAATGCCGAAACCTGTGGTTGTTCCAGCGTCGGTGGCCTTGGAGATGAGGAGGCATGGGTCGTACGTAGACGTCTCCATGTTGAGTGTCGTCGTGTGGTGTTTGAAGTATGTTGACCACCAGTAGGCACCTGCTTCGGCGATGCCATACAGTGGTTTCACCACGACCATGATGGTTCCTTGTGGGTACACTTTGCGGAGTTGTACAGGCAGGTCTGCAATGATAGTGCGCTGGAGGCGGTCGTCGGACTGCGTGTACGCCTGCGTGATGTCTCGGAGCCATAACTTCATGCCCATTTGGATCAATACCGGTGCAAGAGCAATAATGATCCTCTGGCTTGCGCGTTGTATCGTGGGGCTCTGGGTGAGTACAATCTTCTTGCCATCATCGGCGTAGCCTTGTACAACTAGTCTAGATTTCTCGTACGGCTTATCGGTGGTCTTGCCTTTCACTTCATTGACAATGCGGGACTTGAAGATCCGGATCCCGCCATGCTTGGCTAGATTGAATGGCTCAAAGCGGAAGACGCCGCGGGTAATGAGAGCGTCAATCTCTGTCTTGGTTGACAGCTCAAAAGGTTCTCCAGGTGTCGTGATCTTACCGGTAGTGCGCAGTGTCCTGGCTAGCACTATGTCGTCTTTCTCGCGCTGTGCGAGGTTAGCAGCGTGTGTCTTCGGCTTGTTCTTGGAGCCTTTGGGACGGCCGCGTCCTCGGCGTTGCGGTGGCTCTTCTGGGGGAACAAAGTCGTCATTGTCGCGCTGATGCTCGCTATGCTGTTCCTCATCGCCGTGCTGTTCCTCGTCAGGTCGCGGGAGATTTGTAGTGTCGTCTTGATGATACGGCTGGACAGAGGTGATGCGGAAACTTGCTTGTTTCCCATGAGCGTCGACGATAGCAGCAGTCTGATCGTCGTTCAGGGCGAGGAGAGTGTGCGGGCCAGTCCATCCGAGGCCTTCACGCCACACCTTGACGTTGCTCTGCAGCGGTAGTTCTAGTACTTGCGTGACGATGTTGTTTGGCCCGTTACGGGTACCTAAAGCTTCATTGACTTGTCGCTTTGCCTTAATCTTCCGGACTTCTGCCATCGCTTTGCGTATTGCCGTTGCGCGCGCGGTGATTGAGGGAGATGGCGGTGATGTCTTGGAGAGACGTGGATAGGTGCCGAATACCAGCAGCGTTGGTACAAGTCCTTCAGGTCCGGCGGTGTCGTTGACAGCCTTGACAGCCATCTGGAGGATGTCATCCTTCGTCGTCGTAGATGCACCGATGTCGGCGGAGATGACTTCGAACGCTCGTCGGATGGCAGCATGGTAGCGTTCAATTTTGCCAATCGAGTGATGGGCCTCAACTGGTACTTCGTGGACTTCTATCATCATCGCGTTGGCATTATCAACAAACTCTTTGCTCGCAAAGTTTGTGCCAGCGTCGGTCGCGATAGTGTCGGGCGGTCCAACGTACATGTCAATCCACATAGCGCGCAGCGTGTCCCATGTTGTGCTTGCTTTTATGTCTATAAGAAAGCGGGCGGCTTGAAAAGCAGTTGCTTCGTCAACGGCGTGGAGGACTGGTTTACTGTCAATGTACATAATGTCGACGATGACGCGGGAGTTGAAGTCGAGGTTGTCATCGCGTAGAGTAAAGCGGAATCGGCCTGGTGCTTTAGCAGTTATCTGGCACTGATGACAGAACTTGTTAATCTCATCAATTAGCGTCTTGTCAATGTCGTCGTGGCCTGCCTTTACTAGGACTTTGTAGAGGCGTGCGGCGGCTGGATGCCCAAAACGTCGGTGGAGTTGCTGGAGTTCTCCTTCGGTGAGATAGTGGGTGGCAGTCTCCTGCTTGTTGAGAAGAAGCCGTGGATGCCCCCACTTGCGGACAATTGGGTACTCCTTGGACTGATGAACTAGCGTATTGTCGACGTTGTTGAAGTAGATGCCATGGCGGTCCATGTCATCAAGACAGAGTAAGAACGGTGTGTTAGTAGGCATTACAGCGAACCTAATCACTCCAACGGGTGTCTGGACGTTGACGTCGCCGATAGAAACACACTCCGGGTTATCCCCAAATCGGATCCGGTGTCGGCCAGCAGTTGACTTGTCAATCCATAACGGTTGGATGCGGTGTAACGCTGTAACCTGTTGCTTGCCTGCTGTAGACACTCCGGCCGCGCCGGTGTCTGGCATGATGCCTTGGAAACTGCTCGCGCCCGTACCGGTGATCGAGTGTGAAGAGGTGGCTTGCCTCTTTGGCAATGTCGTTGCCGGCGTATGGGTCGATCTTCGTGATCGCGTGTAGAGCGGCGGCGTTGTTGAGGTTGCGTACCATTGTTCCTCCATCAACTGCACCGCAGGTAGCAGTGAGAAACTGGTGCTTTGTATCAAACTGGTCGTTGTTGAAGAACGCGTCGAGTTCTTCGTCCGTGCCGCCGTTATCGTCGTCGTCATTAAGGTCAATGCCCTCAAACTGGGCAAGGAAAGCTTCGTAGTCTATATCGACGTTGCGGGTCTGCACGTACGTCCGGAAACGTTGTTGCGCTTCCTTTCGCTCTTCTCTAGAGTGACGAGTTGACCAGCAGCCTGGCTTGCTACAGACGTAGCACTTCCTGTTATTGCGGCGCTGTGTATCATCGTTGTACTGCGATCGGGGTAAGCTGCGTTGGAAGCGGGATCCTCCGCGGTTGTAGTTGCGGGATCCTTCGCCTTGGCCTTGTGCGCTATAGTTGCGCGGTTTGTCGCGTTGTCCGCTATCGTTGCGGTTGTATCGGCGGTTTGTGTAGAACGCGTCTTCGCTCGGATCGGACTCCTCGCAGTTGAACTGTGAGCGCGGATGGCAGCGCGTCCAGTTGCCGACAGCGTTGCGGAGTTCTGAGGCAACGGCTTCAAAGGTTGAAGCTGGGCGGATAAGGACTGCGCTACATGCTTCGACGCCTTGACAGGCAGCAATAAGTTGGCTTGTAAGAGCGAGCTCGCTTGGTCCATTCTGTTGAGTCATTGCCTGGTGCAGCAGCTGGAGCTTGTCGATGACTATGTCGAGACACTGGGTGAGTGTCTTGTCGGGGTTGTTGGCGATGACGTCTTTCAGCATAATGGTGCGCCACTCACTTAAGAACATTTGGTAGTTCTCGCTCGTGTGAAAGTACTCCCCTAGTTTCTTGATAATGCTGTCGTAGTCTAGGTTGAGTGGAGCAATGTAGTTGTAGTAGTATGCTGAGGCCTTGCCTCTGAGCATAGTAGAGACTGCAAGTTTGTACTGTGCTGGTGTCGTAATGCCAACCTTTTCGCAATGGTCTTTAAAGATGACTATCTTGTTGTCGAGGACGTCATACTTGTCGCCACTGAACTTCTCCTCCTCACTGTATACCTTTGCGAGGTTGGTGAGGGCTGTTACGTTTGCCTGGGCAGGAGATGGCGCATAGTTTATATTGGCGCTCTGAGTTAGCGGGTTGCTGCTTTGTTGGGTTGTTCTAGCGTGTTGTGCCTCTTCTGCTATCTGTCGGCATTTGAAGTCTGGGTTGAGTCGCATAACGTTGAGCTCGTCAATGGGCCCAGTCGGGAGAGCGTGTAAGGCTAAGGAGATTGACTAGCTGTTGTGCGATGGTGTTGCGGCTGTTCTTCTCGATGTAGACACCTCGGTCGCGGAGTATGTTCTTGACTGCTGTACGGACTCGCATGTCCATTGCATTGAAATGATTGAGAGACCATCCTGCAAATGTCTCTTGGAAGTCTTGAATAAGCATGATGTCAAAGTCTCCGTTCTCTTCGGCCTGTATCATCCAGTCGATAGCAATAGTGCTTATCTGACCAGGGATAATAGCATCGGTTGCAATGTCGAGTTGGGTATTGGTGTACTCGTCCGCGTACACCTTTGGGTACCATTGCCGGGTAGTAATGCTTGTAGGCATGATTCCGGTGGGTTGCTTGTGAGTCGCGGGGTTGCCTGTGGGTCGCTTGTAGATTGCCCGTAGGTCGCTCGTCGCGGGGTTGACTGTGGCGGGGTTGCTCGCCGGTGATTTTGTCGGGTTTTGGTGCGTAGTTGACGCAGATCCCTAGTTCTGGATCTCTTTCAGACTCCGTCAGCCGAAACGAACGCTCGTGGGCGGATCTGTTCTTCGCACTGCTTAATACGATACAAGGTCGTACTAAGAGTCGCTTCTTTACCTAGGCTACACAGACGCAATGCTGATGGGCCCTCTGTACACAGATGTCTTGCCGATCTGTGGTCATATCAACCACTGATCAGTGTTGACACGGCAAAGGTGTCGAATACTAGCAGTCGTTGCAACGAACAAAGTGTATAGTATTTGATTAGTAGTGAGCAAGAGCTGGATGGAGAGATCTCCATATGTACGGTTGCGAGCTAAGCGGGAAGCTTGGTCTAACTAGTGGTCCAAGCTTCCGGCCCGGAAAAACTCGCCGGGCTGGCTGTACGCGCATGTTCCGACAGTGGCTTCTCTCCCTCTTTTTCTCTAAATGCGTGGTTTCGAGAGATCATGGAGGGTGCTGCCTTCTCTCTTTTCTAATTTGAAATTCGCAAGCGCCTATTTGTATCTTTATTCCCCTCCTCCTCCCCTTTCTCGGAACTTCCTTCCCTCTTCTCTACAACGACTATTTCCCTTCCTAAACCAAAAACCTACATTTCCACTTGCCATGTGGCTCCTCTCCCTCTCTTTTTCTAAAAAAAGTGCCCTGGTCATGTACGGATGGTGCCGCCTGTCTCTCTTTTCTAAACTGAAAGTACTCAGCATCAAAGCCTATGTTTGTTGCCCTCCTCCCTTCCTTTCTCGAAAATACCCTTCCTCCTCTCTACAGCGGCTATCTCCCTTCTTTAAATCAAAACCTCACCGCTTTCAATGTGGCTCCTCTCCCTCTTTTTCTCTAAAATGCGTACTGCTATTCTTGATGGAGGGTGCTGCCTGCCTTCCTTTCCTTGGAAGCCTGCGACACCAGTGGCATGAGTCTGCAGTATCCCGTCCGCCCTTTCTGCAGATGTGGAGATTGGAATGAATAAAATACGCCCATGATCGTAAGATGTGGCTCTTCCTCCTTCCCTCTTTATTAAAAAACTTCGGAGAAATTGTATGGACGTGTTTGTCTGTCTCTCTTGCCTGAAAATCATGTTACCAGCGATGAGATGAGCTCGCTGCCGCTCCTGGCCCTTGATTACCAGAGTGGCGCCCAGACTCCGCAACAATCAATCGGATCGGCATGATTGATTCCTATCTAGGTTAAAGGCTGCCTAATGAAGTAATTCTTTAACCTATATAGGAATCAATCATGTCAATCGATTGATTGTTGCGGAGTCTGGTGGCGCCTGAAAGTAGTTAAAATCATGTTGAGGTCCTGAAATGCGGAGGTTCTTCTATGTATACTCTATTGAACCATGAACAGAGACGATAAAGCTATGGGGTCTGCTGTTTGTCCAGTCTAAAATAGATAATCACCATGAGCAATGACTTTCTCCCTGCTGGCGACGTGGTTGAACACTTAAAATTGGACAGGAAGGTCAGGATGTCTTCTTACGCCAAAACCTTTGCGTGTACATCATGATGGTGTGTGTTTGTGTGTCTATTTCAAAAACGACGCTTCTCTGTACGATGATCTCGTTGGTGTATGGGCAGCAGTGGGTATGTATAGGAAATGACCTGGGGTTCTTTACTTCTTTACACACTTCTGCTGTATATTTTTCCAAAACTTACGAATTTGGGATCTATGGGTTGTGTGCTTCAAAATTACTACTGCCAAAGAGAATGGTTTTCTGAGTTTGCGAACGTGCAGTGCACAGTGCGTAGTGGGTTTAGAAGACGAAGGAACTGGCCCTTGGGTTTATTACTCCTTTACTCACTTCTATTCTTTCTTATCTAAAAGTGAACATAGAAACATAGATGGTGTTGTTAGGGCTGTAGCACCAGTGCTAAAAGGAAATAACGATAACTAGGAATGCATTCTGTTCGGTGATGGTTCTGATTGATTGTCTTGCGAAGGAGAACTATGGAAGAGCTAGTTATAGGAGCTCTGGTCTGAGCGCTGCTCGGACGCCGCGATCAGTGCGCCTGCTCGCGTGACCGAGATCAGTGCGGCCGATCACGTGGCTGAGATATCGTTGATATCTGTGATCCGACAATCTCGTTGTTTTTGCCTAAAACAAAAAGCAGCGACAACGATGATATCAAATTCTGACTCTAAAATAAGTACATAACGTTGTCGTTTCTGAAAATAGCATTAATTAG